CGGAGCGGCTGATTCATTGTGAACCATCTTTTTAGGGTTTCATAATTTTTCAAAATTCACAACTTACCATGCATGTGATAAACCTTGTCCTAATATAATTAAGTTTTGTAGTTGATTCGTATATTTATTCTGCGCAGTTATATATACCCTGTTATAAAATTCAATTTTTTTTTATATATGTAATATTTTCATAAAAATATGGGTTTTTTTAAATTAAAACTAAATAAAAAAAAATAGAATTTGCGATATTATGGATATAATTTTTTTTATGCTATCCGAAACTGATATGCCTATCGGGTCAGCCCAATGGACCTACAATTTATTTATTTACTGAGCCTCGGGTCCAGTTTAGATGCTATTACTACGAAGGCCGAATCACCTTCAAATAATGTTTGGGCCCGGTAAATTGGTATCGACTCAATCAAGTATAAATAGTACTTAATTCATTCAATCTACGTTATTTTTACCAAGCAATCCAGCTATTACAATTCTCTCGACTAATTTACAATCCAAATATTTGGCTTAAGCATCGGAGAGGCTTCCGCCGAATCAACCCCCGACTTAGTTCACATTACATTTTACGCAGGAATCTCAAGGTTATCCAACACGTAGTCAGTGACCCCATTCATATCTTCAATTACATTTATTGCAGGTGAATAATAAGCATCATCAGAAACCTAAAAATATCATCAATTATGTTTTTTTTTTTTAATTTATACACATAAAAAAAATTAAAGTAGGAATATAAATTAGAATCAAAATGGAAATCACTTCATAAAATAAAATATGATGATATATTGAGTTTTTTTTGTTATGTTCTTACAAGAAACTAATGTAGGGTACATTTTGCAACGAAATATTGAATTTCAAGGTGGATTTTGCCAGTTTTGAAATGTTAGGGCGCAAATTGTCAATCAATATTAGTTACGGGGTTGAAAACGCAATTCACCTTAATGAGCTAAAATTGGGTAACACGTGCATGCATGCGTGCATGTATGAAATGTTAAATTCCACACAAAAATTACTAGACCATACACATATTTAAATAATTTCCTCTCTCTGAAAATACAATAGCCCAAAAACGTTTTCTCCTCACCCTCCAGCACAGTTATTCGAATATTAATTAAATGTAAAATTGGTAATTCCTAATTGCTATGCTGCATGCATGCATGCATGCACGTGTTGCCCAATTTTAGCTCATTAAAACCGTAAGTATACTAACAACACGCATTACCACTCATAAATCAAACAAACAAACTTAGAAATTACAAAAAATATAAAAATGCTAATTAATTATACAGATCCATATTTAAAATTCACACACACACACACACACACACTGAGAGTTTCAACTTCCATAAGATCACACACATTTGCATGTGAATTATTCCCAACACACACACACACACACAAGAATTACTGAAGAGGAAATCGAAAAATTAGAAAAAAAGGCGGAACGAAGAAGATGCCGATTATCTGAGGTTAATTAAATTGGAAAATTAAGGGAGAAAGAGAGGAATTGTACATAGTTGTGAGATATTTTATATTAAATAAAGGAATTAAATTAGATGGCATCTCAAGAGAATCAAGAAAATGTTAGAAATGTGAAGAGTGCATGGAGCCGTTTGAAGGGATTCCCCGACAAATGTGTCGATCTCGTAACTACTTCCGCCAGAGAGGCGAAGAACTTCGGAAAGGAAGATCCTAGACGAATCGTGCACTCGTTTAAAGTGGGATTAGCAATAACCATAGTCTCGTTATTCTACTACTTTGACTTCTTGTACGATGGTCTCGGTGTTTCCGCTATGTGGGCCGTCATCACCGTTGTCGTCGTTTTCGAATTCTCCGTCGGTAAGATCAATATAATTATATATACATATAGAAAACAATCCTTTTTTTTTTTAAATTAAAATTAAATTCATATATGAATATTGAAAAATTATAATCTTTACGAATAATCGTACCTTTTTTTAAGGTGCAACATTCGGAAGAGGGATAAACAGAGCGATTGCGACGTTTATAGGAGGTCTATTAGGGGTTGCAGCGCATCGCTTAGCTAGTTCTACAGGAAACAACGCGGAGCCTATTGTACTCGGATTCTCGGTTTTCTTCATAAGTAAAAAACATATATTAAAAAAAATATGTATATATATATTACAAAATGGAAAAAAAAAAAAAAAAAAAAAAAAAGAGCATGCATGAATCTGCGAGAATTAATTAATTTTTTTTTTTTTTTTGTGACGATTTGTTTTGCGGTGGATGCAGCTTCGATAGCGACATTTATTAGGTTATTTCCGAAGATGAAGGAAAGGCATGATTACGGATGTATGATATTTATACTGACATTCTGCCTGATATCGGTGTCGGGATATCGAGACTCGGAGGTTATAGAAATGGCGCACACGAGACTTTCGACGGTGATGATTGGTTTATCGGCTACAGGATTGATATGCATATTCATATGCCCTGTTTGGGCTGGTGAAGATCTTCACAATCTCACTGCTGCCAACATTGAAAAGCTTGGCATTTCTTTGGAAGGTATTTTTAATTAATTGGATCTTTTAATTAATTAATTAATTAGTCTTTTTTTTTTCCCATTATTTTTGTTACATGCATGTATAGGTATAATTGTATATTGATGGGAATGGAGTTTCTTTTTTTGATCAGCTTTTCAACGAAAATACTTCGAGACGACGAGAAACGATAAAAATCAAGAGAATAAACCACCGGTCGATGGATACAAAGTGGTTATTAGTTCCAAAAGCAAGGAAGAATCATTGGTAATTAATCACTTCCTTCATTTCAAATTAATTTTAGAGATCGATATTTTTTTTCCGTATTATCTGTCACTTTAGAATTATGATGATGCATTTATGATTTTTTTCTAAATTTTTCCTCGTTCTCCTAATTAATTAATGGAGAGAGAATTATTAGAGGTAGAGAAATAATAAGCGCATTTCAGTACGTTAGCGTATAATTTGTTAGTTTTCTTAATAGATATTCCGAAATTTTAAACGACAGATAATATAAAATTGAGGGAGTGAAGTTATCACAAAGTCCTCCGGCATAACTACTTTAAGATCGATTAATGAATTCGAGCTTAATTTTAATTTCTTAATTATAGGTAAATTTTGCGAGATGGGAGCCTAGGCACGGGAAGTTTAAATACCGGCATCCGTGGGACCAATACATCAAGATTGCAGGACACACAAGAGAATGTGCACACAGATTCTATGCACTGTATGGCTACCTTCACTCCGAGATCCCGGTATATATACATACACTACAAAAAATAATATTTCGTGTGTGTATATATATATATATATATATATATATATATATATATATATATATATATATATATATATAAAAGCAACAAAATCTTGTTTTTTAGGCTTTGTTTAATTTGACAGACACCACCAATAGAAATTTCCAAGAAGATAGAAGAGCTATGCACAACAATGAGCTTAGAATGCAGCCATGCTCTCAAAGAATTAGCAATTGTGATCAAGAAAATGACTCGATCTCCGAATAGCGAGGCGCATTTAAAGAACGCGGAAATTGCTGCGAAGAATCTAAAGTTGCTGGTGCAAAGCGGGCTTTGGCCGGAATCCGATCCCCTAGATGTAATTCCGGCGGCGGCGGTCGCTTTGTTGCTCATTGAAATAGTATGTTCCACGGTTAAGATAGCGGATTCCGTTCATAGACTTTCGATCCTGTCGAAATTCAAGAGTGTTGATCCGGCGAGAACACCCGCTCGTTTTGGTGTTACGGTTGAGTGAGGAAGTCGACCGTGCATGCCACGTGTACGTACCCTACGCATGCATGCATGTCATGAAGAGAAGAAGATCGGATGCCGCAAAGACACGTGAAGATTTTCATAAAAAAATAAATGGATGCATTATTAAGAAGGGAATATTGTGAACTAATTGCATTGTTATACTTGTATATATATTTTGTATATATATGTGCATACATGTACATGAAAGCATTTGTTGAAATAAAAACCTTTTTTCCCTTCAAAACATAATCTCGACTTAGTCGTGTTATAATTATTAATTTATTACATGTATGTTTTTATTTCTTTTTATATATTTATAAGCAAATAAAAACGTATTGAGAAAAAAATTAAACAAATCAATCTTAAAATTCTACGATTTTAACACAAAATAAAACAATTAATTTGACACATACAACACACGTACACGTTTATAGTTAAATATAACATCATAAATGAAAGAGCTTTTAGCAAGCGCTACCCCTGTGATAAGTCTAATTGCCGAAAAAACCCCTATGTAAAAACAATTAGCAATTACCCCCTATGTTAACAAGTCAAAGGCACATGCCCCTTATCCGCAAATCGTGTATTGCACGCGCAGTTTGTGCGAAATTGTGTTTGTTTTTATGATGTGAAAAGTCTTAAATACTCCTTGAAATTCTTTTCTTTTTAATAAATAAAAATCCAATTGAACTTAAATATAAATAATCAAAATTTTTGGATCCAATTGCAAATTTTAAACAATTCTTCAAAATCCCATTCTACTTTTCAAAGCCTGGCCAAGTGCAACAGTGATGCCGCCCCCTTTCTTTCGTCACCGTCTCCATCTCTCCAGGCGGCGAGACCACCAGATGAGTCATCTCCGCCGGCGCCGCCGTCATCGCCGCCATCCGGCAGATACGGTGTCGCCACCAAGCACGAGGCATGGTGCCACCAATCATTCTTTTCTCCAATTACATTATGCCAATAGAAACTTCAGATCTGCCTTTCTTTGTCAGGGATTTCCAAAGGGTTTTTTTTGCTGTAAAAACTCTATATTCAAACCGGTATGAATCCTAGAGATTCAAGAGTACATGTTTCTTCAACTGCCGTTCCTCTTTCTTTTTTTCCTCTTAGAATTGATGAAATGAAAATAGAGGGTAAATAATTGATTTTTTTAAAAATTAATGGTTGGCATGGGGCAATGGTGGAGATAGCAGTGTATATATCGGTGGTGATTGAAGAGATCAAATCAATGGCGGAGACTATCGTTTTTTCAAGAAACACCGTGTATGTTGCAGGTTGGTGTTGTTGTTTGCAACTTGGGGATTTCATCGGGGCTGAGGACTATGTTCTTGAAGTGAAATAAGCTGGTGGGCGTTTCCGATTTGCAGCGGCAATGGCGGAGGTTGTCGTGAGAGATGAAGAAGATGATGACGTGTTTTTACCTGTTTTTTTGAAGTATTATCTGTATTTCTAATGAAGGGTAATTTAGACATTTGATGGAAGTCAACGGAATTATTTCGGATAGGGAGCCGTGGGCTAAATAAAACTCATTATAGGGGGTCAATGCTAATTGTTTTAACATAGGGACTTTTCTGGTAATTAGACATTTCACAGGGGGGCCTGTGCAATTAACTCTAAATGAAAACCAATAATCGGGTTGAAACTCAATGTGACATTGGGTTTGTAAGTTCAATATTATTTAAATTTTCAGTTGGAAAAAGCATTCTATTAAGATGAATAGTTAAATAAATGATAAGTTAATTTAATTTTTTAAATAAAATTTAGGGCAAATTGCACTTTGCCCCCTCACAAAATACTTTTTTTGCATTTTATAACCCCCTAAAATACGATCAAATGAGATTGTCCCCTTCGAAATATACAACTCGGGGCACTTTGCTCCAAATGTATATTTTCGTTCTAATTCTCGCCGGATTAAGGGTATATATGTCATTTTTCTTTTTCCACTTTTAAAATCCCCCTTTCATAGTAACTTAAGGTTCCCCAAATTGATGAAATTCTCTTGCAAACTTTATGAAATTCTCTTCCAAGTTCGACAAAATTTATTCTTTGTTCTTCATAATCACGGTAATATGGGGTGGAAAAAAGGTCAAATGATATTTATAGCCTTAAAGGACGAAATCACCCTTCCAATTTACTCAAACCCGACGAGAATTAGACCGGAAATGAATTTTTTTGGGCAAAGTGCACCGAGTTGTATATTTCGAAGGGGAACAGTCTCGTTTTTGCATTTCTAGGGGGAAAGTGCAAAAATAGCATTTTTTAAGGGGCAAAGTGCAACTTGTCCTAAAATTTATTAAAGTGTAAATTCGATCATTAATTATTTGTTAATCCAAATTGTCTATGCTACATCTGTCAAAACCTAGAAACAAAAGTTCAACTAATCTTATTTAGTCACACCCTTAAGTATGCGAATAACACGCATCCCCCCTCATAACTGAAACAAACTTATGATCATCACTAAACAAAAATTCATATATATTCCTCCCCTAATCTGTTTTGTAATAGCTGATGCTTCTTTTTTTTTTATATCTAGATCAAAATTCTCTTACGTACATGCATGCATGCATGGTTCTTGGTTCTTGCAAATGTTTTAGGGCTCAAAACATGCAACAGATTTTAATTAGAAACCCTATTTCTCAAGAAAATAATTATAGTATAAATTAAAGTACTTGTGAGAGATTTTGGAAGGAAATGGCATCTGAACAGAATCAAGAAAAATTTAGAGGGTTGAAAAGTGCGTGGAGTTTTTTAAAAGGGTTCCCCGGCGGGATTGTGAATGCCGTAGTTTCCGTCGCCCGAGAAGCCAAGAAACTCGGGAAAGATGATTCTAGAAGAATCGTACACTCGTTTAAAGTGGGATTAGCAATCACCATAGTCTCGTTATTCTACTACTTTGATTTCTTGTACGATGGTTTCGGCGTTTCCGCTATGTGGGCCGTCATTACTGTCGTTGTCGTTTTCGAATTTTCCGTCGGTAAGATAATAAAATATTATTTTTATTAGTAATTAATTAGCATTCGGATATTCTATTATTTTTTTGTTTTAATATTTTTTTCGTAAATATCAGGAGCAACAATTGGAAAGGGAGTAAACAGAGGGATTGCAACGTTGGTAGGAGGTGTATTAGGAGTTGCAGTGCATTGCTTAGCAAGTGTTACGGGAAAACACGCGGAATCAATTGTACTCGGACTATCCGTTTTCTTGATATGTAAACAAATTATATACGACTGCGAAAAAATAAAATTTAACTAATTAATTAGTTGAATATGGGAGAAATTAAATAATTTAATTAATTGGACTATAAATACTTGCATGTTGTGTTTGCAGCTACTGCAGCGACGTTTATTCGATTTTTTCCTCAGCTGAAAGCGAGATACGATTACGGGCTTCTAATATTTATACTTACGTTTTGTCTGATATCGGTATCTGGATATAGAGACGACGAGGTTATAGAAATGGCGCACACTAGACTTTCGACGGTCGCGATTGGTTCTTGTGCTACTGTGCTGATTTGCATATTCATATGCCCTGTTTGGGCTGGTGAAGATCTTCACAATTTCACTGCTGATAACATTGAAACTCTCGGGATTTTCTTGGAAGGTCGATCGTCTTTCTCTCTCTCTCTCTCTCTCTCTCTCTCTCTCTCTCTCTCTCTCTCTCTCTCTCTCTCTCTCTGCACATTCTTGTTTGCTACAACATATTTATGTGAATGAAAACTTGGGTTTTCAGATTTTCAGGGAAAATACTTTGAGACGACAAACGATAAAAGCGAAGAAAACGAAGAAAACCAAGATTCGCTGGATGGATATAAAGTGGTTCTTAATTCCAAAGGCACCGAAGATTCATTGGTACAATTAATTCATTAGCTATTATAAAGTAGCTCAAGATCGATTATAATTCGTCCAAGCATGTAATCGAATAATCCCAGTTTTTTTTTTGTCTTTTGTTTTTTAGATAAATTTTGCGAAATGGGAGCCTAGGCACGGTAAGTTTAAATACCGACACCCGTGGGACCAATACGTCAAAATCGGAAAGAGTACAAGAGAATGTGCATACAAAATCGATGCTTTGAATTGCTACGTTATCTCAGAGATGCAGGTATACATATATATATATATATATATATATATATATATATAGCCCAATCATGCACTAATATTTTTCGGGTCCGTATGTTTTTTTGCAGGCACCGGTAGAAATTCCAAGAAAGATACAAGAACCGTGCTCAACGATGAGCTTAGAGTGCAGCCAAACGCTGAAAGAACTAGCAACCGTGATCAAGAAAATGACACGTTCGTCAATTAGTGATCCGCATATCAAGAATGCGGTAATTGCAGCCAAGAGTCTGAAATCGATGATGCAAAACGGGCCTTGGCCGGAAACGGATCTTCTTAATTTAATCCCAGCTGCAACCGTGGCTTCGCTGCTCATAGAAATAGTCTCGTCCACGATCAAGATATCCGACTCTGTTAGCCAACTTGCTTCTCTGTCGAAATTCAAGACTTGCAATATCCCGCCGGTCCCGCATGGAATGTGCCCGGAGAAACGTACCGCGAGTCGTGGTAACGAAGGTTCCCATACTTTTGGTGTTATAGTTGAGTGATATTGAACTTTGTCCTGCTCTTCTTCTTCTTCTCCCTTTTTTTTAAATAAAATAATTTATTTAATTAATTCATATTGAGTTTTTTGGTATCTTGAACAATATTTTTATGTGCACCAATGATCAAGAAAATATATTTTTTTTCATGATTTTATTCAATTATATTTATATCTGTCTGCATATACAATTAAATTTCTATAAATTAGTAGAATCGTAACTAGTAAAATTCTATTAATTTAATGTAATATTGAATTATCGAAGTAATACGTAGTAAATTTTTAACCAGTTGAGATCGAAATAAAATTAAATTATTATTTAAACGAGATTATTAATTTACGGATAGTGTACTATATACTGTTTGCTTGTCTGAGAATACGAGCAACTGAGCTTCAGCATCCAACAATGGCGATGCCTTGTAGTGAACCGGATCTAAAACCCGCACAGAAGGAAGACCGAATAGACGTATTCTGGCACGAAGGTATGCTGGAACACGACACGGGTCGGGGGGTTTTCGATACGGGTATGGATCCGGGTTTTCTCGACGTGCTGGAAAACCACCCGGAGAACTCGGACCGGGTCAAAAACATGGTTTCTATCCTCAAACGGGGCCCCATTTCTCCATTCATTTCTTGGCACCAAGGAAGACCCGCCCTCATCTCTGAATTGCTGTCTTTCCATACCCAGGGTAAAATTTTCCTCTTTCCTCTGTTTTTTTGAATTAGATTGAATTTTAAAAATTAGGGTTTCCATTTTTTTCGGTGTTGACAAAATTGGGGCGTGCTAATTGAATCGATTAACCCCATCAATGCAATAGTCTCTCGACGATGCAATTTCATTTCACCAAATTTCACTTGTCGATCAATTGCTGTTGGTTTTAGGTGCAATTTCTAAATTAGGGTTTCCAATTTTTGGGTCGAATCTCCTGATGTATCAATCTTGTTGGTTTATGTGTGAATTGTGAAAAAAATCACAGAATACATAAACGAGCTAATCGAAGCAGACGAAAAACAGGGCAAAACCATCTGCGCCGGAACATTCTTAAACCCTAGATCATGGTACGCCGCGCTTCTTGCAGCGGGGTCCACCATATCAGCAATGAAACACGTACTCGACGGACATGGAAAAATCGCGTACGCGTTGGTTCGTCCGCCAGGTCATCATGCTCAGCCCAGTCGAGCGGATGGGTATTGCTTTCTCAACAATGCAGGTCTTGCTGTACAGTCAGCTCTCACTTCTGGTCTCGATAGTGTTGCTGTAATAGATATCGATGTTCATTACGGGAACGGGACCGCCGAGGGTTTCTATCGGTCCGATAAAGTTCTCACTGTGTCTCTTCATATGAATCACGGCTCGTGGGGCCCGTCTCACCCGCAAAACGGGGCTGTGGATGAACTTGGTGAAGGTGAAGGGTTTGGGTATAATTTGAATATACCGTTGCCGAATGGTTCCGGAGATAGTGGATATGCTTGTGCGATGACGGAGTTAGTTGTACCTGCTGTCGAGAAATTTGAACCGAAAATTATGGTTCTTGTTATTGGCCAAGACTCCAGTGCAGTAAGTTTAAATGGTTTTTGAAAGTCAAGAATATATAATGACTTTATTTTTTACGAGTTTTCTTGTGTGTAGTAGGGGTGGAAATTGGAACGGAAAATTTCGATTTCCTTGATTCCAATCCGTTCCAGTTTTGGAAATAAACTTCTCATTCCAAATTCCGAATTTCTGTATTTTCCACAATCTTTTGGATCGGAATTGGAATATATATGTGATAACGATTTCCGATCCGATTCAAATTTCTGAAAATTACGAGTTTTTTTTCTTCGAAAACTACACTTCAAATATCAATATTATTATGTATTTTATAATGTAGATGGCTGAAAATTGGAATCTCCCGTATCCCGCCGATTCCGGTCCGAAAATTTCCGATTTGACAGATCTATAACGAAAGATTAAGTTTTATGAAGTTTTCTTGATACATTTGTCATGATTAAAGATGTTGAAAATTTTTAAGCAATGAATAAAATCGATTGAATTTGCATTTGCAGTTTGATCCGAACGGAAGGCAGTGCTTGACAATGGAAGGATACAGAAAAATCGGGCAAATAGTTCGAGAAATGGCAGATAAACATTCCAAAGGGCGGCTCGTAATTGTGCAAGAAGGTGGATATCATGTTACGTATTCGGCCTACTGTCTGCATGCAACTCTTGAAGGTGTGCTTAATTTTCCGGCTCCTTTATTGTCCGATCCTATTGCTTATTATCCAGAAGACGATTCTTTCGCCACTCGAGCTGTCGAATCCATAAAGAAGTACCAAAGAGGCATCGTCCCGTTTTTTAAATAGGTTTGTATTAACGAGGTGGTGTACGTTTTGTTGGAAATTTTGAGTATTTGACTCAAATTTTGTTGAATATTTAAGTGGTTTAATTTAAATTCTCAAAATTAATTTTTGATGAATGATAAATTAATGGATCATTTAAAATATTTAAGTGTGGAAAATAATAAAGTGAAATGCCACCATTGAAAAAGATGGAGGTGTTTAAGCACCTATTAAATTGAATAGGTGTGTGATTAATGGGAAAAGGTGTGATACCTTTTCATGAAATTATTTTCCTAAGAGTTGTGACTTGTGGTCATAACCTTTGAAAATCTATAAATAGATTCCAAAATCCACCATTTGATTAATTCATTTTTGACATGGAATTCAATACATTAATTGAATTCAATTCTCATCATAGCATCTTATTGCATATTGTTGCATTATCAAGTCCTTTTCTTCGTGTCTTATAAAGTCCTAAACGTCGTTTCGTTCGCCGTGTTCCAATAATTGGTGTGCTACTTTGTTGGAACTGAAATAGTCGTTGTATCTTGGGAGACGATTGCCGTAAACCGAGAGCACTGTACGGGGCAAATTTGTCTTAAGGAGAAAGAACCTAGTTCTTGCCTCGACTACATTTTCTTGTCAAACTTCTGTCCAAATTTTGTTCGTTCCCATTTCGAAATACACACACCCAAATAACAATCTTAAGACAAATTTGTTAGTTGTATTTTCGAGATGGAGAAGAAGATATTCCACTCAAAATCCAAGAAGTTACGAAATCAAATTGGAGGAGAATGTCATTTTCGGACAGAACACAACGTCTATGTTTCAACCCATTTTCGGAGGTGATACGGTCAGAATCTGTAAAAGTATCATTTCACAAACGTTGTAGAAAATCAAGTTAGCTTTCCAGAACATGTTAAATCATCTAAATCGGAGTTCATACGGAGGAGTTATGACGAAAATACGAAAGGGTGCCAGAACTGCCAACACACCTTTTCATGAATAATGCAACCGTTCGTGAAGCAATGCAACCCCAGTGTGCAATTTTACACAGCACACATGCTTCGACTTTGAGGCTTAATTTGATCATGATCCAATCCGAATCTAGAAACTCGTGAAAGACAAAAGTTGTAGGAAATTTCGTTGGCTGTTCGGATCATATTGAATCAACAAAATCGGACATCGGATGCTAGTGCTGTCAAAACTGCCGAGTACGTTTATAATTATTCCGGGTACGCCTTTTCATTTATAAAATAGTATCTCATGCAATTAAGTGATAATATTATATGATAAATAATATGGTATTATATGAGATAGAAACATGGTTATGTTGCATGATAATGTTATGGCGTAGTAATAATGCAATATAGGTTATAATTGGCATGATAACTTTATTTATGAGAGCATGATAAACCTTGAATGTTTGAAGCATGTATAGATACTTTGAATGTTATTTCGATATGTTGAGATGCTTGGACTACTCTTGATATATGCATTAGATTTTGCTGAAATTCGTATGCATAATTTAAATTAAATTAGTGCATAATATTATGAGGTGTAGTATTGTCGCATACTTGAAATAACATATAATAATATTTTTATGATATTATATTATTTATATGATGTCTATGTCAATGAGTACATAGAATTAGAAGCATATAATATATATCTGTTGAAGCATAATTTTATGAATTGAAAATTATGTTGTAGTACGTGATTAAACGTGATTAAATTATATGGATATCTATGCTATTATGTAAATGATTTTCAGCATGCATAATGATATTTAATTGGATAATAGTTTATTGAATGTACGAATAAATTATTTATTCCATGTTAATTTTGAAATGCTTATTTACATATAAGTATTTTGTATGCATATATTATATGATGCATGTGAATATTTGGAATTATTTAATTATAATTATGTGCATATATGTATGTTTATGAGCTCATGATTAGTTCCAAATGTTATGTTATATCATAAATAATTCATGCTATTTGTGATATTATTATGTTTAAACTCAATATTTATTATATTGAGATCAAGTTGTTGCACTTTTATCTTTAAAATGATAATCTCGTATGTGTGTGCAATTAGAGGCATGTAATATTTGAAATTGGTATACAATCGAAACTCTAGAAGCTAAATTTCTAAATGAATATTTGAGCAGTTGTTATCTAAAAGAATATCGAAGATGATCGATCTATTGGATCGTCTTGACTTTTGGATATTGTATTCATAAGACATAAGTATACCTTATGAATAAATTTGATGGTGTTGAACATCTGATCCATTTGTAAACAACAATGGTTGTTTTTTCTTGCGGAAAATGTCAAACAATCTCTATACGAGATATTATTGTGGCCAATTGCACCGTTGGATCAATATTTCTATATTGTGAACGGTAGGAGTTTCTAAACTCTAGATTTGAATTGTGTACAAACTGTCACAATTTGATAAGAACTTTCTTGATTTGAGTATCTTGAGAAGTTTCTTATAGTGTGTTCTATTAAGACAAAATAAACACACATTGGTGATTTAAAAGATTGTACAATTTATGAGAAAAGTATTTGTTACTTTTGTGGTATTTATACCAAAATTTAATTATGCATCTTTGTTAAGTAACAAAGACGAGACCTTAGAAGCATTTAAATGAGAATGATCATGGTATATGAATAAAAATTGTTATTCAAAGTGATTGACGTGGATGATATGGAGTATTTTTTGACAAGTTTTGTACTTATCAAATCTCTAGTCCTTATCAACCACAGTTGAAAGTATTGAGAAATGAAATACTCGAACTGTTAATGAGTAAGAAAGCCATGTTGATAATTCTAGAGTAAGCTAGAATTTGTGGGGGAGATTATGGCTCACCACTTTCTCATTATTTTACCACATAAAGGTTTTGGACCATAGAAATGTGGGGGTGTTTTGACTAAGGTAAATGTACCAAAAGAGCCTTAAAATGTTGAAATGCATATTTATTGAATATGCTAAGTATGAAAGTGCTCAAGATAGCCATTCTTGATGCAAATAAATGTACGATTTTTGAAATTAAATGTGTTTGAAAATTTGGATTTTGACCCAAGTTTGACAAACAATTTAAGTAGATTCCATTTGCTAAGTTATGGAATAAAAAGCTACACTTTGACTAGATAAATCTAGTGTGTTTAATTTCTCAAACTTGACTAGGGGTGAATGAGAAATTAATGTATATGGTCACCATCCCATATTGACAATGAGCTTTAATGCACTTTATTAAGTGCAAATTGTTAGCTAAAGATATATCTCTCTATGAGATAAAGTGGTCATTTATAAAGTGATAAATAACCAAATGCGCTCAATAAAAGAGAGCTAAAAATCAACAGTTGGATTTTGATTTTCTAATTTATGAGTTAGAAAATGAACCTCGAGCAACTAATGAAGTGTTGTGCAATTGGAGGTTAATTGTCTTTGAGACAAAGAAAAATCAGTGAAACTCGCACAGTATGAACTTAAATAAGTTCTTGTTATCAAATACTTTTAAACTTGGCGAGTTTGAAAAGTACGTGTGTGATAAATGCACACGAGAGTGCATGTTTATGAGTAAATGACATGTTAATAATGCGGTGTAATCATGGTATTATCATGAAAACTAATGAAATATTAGTAAAATATTTCAATGTGGAAAATATGGTACTATTGATGCAAATCTTATAGAGATTAAAATCACTAGGGATTTGATGAATTATTGGAGTCTCAGTATGTTGAGACAATGCTAGTCATATTGAATTCATCAATATAAGACTATAAAGAATAGTGGTGAACAATGGTTCAACTAAAATATTCTTGAAGAGATTGTAGTTTAATGGTTCAACTAAAATATTCTTGAAGAGATTGTAGTTTAATGAACTACATGTTGATTGGCTCATTAAGCAAGTCAAGTAAATAGGTCATCCTATATGTAATTAGTTGATGAACCAATAAGTTTTATTGGATGTACAAACGTAAATTACATTATAGAAGATATCCAATTCATATAAATTACTAAGTCCATAAATGATCTTGTATTGTGGAACTCCTCAAAATAAATGTATAACTCGATTCACTATGGAATTGGAGACATAATTGGAAGTTAAAGAAAAATGTTGGATAACTCCATAATTTTCTAGAGGACATTATGTGATGGACTTAGTTGGTGCTTGAAAATAATTGTAGTAGTCAGTTGGCTATACAAAAGAGCACAAAATAATATGTAAAATGGTAAAGTCTCGATCGTAGACGCAACACCATTCAGCAATTGATCTCTAGTGAAATTATAAACGTTGACTTTACGAAGTGAAGAGATAATTTGATTGATCCTTGACGAAGGAATCAATAGAGATCAAATGTGCTAGTTAGTGATGGGAATGGGTCTATAAACCCACAACTCAAACGAAAATCCATGATGGTAACCCAACCTTGTAGATTGGAGATCCCAAGATCTTGGTTCAATGGGACAACTAAGTTATGGAAATTCAAATCGAACACTTGGAAATAATTCCTACCATTCCCTAAAATCCAAGTGCTACCTGTCGAGTGTGGTAAGGTTAAGTCTAGTGACTTTTAATGATTCCTATGACCTATTAAGGTGGAATACGGCAGGGTATTCTTTATGGGAGATCACCTATTTAAGTGTGAAGTATAGGGCCGCTTCAATGAAACACTTATGAATCCAAGAATTGGTCCAAGGCCGAAACGGACACAACGTGAGAACAAAAGACGTTAGAGATGTTATTGTGTAAGTGTTGTTGTCTTGGTTTACATAAAAGTTGATTAGTTCAAGACATCGCGTTCACTAAGCAACAAGTAAATCCGACAGCATTTTACTAAGGAAGGTTCAAAGCCATAAGCTACCTCTCCCGATGCAATAACAAATCGCTTGGACTTTGAAAGTGTCTGCATGCATTAATTTCATTCATGTGGGGGATTGTTGGAAATTTTGAGTATTTGACTCAAATTTTGTTGAATATTTAAGTGGTTTAATTTAAATTCTCAAAATTAATTTTTGATGAATGATAAATTAATGGATCATTTAAAATATTTAAGTGTGGAAAATAATAAAGTGAAATGCCACCATTGAAAAAGATGGAGGTGTTTAAGCACCTATTAAATTGAATAGGTGTGTGATTAATGGGAAAAGGTGTGATACCTTTTCATGAAATTATTTTCCTAAGAGTTGTGACTTGTGGTCATAACCTTTGAAAATCTATAAATAGATTCCAAAATCCACCATTTGATTAATTCATTTTTGACATGGAATTCAATACATTAATTGAATTCAATTCTCATCATAGCATCTTATTGCATATTGTTGCATTATCAAGTCCTTTTCTTCGTGTCTTATAAAGTCCTAAACGTCGTTTCGTTCGCCGTGTTCCAATAATTGGTGTGCTACTTTGTTGGAACTGAAATAGTCGTTGTATCTTGGGAGACGATTGCCGTAAACCGAGAGCACTGTACGGGGCAAATTTGTCTTAAGGAGAAAGAACCTAGTTCTTGCCTCGACTACATTTTCTTGTCAAACTTCTGTCCAAATTTTGTTCGTTCCCATTTCGAAATACACACACCCAAATAACACGTTTCTCTCCTCTTGTAATTTTCTCCGAATTCCATGAATTAGAGGCACAATCAAAGAAGCCTGCTATATAGCAATCAACAAAACTCACTAAAAAATGGTCTTTTTTTTCTTCTACTTATTACACTTTATTTGTGGATGTACCAAGATTTGTCTGTTTGTCGGTTGGATGGCCGTTAATCACGGTCTTTTATTTTATTTTTGTATTTTTTTTAAAGCTTAATTAATATTATATTTGAAAGTATTAGATTCTGCTAATCCGTGAAGGTTGGTGTAGAATTTAATCATTTATACTTTGGAGGTTTATAAACAGAATAATGTGTTACCCAAAAGAAAAGGAAAAAGGAAAAAAATAAAAAAATAATGTGGCAGTTGGGAAATTCTTTTGACCAGTTTGCTTCGTTATCTTATCATTTTTCTTTGCAAATTACGACTTTTTAGGTAAGATCAAATTATAAAAAAAATATCTCATATTTGGATAAGTACAGTCATCCATCAACTATGTATTGTTTTACGAAAAACTCTTCTAGTAGGTAATTTTAGGGACGTTCATTCGATAAAACCGTATCGAAATTTAGGTAAACCAAAATTTTCATACCGTTTGCCGAACTGAAACATGTGATTCAGTTCGGTTCGGTTCGGTAAATAACCAAAGTACCAAAATGTTATTAAAAATATTTAAAAATTTGATTTTTTTAATAGATTTTTGTTTAAATACTAATATTACATATACAAATATATATAAAAATAATAAACAAACCAAAGAGGATAAACACCCCTAGATAAATTTAACATCGTAAGGATGAACGTGTAAGACAATACGAAGTTGATGAGAGTGATTGTAATTATCCAAACATGAGGGCGTTTTCGTAATTTAACATTTCATCAGGGGTGCCCATAATTTGGCCTTCTTTTTTCTCTCTCCGTGTGTTGTGATGTTTCTTAGCACACAACAAAACCATAGCTTTCATGATTTTGACAAGTGCTGCTATAATCTTTATTATAATGAAGTTTAACTTATTTATTCGGATATTGATTTTGGTTGAGAATAAGTTGAGGCGATTACTAATTGTTGATGATTTGATTTAGACACAAATGAAATTATGGCTTATGCACAACTAATAATATCATATAGTTTGGTGGATAGTAAAATCAATTACCAAATCTATTAAGATTCATTCTGTTTCCAGTTGGACTCAACACACACACATTAATTTTTGTTTAATTATATCATTAATGACAGATCTTACAATACAATGAACTAAAAAATGGAACTAAAAATCTAATTGAGATTTAATAAAATAAATATTTGTACTGTTGGGGTGATTTCATAATCAAGAAATAGTGTACTGTTAAGAAGCTAAGATCAATTTCAACATCAATACTCTCTCTCTCTCTCTCTAGAAATTAATAAACAATTTAAATGAGAATTTGTGCTAACTGTTTGTAAGGCTTGATTTGCGCGTGTTTATTTGTAAAAGCAAATGTTTGACCACGTCCCACTTGGTGACCACAACACAACGGAAAAATGTGAGCAACAATGTAACTATTACTCCCTTCATTCTGATTTAATTATCGTTTTCAACTTTGCACAAGGACTAAGAATTTTATTAAATGTGTCTTGATTTTAGAAAAATGTATATTTTTAGACTAAAATGATCTTGTCTTATAATTAATAAGAAAGATAAATTAGTTGAAAAAAATGTTGAAAAAAGTTAATAAGAGTATAAACTGGAAATTAAATAATTAATGGAGTGTTGGAAATTTAAAGTGACAGAAAATATGGAACAAAAGAAATTCTCCAAAGTGACAGATATTATGAAACAGATGGAGTATTCGGTTTATTCTATGCTAAATCGAGTGAAATACATTCGGTAGATCTTTATCATTCAAACACACATACTTACACTGATGTGTGTAGATTAACAATAAAAAAAAAATACACAATGTAGTTTTCACCGGGTGTAGCATAAAAATAACCCTAATATACATGTGCACTAATATACATGTCGTATATACATGTGTAACTAATATACATGTGCACTAGTACCATTCTAGATTAGGATGGTCGAATTTCTGCAAATTGCTTAAAGTCTTCTGGTCTCTTAATTAGACCTTGCATTTATTTCGTCTGATCTAACTATACTTCGTTAAATTTTGTTCAACCCCATTGCACTTCGTCAAATTCGCTCCATCCTCGCTTCCCCGCAGGTACCAAATAAAATATTTAAAATGTTCTATTTAGATATATAAATACGTGCGATTTACTAAAGAAAAAGAAGAAGAAAAAAAAAGAAAAAAAAACCGTCGGCCACAAGAAAAAAACAAAAAATAATTATGGCGGGAAAGGGAAAGAAAGAAGACAAGAAGGTCCCCGTGACTTGGGAAAGATCATTACACAACTTGATTTCTCTCCCACATTAAACGCCGAACTAACCGGTTTTTTTCTTTTTCTGTTAAGGGCCCCATAATTTATTTTCTTTTCAATTTGGTTCCAAATTCTTACTTTTCAGGCAATTACGGCCACCTCCAAGGTAAGTCCAAATTACGAAAAAACTCGTCATGTTTAGATAGTTACAACCACCCCCTGAATTGTATATTGTATTATGAAAAAAAATCCATCATTCATTAAGTAAATTTGACACTGTAAAATAATACATAGTTAGTTGAATAGAGTGATTGCAATTATCCAAGACATGGGAGAACTTTTCATAATTTGAGCATAACTCAGAGGGTCGCCGTAATTTGTACTAATGTTTAATATAATAAAAAATAAATTCGTATTGCTCCAAAATATCGATCTAATATGTGGGATGACCATCTAGTTTGTTATAATAAACAACTAAAATAACTAAATAAGGTGAGTTGATTGTAAAATGCAATCTACGTTTATAAATTAATACAATTGGGTCTAATCAAATTTTGTTAATTTAATGAAATATTAATTTCGATAAATATTTTTTTAGCACATTTTCCCTGAGTCGTTGCCGAAAAAAAAATTATTTTATTAAAATTATAAATTTATCAAATATTAAATTAGCGAGATTTTTCGGTATATGTATATACATGTACATTTAAAGTTCAATTAATCAATCATATTGTTGCATTGGAATGAACCACGCGTGTTGGTAACAAATTTGGGTAATGAAATAAAAAATACATTTAAATAATTAAAACATTAATTAATTAGAAAATCACAATTAAAAAAAAAAAAAAGGAAACAAAAGGTTACGGGGCTCGAATAGAAGTGAGAGAAAAAAGAGGTGAGTAGAGAGTTTTTAGAGAGAGAAACAGAGACAGACGAGTAATCATGGAATTGTACTGAAAGCCTCTTTAGGGTTTGATCCAAATGCATAGTGCTGAAAACCCTCAACACAACACCCTAAAAAACCTCCATTTTCCGACCACCGTTTTGCCGCATAAATTACAGAAATAGCCCCCAACTGAAGCCACTCTCGAACTCTGCATGCCCGCCCGCCGCCCGCCGACAAAGGTTCGTCCCAATTTCCGTTGATTTCTCACCCACATTTGTAATTTCCGACAAACGTGTCGGAATCCTGTTATGATTTAGTGCATAAGAAGAAAGAAACAAAAAAAATGGGAGCTGATCCGACGAAATTAGTCTACATTATTATCATCGTTGGTTGTTGTTTGTTCACTTTTCTCGCCGGAGGCGGCGTTAACGCCGTCACCGACCAGAACGATTTCAAAATTCTGAACGATTTCAGACACGGCCTGAAAAACCCGGAGCTTCTGAAATGGCCTTCAATGGGGAACGATCCGTGTGGGCCCCCGTTATGGCCCAACGTGTACTGCTCAAACGGCAGAGTCACTCAGATTCAGGTTCAGGGCCTCGGGTTGGAGGGGCCGCTGCCCCCAAATCTGAATCAATTGACCAAACTCCAAAACGTCGGCCTTCAGAGGAACAGATTCACCGGAAACTTGCCTACATTTAGTGGCTTGTCCGAACTCCAATTCGCCTACTTGGATTTCAACGAATTCGACACGATCCCCTCCGATTTCTTCGACGGGCTTATCAGCGTTCGTGTGTTGGCTTTGGATAACAACCCTCTTAACAAAACGTCGGGATGGATGATACCGAGTCAGCTATCGCAGTCGTCTCAGCTGGTTAATTTTTCTTGCTTCGGTTGCAATATAATCGGACCGGTCCCCGATTTTTTCGGGAGTTTCCCGTCGCTCGATTCGCTGAGGTTGTCCTATAATAGGTTGTCAGGTTTTTTACCCTCCACTTTTCAAGATTCCAACTTGCAGGTGTTGTGGTTGAACGATCAAGAAGGCGGCGGCATAACGGGTCCCATCGATGTAATCACAACCATGGTTAGCCTAACTCAAGTTTGGCTCCACGGGAATCAATTCACCGGAACAATCCCCGAAGAAATCGGGCGTTTAACTTCCTTACAAGAACTCAACCTCAATAGTAATCGGCTAGTCGGACGGATCCCAACAAGCCTGGCTAACATGAAGAATCTCCAAATCTTGAATCTGAACAACAACATGTTCGTGGGTCCCATACCGAACTTCAAATCCGCGAATTTTACCTACGCGTCGAACTTGTTCTGTCAGGCGGGTCCCGGTGAACAATGCTCTCCACAAGTGAACGCCCTTTTGGATTTTCTCGGTGATTTGAATTATCCGGAGAGGCTGGCTTCTGAATGGACGGGCAACGATCCTTGCGGAGGGCATTGGTGGGGAATCACTTGCGATTTAAAAGACGAGGTTAGTGTCGTAAATTTGCAAAAGATTGGACTTAACGGTACACTTAGTGCTTCGCTCGGGAACTTATCTTCTTTAATCGAGGTTCACTTAGAAGGGAATAATCTACATGGGGCTGTTCCTGCAAATCTAACTCAGTTGAGATCGTTGAGATTGTTGAACTTGAGGGGGAACAATTTCGAGCCGCCGTTGCCGAGATTTCGAAATGGTGTGGAAGTAGTAATCGATGATAATCCAAAATTTCGATCGAACGGACCAAAGATATCCCCCTCACCATCTGATGTGCCATCTTCTCCAAATAATAATAATCCTCCAAATAATAATAATAATTCTCCAAATAATAATAATAACCCTCCTCCTCCTCCTCGTAATTACCGTTCCAATTCACCAAGTGTTGTAAACGAGCAACAAAATCCCACAAATTCAACAAAATCAAGAATCGTGTTAGTAGGGGCTGCAGTTGTGGGGTCCGCCATTTTTGCTCTTCTTGCAATCGTACTGACTGTCCACTGCCTTCGGAAGAAAAAAATTGCGGAAAATCCCGTTTCGAGCGTTGTAATCCATCCGAGAGATCCGTCGGAGGAGGACCATAGTGATTCGGTGAAGATCACAGTAGTGGATCGCTCCTCCTCTTCGGAGGTTCAAAGCGGTGAACACAGTAGTAACCTTCTCATTTCGCTGCAAGTCCTTAAAAAGGCAACCAACGATTTCGAACCGGAAAACGAGCTTGGGCGAGGAGGCTTCGGAGTAGTGTACATGGGCGAACTAGAAGACGGCACGAAACTAGCCGTAAAAAGAATGGTAGCTGGTGTAATGAGTTACAAAGCTTTGGACGAGTTCCAATCGGAAATATCCGTTCTTTCGAATGTTCGCCACCGCCACCTCGTGTCCCTATTAGGGTACTCTGCGGAGGGAGACGAGAGGCTATTGGTCTATGAGTATATGCCACGTGGGGCCCTCAGTAGGCATCTTTTCCGTTGGAAACATCTTGATTTGGAGCCTTTGTCTTGGAAAAGAAGGCTTAATATCGCTCTTGATGTTGCTAGAGGAGTGGAGTACCTACATTCTTTGGCGCATCGGAGCTTTATTCACCGTGATTTGAAATCGGCGAATATTCTTCTCGGTGATGATTTTCGGGCGAAAGTTTCGGATTTCGGATTGGTGAAGTTGGCGCCCGATAGAGAGAGGTCTCTTGCTACTAGGCTTGCCGGAACTTTCGGATATCTTGCACCTGAATATGCTGGTGAGCGTAATTTTTTTTAAGAAATTTCCGTTTTTTGCCGATTCTGATTCGATTTTTATTTATTTTGGAAAAATGTTTTTTCATTCCGATTTTCCGATTTTTTTTGGATTGGAATTGGAATGCATGAGATTCTGATTTCCGATTGAATTTTAACTTCCGAAAATTCCGGATTTTTTTTCCCCTGGAAATTACACTTATAAAGTTATAATATCAAAATTATTATGTATTACATATTAGGTTGCTAAAATTTTGGAGTTTTCCGAATTCCGATCAGAAACTTCCGATTTTGGAACAAGTTTTTTCATTCCAATTTTCGAAATTCCGATTTTTCCGAATTGTTCTGGAATGGATTGGAAAAAAAAATATTGGATTTTTTCCGAAAGTGCTGATTACAATCCGATAGGCTAAACTATATATTATATTTTCATCTCCGCTAATTAGTTAATTATCATTTTTTCAGTGACGGGAAAAATTACAACGAAGGTGGATGTGTTCAGCTTCGGAGTGATACTGATGGAGCTTCTGACGGGATTAGTGGCGCTCGACGAACAACGGCCGGAGGAGAAACGGTACTTAGCCGAGTGGTTCTGGCAGATAAAATCCAACAGAGAAACGGTAATAGATTCCGTGGACCCGGCTCTAGATGCGAAAGACGAAATCTACGAGAGTATATTCTCTGTAGCCGAGCTGGCAGGGCACTGCACAGCGCGGGACCCGTGCCACCGCCCTGAAATGGGGCATGCGGTGAATGTGCTGTCGCAATTGGTCGAGAAATGGAATCCGACGGAGGAGTGTTGTGGGATTAGCAATGTGCTATTGCCACTACCGCAAATGCTCAAGGGTTGGCAAGAACAAGGAGATAATAATACGGCGCGAGATTTGAGCGGGAGTAGCGAGGATAGTAAAGGGAGTATTCCGTGTAAGCCGTTTGGATTTGTCGATTCCTTCACTTCTGCTGATGCCAGATAAGTTATCTGTTTCTTTTTTTTTTGGCTTGTAATAATTTTTTTCTTTTTTTAAATTGTGACAGTGATTCAAATATTTTACACACACACACAGCATAGTTATGAGGTTATATGAGCTTTGGTGCTTGCATATTTTCAGACATTTCCTTTTGTTGGTCAGCATAATGAGGTACCAATTTGTTGGTGAAGTAAAAAAAAGTTGTATGTGTTTTCTTTCGGGAAAATTACACTTTTCGACCCTCAGATTTACCTCGATTTGACATTTGGTGGTCCATCTTGGTCACAATAAAACAGATTTATTTTCTCAATGTTTCAACAATTTAACATTTTTTGTCATTTCTGGTCAATTTTTCATTAGGACTAACGGAATCAAGTATGTGCTAGGCATTCTATTAATTGATGTTCTCTTAATTGACGGACTAACTGTAAATTGACTGAAATGACCAACAGAGTTAAATTGTTAAAAATGAGGGCCCAAATGTGTTTTTTGTGAACACGGAGGAATAAACGTGAAATCGGTGCACAGTTGAAGTGCTTTAACAGTAACTTTCCCGTTTTATTCATCGTGGTTTATACTATACTACATCAGATGAAATACATCGAGTAAATCTTTACAATTTATATACACGCATACACCTATACTAGTGTGTGTAAATCAACGGCAAAATTCTATCCAGTATAATCTTCACCAGTAAAAATCAACCCGATGCAACCTTCGTTGGCTATAGTATAAAAATAACTATTATTGGACGTTGTCAATAATATGGCAGCCACGTAATTAATGTATGACTTGAATGGGGAGTGGTCATGTCCTTATGATTAGGCATTGTCACACATTTAAACTTGTCTCACTTTTCTAGTCTATTCATTATGTCCAAATTCCATATCACCACTTATTACTGGTGAAAAAATCCTTAGCAATTAGGTCATCCTTATTTATTTTTAAGGGCAAATTACAGTCAACCTGGCACCACCAGATAAGGTCAAATTATAAAAAAAAAAAAAAAATCATTCTTTTTTGTATAATTACAACCAACTCCTCAATGACGTATTGTTTTACACTTCACTCTTGCAGTGTCAAATTTACCAATTGAAATAGGAATTTTTTCGTAGGAAATACATAGTTGAAGAGGATAGTAATAATTACCCAAACAAAGGGGTTTATTCATAATTTCACCTTACCTCATGGGGTTGACCGTAATTTACCCTATTTTAAAAAATAATTTTTAAAAAATCTGTATTTTCTTCTCATGGCCCATAAATTGGACTCTTTGTAGAACCAATTAGGTCACAGCCCACAATACATTTGGGCTTGGCAAATATATTCCTTCTATAGATGCCTATATATTAATGGCAATAGAAGTTCATATTTCAATTATGCCCTTGAACACCTTATTATATATTATATATTTTGTTAATTTCATGATTAAAGTTGACAAAAAAAAAGTACTTTAATATTAATATTTTTTAATCACAGCACTGATATTAATATTATCCTCTACTAATTATTATTTAAAGTAATGTACCTGCTGCCTTTTTGCCGCATTTATAATTAAATAGTAGAGGGCCCCACACAATTGATTAATTAATGAAGCAATATGTTTAAATATGGCACACTAACTAAATCATAATTGATCTTAAACTTTAATCATATGATATGATTAATGATTTGATACCTTTGTTACTTTGTTACTAATTTTCTATTAATCCCACTATTTTTTGTTCCACCGTCCCTTATTTCGATGTAATTCTAAACTTCATTGTATATAAAAACAAATTTAATTCTAAAATTATTTTTTCTTGATATAATATATTATTCTAAAAGACCGTCTATGGTTGGTAAATTAATTAGGAGGCTAGTTCATATCATTCAAGTAACTTGTCGATTGTATGGATGTGTACAAATGTGAATATTGTCCGAAATTGTAAAAAAAAAAAGAAAAAAAAATTGAAAAGTATAATTAAAACATGGCGCAAATAAATGAAGAGTTCGAAATTACCAGTATTAAAAGTTTCACATTCGATATAAGTTAAATATATACTCGAAATTTGATTGATTTATAATAAACTCCAGTAAGACTAACACCCTAAATAGAGTAAATTACGTGGAATCTTTAAGATTCTGTTATTCATAACTCCATAAGGATGTAACTATAAAATGGTGAAATAAATTATGGGATATTTATAACTACTAATACCACATGAATTTACAAGTTATTTAGTTTTATCTTAGGAGCATCGGCAATTTACCCTTATAATAAGTTATAAATATTCGTTTGTAGATTATTATACGAGTGTTGCATTCGGTCTAACACGACTAATATTTAGTAGTTGCTGCGTCTATTTTGTGTGGTAATCCATGCATATAATTAATGATTAATGAGATAGTGAAAGGTTTAATTGGTTATGTTAATACTACTTACCAATTAATTATTGATTAATGCATAATAATAATATTATGGGAATATATTTTGCAGCGAGAGAACATACCATACCATATAGCTATTCTCAACTCTGATGGTTGACCAAAAAAATAGGAGTCAACAATGCACGTGGCACGTGCGCATCACATGTTAGCCAGGGGAGCAGGGACAGTCAAAAGCACGTGTTCGAGCTCTGTAATACAGCGCTGAACTCGAGACCCCGCCATACTGCATAAATGCATCCTAATAACACGCTCTAATCAATACGACGTCGTATCATTGTGATGCCATTTCACTTCAATAATTTCAGATTTTTTCATTTGATTTTTTTGAGACCAAATTAAAACGGTAAATTTTAGTAGATGATAAATTTAAGTTAGTTTCAGCCACTTTCAGGTATGACAATTACTATTTGAAATATAATATTGGAATATCTTGATTTTTACACCTTGTAAGAGATGTGGTCTAGCGATTGGAGCAAGTGAACTTATGTCGATTGACTCAAAGTCGAATTATCTTGTTAATCAAGGAATCTGCAGCCAACCATATAGGTGCACTGCGTAAACGGACGCTCTCGTATAATAGATGAGCAAGTGAGTTTGTGTCAATTGACTCAAGTTCGAATCCCCTTGCCAATGAAAGAATATGCAACCACTTATATAGGTGCACTTGGTGAATCTATATGCAGCCTTGTATAACAGTTTGCAAACCATATGAGACACGTAAACCACACTAAACTAACCATGTATGACAAGTTCGACCTAGCAACCGTTGACAATGGAATTCAAACCTGAATTTTCAAAACAAATTATGATAGCAACTTGTACAAAATAAATAGGAGAGGTTTTATTTCACAAAACAATTGAAAATAGTACTAGATTAATTAATGATTAATTAGGTTTGGTGGAGTGTAATTTTGCCACCTGCAATTTACACTATTCCATTACTCCCACAATTATTAAATGAATAAAATAGAGTCATCTCTCTCTACTATTGAATAATAAAAATTGCCAATTATTGTTGTGAAAGCAATGGCCAAATATTAAGTTATTATTGTTTTTGTAATTTAGGGTTGTGATGATGGAGGACCTTGGTCCCATATGTTAATTGTATTGTTTGTATTTTCACATCTTGTAAACCAGCTGGGATTTGTCGGCAAATAGCAAATCACACTTTAAATGCAGTTTCAATTATATCAATATCATTTTGACTTCGAACTTGATTTTGATCATTTTTAGTTTGATTTAAGCAAAGTTCAAAGCGGAAAAAATGCAGTCTTTAGTGATAGCTTTCTAACCCAAATTCAATCAATTAAATCGATTCTCGAACGACAAAGTTGTGCATCAATATTCAATAAGGTACCTTTTGAATTTTAGACGACTTAATTAAAATCGTGGGCATTTATTGGTTTATACATATTTTTCTCACCCGACATCCAATTTTGGTGATTTATTGGTTACAAAAATAACTCAAAGACCTATTAATTCCCTTTTTTGAGTTTTGCCATATTCAGCTTCGAAAATGGTTAAATTTATAGTCTAAACGATACTATCAAAACTGAAACGACATTTTATCTCATTTTTTTCTTCTTCTTTAAATCATGTGAATTCCCAATTGATCAAATGAATGATTTATGAAATATAGATACACAAGATAATTTCCTTTTAATGAAAATACAAATCTTGCCAAATCCTTTAATTTTCTTTCTAGAATATGAATTTAACCAGCATTGCATAAACTGGTTATTTCACTCGATGTTTTTCACCATGTGTAACGTCTCGTAGATTCATCCTGAACTTCACTACTGTATTTCTACCGTGTGTGCAAATCAACGATAATATACAATTAAATATATTTCATCCGATGTATCGTATAAGAAACTAACAAAAAATTAAATACAATTTCAAGTGGAGGTAAAAAGAAAATCATTTTTATTTGATTGACACCTCACAGAAGATATCGTAGGACTCGTCGCAGTGAATAGGGCCCTCTCCCGGACTAAAAAAATGTCAAACAGTAATAATTAGTTGGAAGTTGCACCATCAACCCAACCAAACCCTCTCCTAAACCTAACCATGATTAACTGCTAAACCATGTTTTAAAAGCAATTAATTAAAATCAAATTATACTAATCTCTTCTCCACAGATCAGTGTCCAAAAGTAAGAGAAAGAGAAAGAACACAACAAAAACAAAACACTATACACAGACAGCTCAGGGCCAATGCAGCTTTCTTTGTTTCTGATTTTTTTGAGTTCTCCAAAGGCAAGTTGGATTGGATTTCATTCCTCAGACTGCTTTGTTTTCTCGGATTCAGTGCTGTAATTTTTTATTTTTTGTTTTAATGGGGGCGTTGATCTGAAAATGGGGAGGAGAAGGAGCAGAAAATCCATAAATTAGGTTAATGTAGTTCATTTTTTGTTGCATTATTTATGTTTGTGCATTTATTTACGAGCGAGCCACGATTGCAATAGTACAGTGAGATTTTCGGAGAGGGCAGTCATCGGAGATTAGGATTGACTTGGGTTAGTGAAACTGAAATCGAGAGTTGGGGATTTATTGTTGGAGGAGTGATTAGGGCTTCGAATTTGGGGGAATCGATGGAATCGAAAATGGAGCAGTATGAGATCATGGAGCAGATTGGGCGTGGAGCTTTTGGCGCAGCCATTTTGGTTAATCACAAGCTGGAAAGGAAAAAGTAAGAATTTACTAAAAAGTGGGGTTTCTGTTGGTTTTCTGAAGATTGCACAATGATGGTTTTTTTCGATTTACCGAAAAATGTGTAAAGCTTTTCCATCTTATTTTTAACTGATTTTTGGGGAATGTGATATAGGTATGTGCTCAAGAAGATTCGATTAGCTCGGCAAACGGAACGTTGCCGGAGATCAGCTCATCAAGAGGTACATCTCCCCTTTTTTTTTTTTTTTTTTTTTTTTTTTTTTTTTTTTTTTTATATATTTATGCCCATGGACTTGATTTGACTTGTGCAGATTGAATTTTTTTTAATCTTAACAATTGTAACTATATTTTCTTGATTTCCCGTTTTTGGGGATCTTCACTCCGTTCGAGAAAATTGTGTCACTAGAATTCAGTTTCAGTGTGAAAGTGTCTCGATGGTTACATCGTAGATAAAGTGAACTTTTATGTTGTGAATACGGCATTGGCGATCTTTTTAGTTGAATTTCATGTTTAGTGATTATTGATTAACGAATGCGTATATTTCAGTTTAGTGCTATGGTATCTAAAAATTGAAAAAAAGTTGTTTTCCGGCTATTTGAAATATGCAGATGGCGTTGATTGCACGGATACAACATCCATATATTGTTGAGTTTAAGGAAGCTTGGGTAGAAAAGGTAGTTAATTATCCATGATTGATTCTGTAAGATTTTAATTTAATAGATTTCGTATTTTCCCCACTGAGCTTCTCTGTTGCGAAATGCTAAAATCAGGGATGCTACGTTTGCATAGTTACTGGCTATTGTGAAGGTGGTGACATGTAAGTTGTTTCATTATACAATTTTAATAACTCGAAATTTCAACTGATTTTCATTACTTTTGACGTTTATGGATGTTGGTGATTGAATTTGTAACAGGGCTGAAACGATGAAAAAAACCAACGGCCAGTACTTTCCGGAGGAGGTTTGAGTTCATCTCGTTGAAATAATTAGTCTTTTCTTCTGTTCTTTTTAATTTTTAATTGATATAAATCGTGTACAATGTGCAGAAACTGTTGAAGTGGTTCACTCAATTACTACTGGCAGTTGATTATCTTCATTCGAATTATGTTCTGCACCGGGATCTCAAAGTAATCGTCTATGTATTTAATGTGATTCTTTACAATAAATTTTCTATATTATCTTAAATGGTTTTCTGGGGCTGATATTGTTAGCACTTTCTTGGCAGTGCTCGAATATTTTTCTTACCAAAGATCAAGATGTTCGTCTAGGTAAGCTTGGGCTATAGTTTCTATTGTTGAATTCAGAACTATAATTATTGCATACGTATCTCTCGGAAAATAATTTTCTGTTTCTTTTTTTTTTTTAACTTTTCTTTTGAGCAGGTGATTTTGGACTTGCTAAAACTTTGAAGCAAGATGATTTGGCTTCTTCGGTATGTATTTTTTTTTTATTCATGGTCATTTTGTCGCAATCTCGGAGGAGATAATTTATCAACCAGTTTAGATAGAGGAAAAGGCAGTCGGAATTTCTCTACTTAGAAATTAACATACTTATTGTACGACAAAGTCTAGTATAAAGGTTTGTCGAATTGAACTGTTGTTTTCTTGATTCTACACAGGTAGTTGGAACGCCAAATTACATGTGTCCCGAACTTCTTGCTGATATTCCTTACGGATTTAAATCCGATATTTGGTCTCTTGGTATGTCAATTTTTCATTTTATCTTCTCTGTGTAACAACGCCATTTGATTTTTTCAAATTGCCATTTCGTGACGTTTCATTTCTCAATTCTATAGGTTGTTGTATGTACGAAATGGCTGCTCATCGTCCGGCATTCAAGGCTTTTGTAAGATTTTCACTCTGCAACCTAATTTTCTTGCCCCTAAAGAATATAACATATATGTGTGTGTGTGTGTGTCATTTTTGGAGTTCTCATTGTCTTTTATTATTTAAACTCTTATATTTTATTTTTAATAGCCGGATAAAATGTTTCAGGACATGGCGGGATTAATAAGCAAGATTAATCGATCATCTATCGGCCCTTTGCCTCCGTGTTACTCTCCATCCTTGTAAGTAAATAATTCGGTCCTTCTAAAGAAGTAAATATATATGAAAGTAAATTTCGACTAATATTTTCACTCAAACAGGAAAGGGCTAATCAAGAGCATGTTAAGAAAAAACCCGGAGCACCGATCAAGTGTAAGAACTAAGAACCCTCCATATATCATCATTTTCAATTTATTTCGTCTTCCTATTTTCAAATAAATAATATAATCTGAAATATTTATCAGGCGTCGGAACTGCTGAAGCACCCATATCTACAGTCGTATATCGAACAGTACCGCCCATCCTATAACCCCGTTGCTTATATTTCACCTGAGAAACCTCTCTCCAATCGCGAGAGTCGAAAAAGTATGGCTGAAAGTCAAAGTAGCAACAGTTCTTGCAGTGACAGAGACAGCTTAATGTCGAACGAGAGAAACATTATCAACAGAGATATTACAGAGTCGCCTTCTTTGTATGACGGTGTTGGTTCTAGACAGCTTCAGTTGAGAGAAGAAACGGAGTTCTTATTGCCTGTAATAAATACCAAAGAAGATGATGTTGGAAAACCAAACGGCAGTGAATCAAAGCAGCCTAAGACAATTAAGAATATTATGATAGCACTCAAAGAAGGCAAAAGCAGAGAGAATAGTTCTCCAATGAGAAGCAACCATGCAAAAGGGCAGAGAATAATCGTCGAAGCATCTCCAAGATTCACCAAACCGGGCCCCGTTAATCACGGTCTTAAGGGTAATAATAATGCAGAGACGCCATTGAAGGCGCACTCTGATTCCACTAAGCGAACAGTACAAGGAACACACTCTTTGAAACATCAGGTATTAAAAAATTAGTTTCTATAACTTTTTATATTTCATGACTAGGGTTCATAATAATAATGATCGATGTATCTATGTATCGATATATATGCAGTTGCCTGTAATGGAAACCCCTCCGAAGACAAAAGCTAGGCATGAAGGTATTCCTCCATCGGGTCCCGCAAAGCCTATTAGTCCTGAAGAAGGGTTCTCTATAAGGGCAAGACAAAAAACACCTCCGAACACACTTTCTAGAAGGCCGTCTTTTCCTGTACGGATAAGGCAAGTGGTTCCCGATACAAAGATTGCTCCTATCGAGGTTCAAGATTCCGAACCAACGAAATCGGTGCCTTTTGCTTGCAATTCACATATTTCGAGGGAAATTATGCAACATTCTAGGAAGCCTATAGGGGCAGGTTCTAAGAGAACAATGCAAACAGATAGTAGCAATTCGGCTTCTTCTTCGATATCTATCCAAGGATTTGAGCTCTCTGACGATGCCTCGGAAATCGAAACGGGAAAATTAGCGACTGAATTTGAAATTAGCGACACTAGACCAAGCTGTTCCACCCCTTCGTCCACATCATACTCCGAAAGAGTACTCGAAAATTCGTCGGCAAATTCGAATGATGACTATAAATGCTCCACCGATAATAATAATACATTTCAAGAACCGTCGGATGATAAAACTATGCATGCGACCGCTTTTGACGACAAAACTAGTTCTATTGGAGAAGATGACAAGTTCATGGTGGTGAAGAAACACGTTCCTCCGGAATGTGCCACTTCTTCGGCAAATGTGCAAAATGCGGCTAAAGAAAAAACCAATATCCCACAAGCGTGTAATGAAGTGATACACGTGATACGTCACAGCAGTTTCCAAGTCCAAGGGAACATTGACCGAAGTGTGGATGTTGGTAAGTTGATTAATGTTGTAAGAGATGACTTTGATGTACAAGATTCGAGTTCGAAATTGTCTAATAATTTCTCTGAGAATGTGGTTCCGAATTCGAATATCTCCGAAACACCCATCACAAAGGAAATCGATGTGGGGCCCACAGCAAATGCAGCCCCCATTGTTGCGAGATCGGATTCTTCAGAAACGGTGAAAGTGCAAGAAGAAGCACCGGTGGTACAACAAATTAAGGAAACACTGGATGTGAATTCGTTCAGACAAAGAGCGGATGCGCTCGAAGGGCTGTTGGAACTGTCTGCAGATTTGCTACAGCAGAGTAGGCTAGAAGAACTTGCTGTGGTACTCAAGCCTTTTGGAAAGGAGAAGGTTTCACCGAGGGATACGGCTATTTGGCTCGCCAAAAGTCTCAAAGGAATGATTATAGACGAGACCGGTCGCAATTTGTGAATCACAGAATGTACACTGCTATTCGTTTCTTGATTTTTTTTTTTTTTTTCAATTTGTGTAATAATTTTCAGACATTGATATTGTATATAGTCTTATAATTCATTATGTTAAAGAAGAGAACAATGTTAGCAACTTCATCATTTGAAAATTTTGTGACATTCAGAATCATGTTTAAAGATGCTGTTAAAAAAATAAAGTAAATATTTTTTTGAAATAGTAAAATAATATTTTAAAATATATTATTTTTAGTTTTTTTTCCTCAATAAATCCAATTTAAATACTAAGAAATACATGTGATTTTATTTTAAAAATAAATAATAAAAAAGGACTTTTAAAACCGGGTGAAGTGTACTCATTCTTCTTGTTATGGCCCAACATTTGACTTTGACCTCGAAATATATATTAATATAATAATCATAATATGTATAATTTTCAACTGATTTAATTCCTGTCAAATTCTAGGTCAACCCCCTAGTGAATCGCACGTACCAGTACAACTAAAGTCCAACCCATATAAGGTAAAACAATTAAAATTTGTTTCGTCAATACATAATGATACAACTAATTTTTTCTATAAATTATGGTGGTGAATTTAAGTCATTCTAGTACAAAATTAATTTTAATTCGTTGACGTAAACTGAGTCAATTGTACTAACTTAATCAACTCATTTAATTTAGTTCTTTAAATCGATTGAATCAACCAAAAGAGAAAGAAGAGAAAAAACGGAACATTATTAGAAAAAAAAAATAGTACGAGGGACTGTAATTAAATAAACAAATTATGTTTTCTTACCTCAAATAGTAAGAAGATATCTCAGGATTTTCCTCAAATTATAATTTAGAAAATTACAAATAAAGGTATATTTTCCGAATATGTATGTATTAGTAGTATATAACATTTTTGAAAATAAAGTTACTATTTTAGCCAGGTCACCCATTTATTTAATTTAATTATTATAATAATATTATTATTTGTTTTAGTTGTTTAGGTCAATGAATTATGACTATCTCGATGGGAAACACCTATGTAAAGGTTCCAATTGAGCTGAAGGAATTATTCCTTAGATTGCTTCGCCCTCAATAACAAAAAGATATCGATTAATATTATATTATATTATATATATATATATAAATAATTAATACTGAGCTGCACGACCCAACTCATCAAAAAAAAAAGAGCTGCACGACCCAAAAACCTCTCTCTCTCTCTCTCTCTCTCTAGTTTCTCTCTCACACACAAAAACGCGGAAACACACTCAGTGCGTGTGAGTTTCTGATTCTCTGTCGACCGACTATTCACGCGCCACCGAGATCTGCGCTGTTTGCCGATGGCAGACCCCAATAGACCCGTCACAGGCTATCCCGCCGCAAACCCTCAGGGGAACGGCTACTCAGCTAATCCACCGCCCTCCGGAACCGCCTACCCCTACGCCGCCGCTCCTCCTCCTCCCTCCGGCGCCTACTACGGCGGCTACCAAAACAACGCCTACTACCCCAACAATTACCAGTCGGACCAGGAGTCCGTCCGCCGTGCCACGTGCCTCCGCCGCATCTTCGCCTTCGTGATCGGGCTCGTCGTCATCTTCGGAACCATCACCTTCATCGTCTGGCTCGTCCTCCGCCCCCAGCTCCCCGAGTTCCGAGTCGACTCGTTCTCAATCTCCAATTTCACACTCGGCAACAACTCGCTCGTCTCGTTCACTTCCGAAGTCCGATTGACCGCACGAAACCCTAACAAAAAAATGACCCTCACGTACGACCACATCGAGGCCGTCATCTTCTACAAGTCCAGCTCGATCTCCGAAACCACCGTCCCTCCGTTTTACCAACCGACGAAGAACGAGACCTCGTTGGCCGCAAATTTTGCGGCGGCCGGTAGTTTTGTCGAGAAATCGGTGTTGGATGGGATAAACGGTGAGAGAGGGAAGAATGGGAATGTGAATTTCAATTTTAGAATGCTTTCTAGGGTTAGGTTCGAGGCGAAAGCATGGACTACTCGAAGGAGGTATTTGAAGGTCTTTTGCGGAGATTTGATTGTTGGAATCCCGACCAATGGGAGCGTTGGTGCGTTAACCGGAGGGCCGAGGCAATGTCGCGTAGGAATTTGAGGTGAACTAATGTGTTTATTTTTTCGCTTCCTTGTTAAATTGAATTGTTAGGCGTTTTTTCGTTGGATGTTTATTCGATATTTGTTGTTGAATGATGAGGGAGAAACTTGTTCGCTTCCGTACTTTTGATATTCTGATACAGAGGAAGTGCTTTCGTATTAACCGATTCTGGTGTACAGTTGAAACAATTCTGTGGTTCTTTGATTTTTCAATTATTGGTTAACTCTATTTGCTTGTCAAATAATCGGGCTTTGTTCATTTGGCGATTTACTTTATATCAGTTAGCACTAGTTTATGTGGCTTTAGTTGGGAAGGAAGCAATATTTTTGCCTACGTCAAGATAATCCGAACCGGTTGACATTTTCAGTTGAAGAAACAAAAAAAGTCGGAACTGCTACTAAATTTGGTAGTTACTAGTTTTAAATATGAATGTCCGACGTGTATTTCAACATGTTCCGCCATTACAAAGTGCATATCTTGACGATTTGTATTTTATGGATGTTGTTGTGTCTATTGCTATATGCCACGTGTCTATCGACCAATGAATGAAAGTAATTGGTTAAGCGGTAATGGGTGATGATTAATAAATGACGTGGCATGTGGTTGCGGTTTTTGTATAGTCGACTGGTGCATAAACACGTCACACGTGTCCGCTGGGATTATTTTGTTTTCTTCTTCTTTTTTTTTTTGATAAATCTTTTGGTGTATAGTTCACCGGTTCACAAAAACGTGTTTGCTGGGTAATTTTAGTGTAAGATAGAAACGGTGATCTTGTAAGACAAAGAAGAAGGTTTCTCGGTAGGATTTGTAAGGTTTAAATATACGGAGTGTACAATGATGTGTGGTATGTGGCAGCCAATTTCAGTGCTACCTTCATGGCTAATCGATAGGCTCTGGGGTCGTTTTTCGAATTAGAAACTTCTTATCTTATTTGGGATTTGCTGTGATCGGCTTGGTTTGGAGTTAATGGTTGTTTCAGTAACCATTTTGGTAGTACGGGAGATTCGTATATAGAGTTCTTTGTCTTGTATGCTCATTTATATATGATTATTGCAAAAATCATATCTGTGTATTCGTACTTTTCTCGTGCATCTTTCATTTTAGATATTTAGATCAACCTCGTAAGCGAAAAAAATAACAACCACCAGAGAGAGAGAGAGAGAGAGATTTCTGCATGATTGAATATAGGTATTCTGGTTATTGCTCGATGAATATGCTGTATTATTGAAGGTGGTTACTTTAGTTGCTGAAAGCTAGCATAATACTTGATATAGAAATTCAATGGTATTTAATGATTAGAAATTATATTATATCTTAAAAAGTTGATTTTATTCCATAATGGCGTCATTTCGTACAAGGATATCGACCCTATGGTTGTCACTATTGCTAAGTATATTTCAGTATATATGTACTATAGAGGAAATTCATTTGTTCGGTGTTTCTTGCGATTATAGAAATACACTAGAAGTAGGAGCAAGTGAGAAAAGTGAGCTTATATGCTATTTGTAGATAGTGTTCATTTTGGTTGTTCCTATCGAAGTTCTGCTTTTGAACAAAATGTTCGTTTTCGGTTTTCCTTGATTGATTCACAAAAGCGTCTTTTATATGGTGACGAAACTATTCTGATTTAGAAACTGCTGATTCTTAATTGAATTCATTGCTTGAATCCAAATGCGACCTTCGTGTTTTCTGCCCCTTGGTTGCAAATATACATATATTGATGGTTTTTCCGTCTAGTTTTTTTGTCGATGCTAATCTTATAGTTCGTCTTACACAGGTGTAAATTATGCTTCAAGAGGTATATAAATACTTGGTTGAATTCACAGTAAACTTTTTCCCCTTCATCTGTGAAGATTTATGTTTCTAATCTAAGGATTTTATTTTTCCCAGTTCGTTTATTTATCAGTTTCATTTCTTGATTAATCATGTAAAAAAAAACGAGCAAAATGGAATGGAGTGTCTGCCTTGAACTATACAAAGAACATTGCCCAATTTGAACGTTTCTTTTCTTTTCTTTTCTATTTTTCCTCATTTTCCTTCTCATATTAATGAAATATGTACCCCATCAAGGGCAAATTACGGCCACCGTCTGAGGTGAGGTCAAATTACGAATAAACTCATCATGTTTAGTGATTACTGTCACTCCCCTCAACTATGTATTGTCTCACGAAAAAACTCCTCAAGTAGGTAAATTTAGGGGTGTTTATTCGAAAAAATTGTACCAAAATTCCGTTACAGCCAAAATTTTAAACTGTTTACCGAACTGAAATATGCGGTTCGGTTTGATAAATAATCGAATTGCCGAATCTATTAAATGTTTGATTACTTTTAATAGATTTTACTTTAAATACTAATATTACATATACAAATATGTATATAAAATAATAAAAAAACCGAATATCGAACTGAATTCCTTGTTCGATAATTGACACATACTGAATTTTTGTTTGTTTCAGTTCGATCTTTTGACCGACCCGATGAACACTCGTAAATAAGTCTGACACCGGAAATATGGTTGTTTAAGACAATACATAGTTCAGATGATGGTTATAATTAACCAAATATGAGGAGATTTTTCGTAATTTGACTTTACTTCAAGTGTGGCTGTAATTTGCCGACTCATTAATTACAATATCCAACAAAGCTAATGAAACTCTAGCAATAAATGGAAGGAAAAAAATCATTTAAGGGCTCCTTATTTTCACGAAAAGTTAGGTGGAACGTTTAAAATAAAAATAAAAATACAAGAAAAAAAAAATTGTTTAATAAGTGTTGGAAAATAGTGGAAGTGATTCTTCTTTCCAGGCAGGTGGATTGGTCGGTGGCCTATTATTATTACTTACACATTCGATTGGATAATGTTGTCATCTTCGAAGAGTTCAAACACCTAGTGGGCCCCACTTTAATTCCTGAATCTTACTAGCCTTCATATTCAAGCATATATTCATTACCCTAATTTCAAGTGCAAATATAATGTGGTGTACTATGTTTAGTTTCTCTCTCAAGACTTTATGTAAAATTAACTATACTAATACAGCCGTTGGTTTGGATGTAATCCTTCTCCATGCAATTAATTATCTAGAGTTAAATTGATTTAAATAAATAAATTAATCCTTGAACTCCTAAGACTATAAAAAAAAATGTGGGGGTAAACAAACAAATTAGGGTAAATTATGAAAAGTCCCCTGAACTTAGACTAAATTGCAAAAAACACCCCACTTTATCAGTAACTATCAAAATTTTCCCAACGTTTGTGTCTATATTACACCGAACCCCTTACGGTGTGATTGATTATGGAATCTTTTTCATTCAAGTAATAGTTCCCAAAAAATGCCAATTTTACTCATACAGGCTACATACGTGTCATTTCTTTATGCTACCTCAAGGAGCCTTCGCGCGAAATCTTTGATTGATCGCAAATAACACCTTCAAAATTTTTTGTACAGTATCATCCATATGAGGTAATTTTTGTATTTAAAAAGTAGCATAAAAAAATGTCACGTCAACAGAGGTCGAATTGATTTTTTTGGGAAATATTAATTGGAATTAAAAAGATTATATAAATCATTACACCATAAAGGTGGTCGATGTAAGACGGAAACATATGTCGGAGGGATTTCGATAATTACGAATAAATGTGGGGTATTTTTGTAATTTTGCCTCAGTTCAGGGTTTTTTTTTGTAATTTAAATCCTACGTTAAATAACACATCACCTACATTATATTTTTCACCGGCCTACAAAAAACTCCATACTGCAATCCCTCACACCACCACCACCACCACCACCACCGCCGCCGCCGCAACATGACGGCCAAGGACTGCGGCCACGACGAAGACAACCGAAAAAAGCTCTACCGCCGCCTCTTCGCCGCCGCCCTCGGCTTCACAGCCGCCGTCCTCTTCACAATCCTCCTAGTATGGCTAATCCTCCGCCCCGCCAAGCCCCATTTCATCCTCCAGGACGCCACCGTCTACGCCTTCAACCTCACCGCCACAAACCTCCTCACCGCCAGCTTCCAAATCACCCTCTCATCCCGAAACCCTAACGGCAGAATCGGCATCTACTACGACAAAATCGACGTCTACGCCGCCTACCGCAGCCAGCAAATCACCATCCCCACCCTCCTGCCGCCGTCCTACCAGGGCCACAAGGACACCACCGTCTGGTCGCCGTTTCTCGGCGGGGGCGCCGCCGTCCCCGTGGCGCCGTACCTCGCCGCTTCTCTGAAAGAGGATGGGTCGTCGGCGGGGACTGTGATGGTCAACGTCAGAGTTGACGGCAGGATCAGGTGGAAAGTGGGGAGTTTCGTTTCCGGGAAGTACCGTCTGAACGTGAATTGTCCGGCTTATATAAATTTCGGTGAGAAGAAAAACGCCGCCGCTGTTGGGGCGGCGATCAAGCGTCAGCTGATTATGGACTGCAACGTTGATGTTTGAGCTCTAGCTGTACTGTAGTGGTGTTTTAATAATAATTTAATATTCCTTTAATTTATTTATATTATATACTATATGTTCCTATTTTAATTGTGCTTTTATGTATTTAAATTTCTTGATGTTGTTACTAATTTATGTCTATGTAAATTTGATATTGTATCGAATTCGTTGAATATGTATTGCACTTTAATTTTTTAGTTTAACATTAATATTAAATAATATTTTGTAATATTTTTTAGTATATGAAGGTATGTATATAATTACACATAACTTCAAGGAAGGTTAATGTAATTTATTCAATATTTGATTAAGAGTAAAAAAAAACATGGAAAATATTAAGGCAAAAAATTCATACAGCTCCCCGAATTTGAGTCCGCAACAAAAGTAAAGCTGCCCAAGGAACATAACTCATTAGCCTAGCTCACGAATCAAGTCAAGTTTCAGTGATCTGATTTCGTTTATACTCCGAAAGTCCATTTTTGTAATAATTTTAGGGAAGAATTTAGAAGATTTAGGATTCAACTCTTCCATTATTTTTGTAAATTCTCGTTTTTTTCCAGGTTTAATTAAGATGTTATTATTTTTCATGAATATAAATACGTTTATAATAATAGCTAGGTTTTAATACAAGTTAGAATTTAGTACAATTTTGAGGAAATTTTCCCTCTTTTTCGGTGGATTTCGAATATTTCTACATGATTAACTTGACATCATTAGTGCTTTCATACACTAATCGGATCCGAGTTTGAAACAAGAACCCTATCTCAAGAAAATGGTCCAAGAACCCCTTTCATCGTGTAGACACCTAAATGTCCATTTTTGCTATTTTAAGAAAGTTCTAAAAAATCCATGTTAATTCATTGACAAATCACATGAAGAGTCAATAAATTGGATTGTCTCAAAATCGCGAGATCTATTAGAAATAGGGTTTTTAACTATATTGCACCATTTTTTGTAAATTTCCACTTTGGCTCGCCCTGCTTCAAACCTTCTTGGTTGTTAGTTGGCATACAAATTAAACTGCGTTGCTTCGATTTGCAGCACCACCTTCAAAACGCTACAACTAGAGGCCCCACACAGATAGATATACATGTGTTCGTGTGTGTGTGTGTGTGTGTGTTTTAAAAGCTTTACCACATAATGAAGTTCAAACTGCATTGACAAGACCGTTGCATGAAAGACACAACCAAAAAGGCATTCTCGTATCGTCTCAATACTGTTGATGTCGAACAAACTCGAATTGAAACCTTACTTACACCTTAATAATATAAAGCATAAAAACCACATACCAAAATAACTTGACCAAATACCAATAGAAAACTTTCACAAAGTCCGTTTCTTTGTAAATTCGTTAGCAGAATTCAGTGGGAATATCGTGCTCAACCGTTGATCTAATTTACCAAACTCAAGGTTCCCAATTACTGCACTGTACATAAAGACGACATAGTACAAACAAATATAAAAAATACCCCGCTCCCCAAAGTGAGAGCAAAAACAAAAAGAGCATGTTCCTTTACATAATGTATCACCTTTTTTTCCGCGCGTTTATATCCGACTTATATCACGACCGAAAATAAAAGTCGTCAACCAGTTGATGGCAACATAAAATCTGTTCCTCCAGCTTATGACACGAGAGAGATAAGCCGATCGCCAAATAAACCAGCTCATAAATCCCGCCATTGATACACCTTTTCCTTCCTGAAAAAAAGAAAAAAAATGACGTAAAAAACCATCGCCACATAGCTGTAAAAATACTTCGTCTATAAGGGCATAAGAATAAACCTTGCTCTGCCTGAGGTCCACGAGGGCCTTGTACCTCCCAATTGTAGCCATGCTCCCCAAATGCTTATACACAAACGGTTCCCCAAAATCCAAGTCTTTTGCTGCATTTGCCCTTCCACCACCAGCCTTGCTTAAATGGTTTAAAAGTTTCGCGAGATATTTTCCTTGTCTTTCTGCCACCTGGAAGAAGAAGAAACCCTTTTTTGGTTAGGGCATGTTTGAACTTTGAAGACATTGGAATTGGACCCTCTTTTCTAGGATGATTTTAAATTTTAGGGCATATATAATGTACCTGAGCCAAGGCTGGAAGAACAGGCTTGCCTGTACTTTCAAGAAACCCACTGCAATCGCCGATTGCATATACGTCCTGCACTGTAGGAGTTCTTAGCCACTCATCAATCCCAATCCTACAAAAAAAAAAAAAAAATGAAACTCTACATTAAAAAAAAACAAAAGGATTAAAAAAAAACCTATTCTAGGTATTTTATACCTTCCACCAGGTGCTTTGGGAATTTCGAGGGCATTCACAAAAGATGAAGGACCAACACCTGTCGACCAAACTAAAACACCATATGGAATATCGGTACCATCGCTAAGATTTATCTTATCAGGTTGAACATCCTTCACGATTCCACGCACAAGACGTACTCCTGACTGAGAGGCTGATGTGTCAATCACCAAATAGATTGCGAAACTACGAAAAATTAATGCCGTATATGCATGGAGACAAAAGATTGTGAAACTCGAGGGTATTTTTGACGAAAACCTTTTTTTATCACCATTCTTGATCAAATTTCGTAATGCATACATAAGCTATCACATTCTAGTTCTTCCATTACTGATCTCAAGTTCCTCAGTCAAATCTGTAGTTAATAATTAATAGTCTAAATCTATAAACTCAGTGAAATCTGTGGCCAATTCCCACAACAATCGAATCCATACAAATATCCCAAAAAGCAAAGCATAGAGTCAGGGTATCTTCTTTACTAGACTAAGTTAAACACACATTAGTTTATTAATTTCTCAATATTTATTTATTTTTACGCAATTCTAATACTAAGGAATATGCTTAACCTCTCACCTTTGTGAGTTGCTTAATTGCATACTTTCTGAGGCGATCGTCAAAGGACGAGAGTATCTCGTGTGCCTGCAACGTCAGAAAACAATAGATTGAGGACATGAAAAATTTAATTACAAGTAAGTTTGAATACAACTTCTTGTAAGCCTAACCTCAACTAACGTGACATGAATATAATCTTTCACATGCGCGTATCTTTGATGAACGTCCTTCCGTATAAAGTCACTGAGTTCTCCACTGAATTCGACTCCTGTGGGCCCACCTCCAACAACAACACAGTGCAGGAGCCTCCGCTTCTCCTCATCGGTGACCCCTGTTTTAACCAGCCATACACAACAGCAAATTAGAGAAAATTAATCGCACTTAAGACGTAATTAAGATTTAGTAGATCGATTTTATGCTTACCTGGAACATCTGACAGCATCAGATTTAGCAGCAGTTTTCTCCTGATTTCTTGAGCATCGGAAACTTCACGGAGAAAGGTTGCGTGTTCTTTTGCACCTTTGATACCGAATGTAGAAGCCTGCGCTCCGGAAGCAATTACTAGCTTGTCGTACGAGATTTGGAATTTCCATGGATCTATGGTTTTAACCCCTTCAGTGACAGTCTGGCAGTGAATCTAAAAACAAAACAAAATTCAAAAATTCAACGAGGCTCGCTTACATTTGACAATTGCATTTATTGAATTTCAGATCACTATGCGCTAGATTCTATAATCAAAATCAATAAAACACTTTGCCAAATGTCGTAACCGTGATTTTCATGGAGTTCGCGCCGAACATTACATTGAATTGGAATTACTATCTGAAGATCGAGAAATTTAATTAATAAGTAATCATAAAAAAAAAAAAAACAGAATACCTGATGATTCTGGAAATCGACTCCAGTGCAATTTGCGAGGAAGAAGTAAGAACCGGGTTCCCGAGAAATGGCGGGCTGGATCCTCCCAATCGGTTCAGCGACCGACCGGAATTCGAGGGTTCCGACGCACGTGGAAGCGAGGAGAGGGGTGAACACCATGTGATTCCTCGGCGAAACACATACAATATCATACTGTTTGGTGTCGATGTCCTTGATGAACCTGCAACCGGCCCAGCCGGTCCCCAAAACCACCACTCTGGGCTTCTCGTCCCCCTTCGTCGGCGCCAAACCGGGATAGGTTACCTGAGATCCGGCGCTGAAATGCCGCAATAATTGGGTGAGCGACGGCGCAGGAGAAGCACGACCGAATATCGCCGCCGCGGATTTGTGCGGCGGCGGCGGCGATTGTCTGGCGTAGGAGGCAGAAAGCTGGAGGAAGTTTCGCAACCACGGCATGGTGACTTTTTTTTGCTTTTAAAAAAAATAAATTAAATTTGTTGAAATAATTGATGTTGGTGAGAAGAAATCAGAAATGATGAAAAATCTCCATGGATTTGGGGGTTTGGTGCGTGGGGTGGGGTGCGGCTGCTGAAACGGTGGCAGTAGAGTCAACACCTGGCAGTCGTAGATAGTGATAGTGATGTATACGGTTGAATCTCATAGATTAAGAGTTTTGGGGTAAATATTAAAATTATAAATGTATATTATATTTTATATACGTTTTTATTTATATAAATAAATATATTTTCATACATACATATTCAAAATAGATTTTATCAACTAATCAATTTTACAGTAAATCTTATAAATAATTAGGAAAGTAACAAAAATATCTAAAAATTTGCTATTCAAACATGTTTCTAATTTTTTAGAAATTACAAAATGGTCCATAAGGTGTCCAACACGTGTCCTCGAGTGTTCGGCACGTAACGTGTCAAAGATACGGAAACGTTAAGCAATTGAAGTTTTCGTGTTGCATAGATGATAAGTAATAACAGTACAGTACTAATATATACAATTCCAATGCACTTATATAGTTGGCTGCACGTTCATTTATCATTAAAATAAAAAATACTAGTATTTAACTATAATTTTAAAAAAGTGTAATTATAATGCGGAATGTTGTGGTTTAACGTTTCAAATTCGATAATTTTGATAATAATTTGTGTCGAGCTCGTCACATACACATGTCTGTCGCAAATTATATCTCTCGTGGGTTGCGAATTATTGTACGAACTTTGATATTCGACGAGTAGAATAAATGGGTTATGATAATATTATGATTAGTGTATGTATTAAAAAAAACTAATAGTATACGATTAAAATTTATTTTATATGACTAAAATGAAAATACTTTTTAGGGGAGTTAATTATAATTCTAAATGGCCCAAACAAATAAAAAATGTAAAAGCCCAATAGAGGTACTTGTAATGGGCCTTATGGCTGGAGCATTACACTATTGAGTTAGAAAGAAATACGCGCCAAAAGAATCGTGATCATAACGGTGCAAAATTTAAAGGCGCGAATCACCCTTCCAAAACTTGCAACTATTAATACTTATTGGTTCTTATTATTTTATTTTCTCTACTAAAGAATCCCGTGGTTATAGTTGTGTAGCGAGTAAATCTCGTTTTCATACAATAACTCGGAAATTACTCGAAAAGGTAAATTGCATTGGACAAGTCCTACCCTCGGATTGTTAGGTGAAGTCAAGTTGTTATAAGCATTGCTCTCATACTCCACAAACTAGAATTTTTTTTTGCGGATTATTTATTGATTTGAGGAGGATCGTAAAACACGATTGGCTATTTTCAGTTTAAAACTCACGAACTCTTGTAGGATGATTTCTACACTGGATTTTCTTTTCTATTATTTATATTCTTTTCCCCCATTGGCATAAACAGATGGTAATAGCTGAGGTGATGCGTGATTTAATTCATTTTCTCGTAGCACAAGTTCGAACCCACATACCGAAATTCGTACCATATTAGTTATCTCCTTCGTAACTCTGTCATCCATGCACATCGAACAATTTACATAATTTATGTTCAAAGGGCCTCCGACATAAATAATAGGGTTTATCCTTCAAGAAATAATGTGTTTCCCCAAAATATCATAACATATTGGCGTTGATCCAAACTTTGATAGAGTTATAAATCACATTCATTGTAAAAACTATATCAAAGTCAATCACATTGATTGCTGGTTGGAGATGGTACCATAATTTTTATTGCCATAATAAAAAAAAAATTAAAAGGAAAATTCAGAAACATTGATCTACTGAATCGGACATATTTAGGTATATCTTAGTTTTAAGGGTAAATTCAGTCACCCATGAAGTAAGTTTAAATTACAATTTTCTTTTATGACCACCTATCAATTATATATTGTCTTACGAAAATTCCTCTCTTTCAATTGGTAAATTTGACACTGTAATGATGAACGTGTAAGACAATACATAGTTAAAAGGGTGATTGTAATTACCCAAACACGAGGGGTTTTTTTTAATTTGAAGGTAGCAGTAATTTGCCCTAGTTTTAATAATTAGGATAAATAACACTTACCTCTCGTGCTTTACACTTTGTGCATATTAATTCCTTTTACTTTCAATATAGCACATGTCCCCCTTGTATTTTAATATAAGCATATAACTCCCTTAAAGTTCAAACTACAGGGGATTTATGTGCACAAAGTTCAAACTACATGGATCACGTGCGCAAAGCTTAAACCACGGGCCCTAATAATTAATTATCTATGTCCTCAAATTCCTTTTTAATCTACTCTTAAAAATAACTAGAAAGGGGTAAAAATAAAAAAAATAAAAAAAGAAAAAAGAAAAAGAAAAGAAAAAGGTGCTTCTTCCCTCCACATCTATATCCGAACCAAATACCCTCTCACTTACCCCCTTTCCCTCGTTTTCTTCTCCATTTTTCTTTCCCTCTTTTTTTTTTTTTTTTTTTTTTTTATTACATCTCTGCAAAACCAGATCTCCTCCAAACCCCCCACTTTCCATTTTCAACCTCAATTTTAATTTTCCCCTTCAATTCAATTCCCCCCCTTTCATGGCAAAACCCTAACCTTGAACGTAAACCTCGAAGATCAATTCTCGATAACCTGAATTGATTTGGCGATTCAATTATCTCTGCCTCGTGTTTTTTTTTTTCAGCTTGAAGTAAGAAAAACAAAATAGAAGATCAAATCATGCAGAATCAGCCGTCGGAACAGCAGAAGACTTCGAGAAAACAGTTGCCTTTCACTTCCATGAAGCCGCCTTTCGGAGGCGGAGGCGGTGGAGGTGGAGGTGGAGCCGGTGACTACCACCACTTCGCGGCTGCTGATGCTGACCGCCCCGCTCGAGAATTTGATGAGGCCGTCGTTGTCCGTAGGCCTCATGTGAGTCTTCAGTTCCTTTGTTTACGACTATTTTTGTTTATGTGAACATTTATTGTTTATTTGTTTGCGGCATTAACTGAAGGGGGTAACTTCTACTGTGAGATGTAACTTGTAAAGTTTTCTACTTGTCCCTGTTTTTGAGTTTGATGATTTTAAGTATGGCAACATGAATGGTTGAGGTTGAAATATGAGATGAAGTTCAAGGGTCGATTTAATAATTGTGGGATCAAAGCCTGTTGTGTTTGTCGAGCAGCTATAATTTTTTGTTCCAAAGGCAATGCTCAGAACTGCACCGAGTAGAATTATTTGATTAATTAACCATCTGGAATCGACCAGCAGATTTGTGTGTTTGATTATGTATTTAGGTAGAACTTTGATCTGGGAGTAGGTCTATTATGTGTTGATGAGGGTGAAACTACGCTATTTTGTGTCAATACATTGCTTCCATTTTGTCTGAATTGCTTGATAATATGATCTGTTGTTGTTGAGGCATTATCTACGACTTGGTCCTTCTATCGTTAAATCGTCCCCTTTCCATAACATCCAAATTTAATTTACTGGATTCCTAACTCCGGGAATTTGATATCACTCATCTGGTTGCAAGGATGTATATAAAGGTTTTAACTTCCTGTTTATTTCCCCTTCTCCTCGTCTACAACTTTGTCGTATCCACCTTGTTAAAAGTTTGAAGTAAAATCGATGAGCAAGGTGTTAGTCAGTATTCTCTAGTCGTAAATGAAGTTGTACAATATGTTGAACTACGTCAACAAGATATGCACATTGTTTTGCGTCGTGTTACTGAAATTCTGTTTGATTTTGTCCCCGTGCATCAGGATTTAAAATTTTCAACTTCTTTTGGTTCATGTTTTTCTATGGCAAGTTTGTTAAACACTATCATGCTACTGAGCAAGTTTCTGAATCTTCTATTTGAGTTATGCTGCAAGCTTCATTCTAGGATTATTGGGTGAGTTTAGTGGAGAATAGACAACTGAAAACCCTAGCATGGATCGGAAATAAGTAGGATAGGTTGCTGGACTTTACTGTCTCTTAATTTTTTAGTTACCAGAAATGGGTTCTGGAGATGAAGATCCAAAAGAGATCAAAACTTTTAAGACCATGAATGATTTTTCATCTTCCTATTGGTTATGTTCTTTTTTTCTTTTTTTCCGTCCTATTTCTGACGAGTGCTTCTAATATATGACCGTCCCGAAACACATTACTTGCTTTGTTAAAATTGACTGTGATAATGTGCTCCCATTACAGACAGTTATATATGTTTCTCATCTTCTAGATATTGTTTCACATAATTGTTTTGGCAAAAAAGTATGCGCTATCTTCCCTGATTTTATCAAAGAAATAGTTCAAGTGCTTATCAAATTGTATCCTTTTCTTTTCCTGGAACTAGGAACTTATTTTTGGAGTTGATGAAAGGATTATGTTTGCCAGAGAGAAATTTAAAACATCTCCTTAGCCATGGAAAATAGTTATATATTTATATCCTTAAAGAGTTCTCCCTTATTTCTTGTTGTCCTGAATATGAACCTTCATGTAGTTGGTATACATACTTTAGGTCTTGAAACTTGGGACAAAGTGAACTAGTTTGAATTTATTGTTTTGATTGGACTGATGGCCCATAGAAGGATTTCAATGATTGGTGCAAATGAACTATAAGTTCCTTAACATCGTTTAGTTTTGGAGAAGTACTAAACAGAGTTGGTGTACTTATGAATTCGTCACTTGTAGTAATTTGTTATATGATATTATCAGAATGAAAGATATAAAGCTCAAGGAATTTAGAGTCTAATTCATCAAGTTAAATTGCTGAATATCGGTGATGGTGATAACTTTGTTAACGGTCTGCATGATCAGTAAATCTCATATGTAGTTCACTAGAAATAAGGTTGCAATAATAAACCACGGAGTGATTCTTCTCAATTTGACTTGGGTTAATATGGATTCTTTTTTAGAATTGATCGTATGAGGTGTAGGACTGAGGAGTCTAATTGCAGTTAGTGTCCAAGTGGTAGTTAGCATCTTTGTGGACAATAAGAATCACTTTTTCTGTAGAAACTAATTTGGTAGTATAATTATAGTTATGTTTTGTTTTTGCTGCTGAACGAGGCTTGTTTATTTCTTCTCTGCAAGGCATCAAAGCGAAAAAGTGGGACAACATATCGTGAAGTAGAATCTGCTGAGCGAAATGCAGGTCCTAGCAGTGCTACTGTCACTAAAAATCCCCTTCAGACACCACCATCTGCAAGATCAGGGAAAGCCCAAAAGGTTCCAAGGACAACTAAGGCCAGCAGAGCTCAAATATCCACGGCTAATATTGGTAGACATTAATATATTAAATTATATTTTTCCTGAAATTATATGCATGGTATATTCTTTAAAATCACTGAATTGCGTGTCCTTTATACTGTATCACGTTTCGTTTTGTCCAACTTGTTCCCAAAGGAGCAAGGAATAACGAGGAAGAGAATAGTAATTTCTTATGAACATCTTTGTGCAGGTTCTCCAAGCGGCAATAATCTTACTCCTGTTGGTCCCTGTCGTTATGATAGCTCTTTAGGTACTTGAGATGTATATACCTATGCTAATTTACGGTTATTCCTTTCCTCCCATCTTCATGTGCATGTCTTTGCATCTGGTGGTACTACTAGGCTGTCAAAATTTAACTTTCTAATTCGTCTGTTTATCTCAGGATACATACACTCATAAAGTTACACTTTCCCCTCTCAGGTCTCTTAACAAAGAAGTTCATTAATCTGATTAAACGTGCAGAAGATGGTATTCTTGATCTGAATAATGCTGCAGATACCTTGGAGGTGATTATTTCTGTAATGTATGATGCTTCTTCACCTTTGACACAGTGTTAGTAGCTGATTTCTTTTTCTTCCTTCTTTTTGTTTCAACAGGTGCAGAAGAGGCGAATATATGATATAACTAATGTTCTTGAAGGCATTGGTCTTATAGAAAAGAAACTCAAGAACAGAATCCAGTGGAAGTACGAAAGAACTCTTGCATTATATTTAAATTTTGTTGAAGCATTTTTCAGTTTACTATTTCGCTTTTCCTAGAATATCAACAAGTAAATACAAGTTATTGAAAGGTACTTTTACAAATAGGGGTGTAGATGTCTCAAAACCGGGGGAAGTCGATGAGAGTCTTTCCAGTTTGCAGGTACAAGCATAAAACTCTACAAATTGTATATTTGCATTCGCTTTCTAGTTCCCTTTCCTATGCTATGCTTTTCTGGTATCGTTTATACAACTTATATCGTCACTTTTATATTGTCGAATGGGTCCAAATGCCTGAGTGAGGCTTTTCTGCATCACAGAATAAGACAGGTAGTAGTATTTGGTAATTGTCCACGAGAAATTACAAGAGAAGTCAAATTACAAAACAGTTTTGAAGCAACCATGAAATCATTATACTGCATACCTTATGCTTAAGGTATTAGATAATTTCTCATCAACTCATTTTCTCCTCTTCAGGAAGAAGTAGAAAATCTGACAATTGAGGAACACCGATTAGACGAACGCATAAGGTCATAATCCGGCTCCTTTATATTTTTCTCCATACCTACCACTTTTCTCCTAATTTTGTATTAGGAATGTCAGTCTTCTAATAAGTTCTCTTGTTTCAGAGAAATGCAGGACAAACTGAGGTGTCTGAGTGAAGACGAAAACAATCAAAGGTAAACACACGGTTCTATCTGAGTTTCATTTGGATAACTCACATTTGAGGGATCGGTTTATTTCATAGTTTAATAATCTCTTTTTCCAGGTGGCTTTTTGTTACAGAAGAAGACATCAAAAGCCTACCTTGCTTCCTGGTATAACTATTGTATCAATTCAACCAATCATATAATGATTTTACTTAATGCTGAAACATGGTTATGTTCTTACCGCCAGAATGAAACTCTGATAGCAATTAAAGCTCCTCATGGTACTACTTTAGAAGTTCCAGACCCAGACGAGGTACTTTTCTTTTTGAATAACTAAGACTTTGAGATAGTTTTGATGTAATTTTTACATGTAAATATTTGTTAAACTCCGTACAGGCAGTTGATTATCCTCAGAGAAGATACAGAATAGTTCTTCGAAGCACCATGGGACCCATAGATGTTTACCTTGTCAGGTATGTTACATCTGCATCCTTTTTTTTTCTTCTAATCGGATGTGGGTTCTGAAAATGTGATTTGGTCTGAAAATTTTCTTGATTGTGTTTTTTTCTTTTGAGTTAGTCAATTTGAGGAGAAGTTTGAGGAGATTCATGCTGTTGAGGCACCAGAAAACATCCCAGGACCATCAAACGCTGACGAGAATTCTTCTGCACAACCTCCACCACAGGAGATTATTAGAGGAAACGAAATTGATGTGCAGGGAATCGAAAATCAAAGAATGTCTTCTGAGGCAAGTACATCACAGGATTTTGTAAACGGAATCATGAAGATCGTGCCAGATGTTGATGTAAGTCATTAGTCACAAAACAAGAAAGAAAAAAAAAATTATATTATTTTAGTCGTTTCAATTTTCACATCTGAAAAAAAAATGAAATATTTGCAGATTGATGCTGATTATATGCTGTGGTCGGATCCCGGTATAAGCATCACTGACTTGTGGAGCATCGAATGTATCCTTGTCTTAGTTTTCTCATTGTATTTCACTCGTGTTTTTTTTTTCTGAATAATAATAATACAGTGCATATTATTTGACCACATTCCATGACCAAATATAGCTGGGGTTGACTGGAATAGCTTGGATACAATACCCGAAGACTATGACGTGGCAGGTCTTAGTACACCACGAGCTGCCACCGAAACTCCAGCTCAAAGTACAACTCTACCCCAAACTCCACCACCACAAGGTACAACCACAACGCCTTCTGAAACTACCGGGAAGGGAAAGTTAAACTAGATCATACTCGTTTCTTATCTCTTGTTGTATATTAGAAGCCACAAAAGGTTCCACCCCGTATAAAATTGTAGTACCTTCTAGAGGATTCTAGAAGTAAAGCTTGCCGGAGAAATGAATGTACAGTTTCTGTCCTAGAAATTTAGCTGTGTGAATAGCAACGAATATGAATAATTGCTGTAAGAACTTCGTTTGCATGTATATTCCACAGCCAGCCCTTTTTGTCCATAGGCTCTTTTTGTATGTAATAGAATAAGTGTAGGTTAATTTGCACCAGTAAGGGAACGAATGCTGCTCTTCGATCTTTTCGGATTCTGCTTTGTCATATGATTGATATTATACGATATCTCAGGTACGTCGTTGATTCTTCACTTCTACTTAATTCTTCCTAATTATTACAAGAAAAAATGAACTAAGTATACATAAGTAGGAAAAAATTGGTTTTTTATTTTTATTTTTTATGCATGCATTACATAAGTGATCGAGTGACGACAATTTCGGCTGTGCTCGATAATCTAGGGTTAATTATAATTTGTTATGATAAAAAGAAAAAAAATATGGGTTTCGAATCATGTGAAACCAAGCATTTTCATTTGCAGTAGAATTTGAATTTTAAAAAAAGTTTAGTAAAATAATTAATTTAAATCTAAATATTCTAAATCTTGTATACATGTGCAATCACAGTTTTAAACAGTCAATCCCACTCTTAATGTTTGCCACTGCAGATTTGGAAATCTATCCAGGAACCCTTCCACAAAAATCCACAATCTTTCAAATCATTATTAACGTTAAGTAAATAAAACCACCTCCACCGCAGCACCACCGCCAGTCACCATCAACTCCACCACTCACTCACTCACACCGTCACCGCCTACAGCATGTCTTCCGGCAAGAGATGGAAGTTCAAGAATCTGTTCGCCGCAAACGGTACCGATTGTGGATGTGGGATGAAGCCAACTGACGTTTTCGAACCTAAACCAAAATCGAAAACCACCTTATCCTCCGATCAAAAGCCCAGCATCCATTCCGCCTCATCCTCCACCACCACCTCCGACTGGGATAGAAGCATAGGCGCCAGCTGGCAGCCCGTCACCGACGGCAACGAGGACTACACCTCCACCACTTTCTCCCATGACATCGAAAACTCACCGGAATTCTGCCCGGAAAATTATCTTGACCGCGACCCCAACAGGCCGAAAACGACCATCCCCTGCAGGAGAATCCAAGACAGCCACGCCGTAGTCAAAGATTCCGAGGACCCTTATCATGACTTCCGACAATCCATGCTGCAAATGATCTTCGAGAAAGAAATCTACACGAGAAGTGGTCTTCAGCAGCTTCTCCGCTGCTTCTTGGAGCTCAATTCGCCTCGCCACCACCAAACCATTGTTCAAGCTTTCGTGGATGTATGGAACAACGGCGGCGGTGTAGCGGTTTCCGATGGGGGCGAGGAGGAGACGCCGCCGTAGATAGAATGGCATGTGAAGACAATAAATATACAGACATACAGGTAGGTACAAGTAGCCAAGTGTGATAATGGCAAGTAGGTCTATTTGTCTGCTCTTTTCTGTCTTCTGTCAATTCAATTTGTAAGTGGTTTATAGGTAAATAGTATTAACTTCAAGTCAGTGTTTTATATCTTAATACAATGGAAGTTAGCTGAATGTCTCTTTCTTCTTCATTACTTTTCATAATGTTTTCTGAGCTTTATGAAAAAAGAAAATCAGCTCCCAAAATATTATATATCAGTGTTTCATATTTTTCCTTCACTTGACTTGGAGTTGTATTTATAACTGTTTTCAAAATTATGCATGTAATTTTTCACATAATTTACTTTATGATAAATTACGGCCACTCGCCTGTGGTAAGGTCAAATTATGAAAAAATCTCTCCCGTTTGGATAAATACAACCACCCCTCATCTATAAATCTCCTATACGTTTATCCTTACGGTGTCAAATTTAACAGAATTTTCTAGGTTCGGTGAAATGTTCTCTAATTTGTACAAAAATGCAATTTCTGATGCACCACAGTCTCATATTTACGCAATTTCTGATGCATCACAATCTGATATTTACAAGTACGAGACACATCTTATGATCATCTTGTTTCAAATCTTATGATCATCTTGTTTCAAAAGATACAGTTCTGGTGAGGTACAAACTAGAGAATGTTCCACATAATCTAGAAGATTTCACTAAATTTGACACCACAAGATTCCAAAAGTTTTTCGTAATTTGTCATTAGTTCAGGGTAGCTGTAATTTATCATATAATGTAAACTGATGTTGTGTTTTCAGGGATAATTATGTAGTCAAGAAATCATATTAAAAAATAATAAACTGAACTATTTTTATTAACAAATAGTTAATCGATAATCCTACTAATTAATGAGAATAATAAAAACCCCTACTTTTAATACACTTCCAATCCGTATAACACACCAGCATATTTCTCGTGCCCTTGCTTCACAAAATACACGTCCCTAATTTTCTCAAAGGCGTGCCACGTCAGCAAGCTATCCGAACCGGCCTGATGGCACTTCCCAACAACCCGGTCCACATCCAGTGCCCGAGCCACCCGGTCCAAGCCGCCGTAGAGGCTGTCGCAGAACTGCATCAAGTACTTGACATCGTACACGTTGTTCCCGAAAATCGCCTTCACAACCTCCAAAAAATCGCCGAGCGAGTCGGGCAACGCGCCGCCGGTGAGTATCTTAACCAGGTACCCGAAGTCGTACGCGCTGTGGAAGGTGACCCAGCTTACGTCTTTGTTGCAGACCAGGCCGGAGCCCATCATCAGCTCCCCGAAGCGCGTGGACACGATCCCGGACGCGCGGTTCTTCTCGAAGTCGATGCCGTGCTCCTTGAGCAACTCGATGGAATCCGGCGCGTGGGGGTCACGCGCCACGTCGAAGTCGGAAAAGTTGAACTGCCAGATGAACCGCTCCCCGGATCCGAGATCCGGTAGGTTTCCGGCGGCGTCTGACAGCGTGATCCCGATCTGAATGATGTTGAGCGCGTCCACGTTCGACTTGAGCATCTGGTAGTGGTCGGAGGGGGAGGCTTTGCTCGGGCGGCGGTTCGCCGTGAAGATGACGCCGGGAAACTCGGTGTCCATGGAGATGTACGGGTACCGATCCACCAGATCGGAAATCAAATCGAATTCGGATTCTAGGTTACCGCTCCATACTTCTCGAATCGTAATCGGTTTGCTGCCGCCGTCAAGGCGGTCGGCCGACGTAGCTCCGGTCATCGTCAGAAACTGAAGATCGAAATTGTAGATCGATAACAAAAAGCAAAAACCTTGGATTCCGCAGTAGGTTGTGAATTGAGAAGAATTAGGGGTAGATGATTTTTATACGGAGGAGAGAGAGAGAGAGAGAGAAAGTTAGAGAGAGAGAGAAGGCGGCTGATGTTGCTTGGAAAGAGAAGGTAAAAGAAGGAAACGGACAATAAATAATAAAATAATAATAAAATAATATAAACTAAAATAAAATAAAATAAAATAGGAAATAATATTTTAATAACACTAGTGGGAGAATTCAGTGTTCCTATGTTTGTACACGGATTTTCCATATTTAACAATTACATCTGTATATGGATATATATTATTAATTAATTAATTAATTAATACTATATGGTATTATATGTCTAAGTTCAACGCGTTTGATTATTTTGACTTAAAAAACAAATAAAGGTTTATTATTAATTAATTATTACTAAAAAAAATATGACCGAGTCAAAAAGCTGGTGTCCGAGTCTCCCCAGTCCCCATCCAAAGAGTCAAAATCATCTCCATCTACAATGTGCTTAAAAGTCATTTCAAGCATGTGTTTATTTCAAAGTGAACTAACTATAAATAGTGTGCTTCCATTAATTGCCAATAGCAACTATATTATGTTTATTTATGACTATCTAAATATTAATTAAGAATTTAAGACTTTAGGAATTATATATTTAATTCGAACTTTTGGAATATCTAAAAAATAAATTATTCATGGTGATAAGGGAGAAGAAAGAAAAAGCTATGCGCATGATATATGTGCTGGAATTAGGTGTATTCTTTAATTGGATGTGGTAGTGCAATTCGTTTTTTATTATATTTAATGGATTATGATGTGGTTCGATTCCATGTCAACGTCTTGCAATTTCTGCATCGCACTCTGGATTTTTTGTGCGGGTATTACTCACGTCACAAAAAGTCGTGAGGAAGTTGGGGCTCGGTCTTAGCGAAACCCCTTGATGCTCGAGTAAGCTTTTTATGATAGAAGCATTCAGATTTAAGAGACTGACTGCTCGGGAGTTATATATTGCGTACTTTTGATTGTGATGATTTTGGGTATTTATATGGACAAATATATTCTTATGGACTTGAACCACTTAACACGGGCCAACTTGAACTTGATTTGTTTAGGTAATGGCCGATTTCGGCCTTAGCCAACTTGAGTGCGTTATTATGAATCAACTTGATCTTAATTTGTGTGCCTCTATGAATTTATCTCCGTTTTGAGCTTTAGTTTGACTTGCACTCAACTAAACTATATATATATGTACTGCTCGTTTATGGACAACTTGGGATGGTGACTTGCACTCACATTATCCAGGGGCATTTCCGGTACCATACATCAGTATGTTACCAAGTGGAGTTTTGCTTGTTCTTATTATCCGGCTATGTTTGTTTGACTTTATGATCATGTGGGATTGATAATATTAATCCCACTCCAGTTTTAAATTGTTATTTTTTGTCCTTCAAAATACTATCAATTGTAAAATTAGCATTGATTGATATATTAATTAAGATTTCTCAAAAAATAAAAATATATATAATTAATTAAGAACATACACCAAAACTTATTGATGTAGCCTAGATAGCTTATGTATATAATTTTACAGTGGACTTTGGAGTGAAATAACACAAAGTAGTGTTAGTAATTACCTTGCATCTTTGATCTATTTGGTCACGGGCCCGATTCCGATTCCGATTCATTCGGACGAAGATTTGAGAACCCGTAATTACTCTCCAAAAAAAAAAAAAAAACATGCTACTTATGAAACGTGGCCTTACAGTTTCATTCTATGCCTAAAAGTCCATTGGGCCAAATAATTCAGCGGAATATATTAGTAAAGCCCACTTGAACTTCTAACGTGTCAAAACTCTAAGCTCGTGATAATTTTGATTTTGGAATAATATTTTTTCATCCGAAAGTTCTAAATTTCATTTTTTTTGAATTTCGATAGTTTCAAAAAAAAAAAAGTTTCCACTTTTCCAATTTTATGTAGAACATAATTGAAATACTTATTAGATTTCGGTTTTTGATGATTTTAATTTCCTAAAATTCCGAAACTCCCAATTTTTCTGGAACGAAAATGGAATTAGGTTTCACCTTCGAAAAAGAAGAAAGCATTATTTAGATTTTTGCCCGAAGTGCTAATGTTAATCTGATTCGTCTAACTAGTCGATCAAGTCACTCCTTGCAGGAAATTGGAAATGAATTCTATTATAATAATAAAAAATATACATAAATACTTACTTAGAGTTTGCTTCAATCTCACTAAGAAAACAAAAAAACAAATCATGAAAATTGGTAGAAAAATATTTAATTCATTTTTGTGAATTAAGTAACTATGTATTATGTAACCTATGGTGGATGTCTATGGGAGTTACAAAATCATTAGTGTGTGTAATTAGAGGTGATAATGGTGGATGTTAAGGCTATTCATTCCCTTGTAACTCATGACCTTTTGAATGGTCTTCTTGTACTATAAAAGGGACACCATTGTATGGATTTGATATACACTTGAATAAGAATACAATACATACACACACACACACTTGTTCTCTTCTTGTTTTTCTCTTGTTTTATAACACGTTATCAGCACGATTGTTCTACCTAAATTTTCGAGTGAAGATGGTCCAAGGAAGATGACTCCTTAGCAGAAGATGAAAGGGAGTTGATTTTAAATATTTTATTCTTGTTTTGAATTGATAAAATATTAACCATCTTACTTTTGTTGTAGGTGATTTTTCGTGCAATTCACGAGTCTGTACTTCTATGTCTGTTTTGGATATGATAATGTCCGAATTTCAGAAAATGCAAAATACGAAACTTGTAGCATTTTCTATTGGCTGTTCGGAACATTTTGAATCATCAAAATCGGATCTCGATCAAGAGAGATATGCTTAAAATACTCAGACATGCCAGATCTGTCATTTGTGGTCATTTTTCAAGACCTTGAGTCCCGTTTCGGACCTGATATTGTCCGAATTTGATAAAATGTAAAATACGAAAGTTGTAGAACTTTCTGTTGGCTGTTCACAGCATGTTGAAGCGTTGAAATTGGATCTCGAATGAGAGAGATACAAGCAAATTACTCAGACATGACAAATTTGTCATTTGTGGACATTTTTCAAGTCCACAAAATATTGAAATGAGAAAATTGATAATTGATCATAATCAATTTATGGCTTGAAGCCTAGATCACATTTTGAGACTATAAGTCTCAATAGAATATGATAGACTCAAAGTTTATGTGATAATAATACTCAAACTTAAGATTTGAGTTGATATGTATTTCTCATTCATAGTACTTTAAGTCTAAATGATAAGACTCTTGAACAATTGAGTTAGAGGGTATTCCCCATTTATAGTACTATTCGTTCATGATCAATGTACTATAACAATTTTATTATATATTGAGGCCCAAATCGAGCACGTGCAATCAAGTGACTCGAATATTTGAATGTTGTATTATAACGATTTTTATTATATATTGAGGCTTGAGGCCCAAATCGAGCACGTGCAATCAAGTGACTCGAAGATTTGAGTGATATATTAAAAAACAAAAGCCACTTGCTCTCTAATTTATGCGACTTGAAAAGCTCCATCACTCGAAAAAAAAAAAAAACTCGAAGTTCATAAAGTTTAGGCTCAAATTAAAGCCTAGTTTAAATATGAAAGCTTGAAAGCTTATGTGGAGGAACATCAAATATAAAGGCTTGAGGCCTAGAATAAATTTGAAGACTATAAGTCTCAATTGAATACATTAGACTCAAGGTCTAAGTGATGATAATCAATATTGAATATTTGAGTTAATAAGTATTTTCCACTCAAGATACTATTATTTTATGATTAAGTACCAATTATAGGGCTTAAGACCCCAAATCAAGTACATAAATTCAAGGTATAAAACTCAATCCTTGATATTTGAATGGTATATATGTACTCAAAATGAGTATTCATTTGTGATACAATGATATCAAAAATATCATGAAGTTTAAAATTATCTATGATAGTTCAAGAATGAACATAACTATAAAATTTGGATCATTGAAGTTAAAGATCCATTTATGTCTCATGATATCACAAAATGTTTGTGTTATTACTATATGCCTTGAGGACACAAGCCAAATATTTCTTAATGAAAATGTGTCTAGAAGACACCAAACAAAATATTATTGTTTCATTTTCAAGAAACGAGTACTTAATTGGGGACGTGTCTTGAACACACAAGTAAAAGTAACATTACATCTAGTTACTTATGAAGAAAAAGAGAGATAGATATGTGATCCTCTCTATAATTTGCTCTCTTCAAATCTTGACTTTGTTGTTTTGAAAACGACAAGAAAAATATTTCGATATATGTGTCTTGAAGATACATATAATGGAGAATTGTAAGAGAAAATATTCTCTAATTTATGGATCTATATTATGATCATGAAGTGACAACATAAAAATTCAAGTTGCACTAGTAATAGCAAAATAAAGATTTTTAATAGCATATCGTACTATAATACGAGTTGTGAGCTAATATTAAACTCGTTCAATTGTTGTTATTCTTTGAAAGTGAAAACAACAATAGAAAAAAAAAATCAAAGAGATATGTTGACATGAAAAGCTATCATGGTGCTCAAAGTTTATTCATTATAAATTTTCTCATCATTACAAGTGGAAGAGAGATGAGAAATATGAAAAATGATTGGTGATATATCCATTTTACGATAAAGCATGTTGATTAGCTTTATCAAGCACCAACACAAAACCAAAAGAAATTGCGTGATTTTGGAGTCACGACATTGACCAATTCAATTAAAGTTGTAAATTTCATTCCAAATACATATGGAGGTATGTATATGATTTTTTTATAATTGGTCTAGATGAGATGAGATGAAATTTCAAACCAAACGAAAAAAAAGGGGATCTGATTTTCTTGTTAAAATTCCAAACCCTCTGCATATTCTGATTTTTCAAAATTTAAAGTTTACTCCTCAAACTTTTCAAAATTTTCATTTTAGTCCGCCGGATTCAAAAATTTTACGATTCAATCCAAATATTTTTTTTAGAATATGCAGCTCGTTCCTTTCATCATCTGAAATTATGAATATATTTCAGCATTTCCAGTTTTCACCGAAGTTTTTAAAATTTCAGTCTTGTCCCTGAAGTTTTCAAATTTTGCAGTTTGGTCCCTAAATTTTCAAATTTTACAGTTTGGTCCCTGAATTTTTAAAATTCTGAAATTTGGTCATTTGTGTACCGAACCTGTTAGATTCTCAAATGTAGTCACTCTCATCTAGATAACAACTATATCACATGGTTTATTTATAATTTATGCTATGCAATATTTTGCACCCCTAATGGGAGATATTTATATGGCATACATTGTCAATTGTCATTTTAATGAGACAATATTCCCGCCGTTAAGGGGGAGATAAGAAGCCGGTTCTTGTATAACGGCGTGAATTATATGAAATGATCTTTGTCTCATTCACATTTGTGCATGGAAATATTTAAGCACAAAAGAAAAAAGAAATCATTTGCAACAATTTAAATGTGTAAAATGCTAGATGCATTTATCTACAAATAGCAACTTGAAATTATAATATATGTTGCAAATGAGTGCATGAGAAAATGTCTAAGAAGGACACATTTTTCCCATGAAAGGCTTAATAAACGAATGTCCTCGAAGGACAAATTTAACATTGTGATTGCATCATGAATCCCTAAATGGGTGAAAAATGATTATGGTACACAGCTAACCAATTATACTTTATACATATAAGAGGGGGAGATATATATGTTGGTTCGAATGATTAACACCCTTATAAGTGGTGTGAATACCGTTCAATTAAAGTCTACTAGCGCTAGTAGCATCATACTCTCATTATATTACATATCTCATTCATGAAAGGATTCGTCTTAAAGACGATGTTGGGGGACGCCTCAACCAATATCCATTACTATGATATGAGAATACTTGCCTGTTATGGTGGCATAATGAAATTCATATTTGGATGAGAAAATCATTGATGATTATATGGTAGCTACCGAGATCATTTTAAATCGAACCAGTATGAGCCAATAAAGAGTTGATTGGCAAATAAATTATGGTTAACGTTGCTCTCTAAGTGAATAGAGAGGCATTTGAGACTATTAGTTCTCAATTTTGTTGTTGTACCGATATAAGATCTTAAAGAATTGAAAATTCTTTTTGAATGAATATTCATGTACCAAATTAAATTTGTTAATATTGAGTTTGAAAATAAAGTGGACAAATAGTCCTCAATACTCCCCACATTGTTAAACTCAAAAGCGCGCGTTTTGTCCATGTAGGACATTTTATTGAAATAAATAATGAGCTCAAGCACATAAAGTATTATGAAAACTTTATTGATGCAATATAGAAAATTCTCTATAAGAGAAAAATACATGGTACATGAAAATATATGGATCTCAAGAAGAGATCGTACCCACAAAGGCTACAATCCCCATTTATATGAATATAATTCTCTAAGGAGAATCCGGTACCGGAAAGTGAAATAATTGATTATGAAGAAATATGGGGAGTACTAAAGATGTTATCGAATAACTATATGTACAATTATTTTTATAATGTGAAGAGCTTGAAGCTCATACATTTTGATAGATGTCGACATCTAATTGGTCATTAGTATATGCATTCACAAATGCAATTGACCATGATTATTTGAAATTATTGATCAAATGAATTGTACATTGACTTGCGGTCATCACACATAAAGTTGTGAAAGCCTTTAGTACAAAAGTGGGTAAAATCATTGCGGTAAATTTGAATGCCTTTGAAAATATATTTTTATGATGCAATCACTTTATGATGGTATTCGAAATTATTTGGCATGCACCATATGGATGCAAATTACCGCATATTTATATGGATCATAACTTGTTATTTCAAAGAATTGAAAATGCTTGAAGCATATAATAAGAGGTCTCATGAGTTAGACCCTACGAATGATCCATTTACATATTGAAGAATACGGTATTGTCACCTTAGTGAATATCTTGTTTACAAAAGGAATAATCAAATAAATTGATTCCTATTATCATTTGGGGCGAATTAAATCTTGTGGAGACTCATGAAGAGCTCACAAAGATCATCAATTATTTGATGAAAGAATTCGAAATGAAAATATCTTGGGAGGATATATATTTTGCATTGATCTGCAGATCGAGCATTTGTCGAATGAAATATTTATCCATTATTTGTTTATATACATGATAAAGCTCATTCATTGAGTAAACATATGATTGTCCGATCTTTGGACATAAGAAATATATTCCCATCCTTCCTCGAGAAGATAATGAAGATCGTGGTTCTAATATATGACGATAATAATGTCTGATTGCACCAACGAGATTTTGGCTATATCAAAGGAGGTGGCCGACGAATTATTGAAGATTTGTAAAGTACTCGAGAGTTAAAGAAGAAAGATGACATGACAGTTATTGATGACAATCAAATAACGGAGTTTGCAAATCCATACGTCAACGATCTTACTCCAATGTCTCATGCTGAAATCAGGGGGAGCATGATCTACAACATTGAAATGTGTCGGCTTAACGATCTATTGCCAGCATCAGGGGGAGTGTGATTAATAACCCAACACTGTACTCTTTTTCCTTCGACCAAGTTTTTATCCCAATGGGTTTTTCTTGGCAAGGTTTTAACGAGGCAGTGTATCACACTTTCAATAGTCATAGACATCCAAGGGGGAGTATTATGTAACCTATGGTGGATGTCTATGGGAGTTACAAAATCATTAGTGTGTGTAATTAGAGGTGATAATGGTGGATGTTAAGGCTATTCATTCCCTTGTAACTCATGACCTTTTGAATGGTCTTCTTGTACTATAAAAGGGACACCATTGTATGGATTTAATATACACTTGAATAAGAATACAATACATACACACACTTGTTCTCTTCTTGTTTTTCTCTTGTTTTATAACACTATGAATTTTAATTTCAATTTTTATTATTACATTCTTAAATAATATTTATCTATTCCTTTAACCGCAAGAAATGATATTATATGCAGCAATTAAAAAGTCTAAATAAATCAGAAATGAATTCCAAAAAATAAATCCCCAAACCAGAACTCGAGGGTCTCGACTCAGTCCGGATTCCTTTCCCGGGCTTCCCCTCCGTCAATCTCCGCCGCCGCGCCCCGTCAATAATATCGCCCAACCGCCGTAACGCAGCTCCTCTAGGTCGTTAACTTAAACCATTATCCACCAATTACTCGACATCAGAAAATTTGTAGAAATAAAAGCCCAAGCGATTCATGTTTTATTTTTGAAATATCTTAGACTGAAACTGGTAGATATTGGCATCTTCATCAATGGCGTGGAGAGCTTTGGGGAGAAAGGTTAGTTCCTTTCGCTTAAAAAAATCTTAATTCTTTTATGATAAAATTAATTGTCGCTACTGGAAATTACCCTTCTCGTTATCTATTTTGAATGCGTAAGCAGGTTGAAAGTGATGAAATGTTGGTTATTAAGATCACCAGTCTCGATTACTGTAGTTTAATTCAGTTATACTATTTAGTTCCATCTATTTTTTTTGAAGATGTGATTTTTGCCTTTTTTTCGTGGGTGTTAAATTTGGTCATCGTGTATTTAAAGATAGAAAATTCAGTTTGCTTGGATCCTCCTTTGCAGGGCGTTCCTGCTAGCGTTTCGAAAGCATGGACCGTATCATCCAAATATTCAGTTGCATCATGTGGAGTTCAAGATTCTGCTAAAGCACTATCTGCTGCGGTCAGACATTTGCACGGTAAAAAGAGTAGCTACTTGCATTTGTTTTGCTTGCTTTTGTTTGGGAATTGTGAATGTTATGCTATGTGGTTAAAACCCTCGTTTCTCAGTTTCATATTTATGTTCCTGTGGTCTGATAACTGTGTAGTCTCATAGTGTTGCACTTTTGTTGTTAGAAGGCAATATCACATCTCTATCAGGTAAGACAAACAAGCAAGATAATTAGGTTTTGCGCTTCGTAAATCACATCTTTTTTCTTTCTGTTTTCGGGTTTTCCTAACCCGCATTCTGCTACGTATCACATGTTATCTGATAGGATCTAAACAAGCTTTGGATTGTGTAGGTGGATGTTATGGGTAACTATTGGTACTTTTTGTTCGTGGGGAAAAACTATTTCGAGCTTTACCAATTTGTGTTTAACTGTGTTTTCAGGATTTTGCCCTGCTGCAGCATTACCAACGGCAGATAAATATCTCACTTTTTCAGGAGATAGATTGTTAATTAGGTAATTCAGCTTTATATCATTTGTGCAGTTATATTGAGTTGTATCGTCATCGAAGCATGGATACTTGATAAACGATTAGTTCTATAGTATTTTTTTCTTTTCATTTATGAATGTCTCTATGTAAATTATATAATTGGTTCTTATGTACCTTTAAAATATTCATATCAAGTAAGAGAGAAAACATGGCAATTCTCTAGTCAAATTATGGTTCTATTGCCTCAAATCTTACTGTTCCAAGAGCACCAGATTTTTTTATTCAATTTTGAAGGCAAAGATATTCCAAAGTTCACTCAAATCTGGGGATTTGTCTGCTTCGAAGTACTTAATCGGGCATTTGATAATTTTCATACTGATCAACAGTGAGGGAACCATGCACTTCTATACTTTTGTCTGATCAGTTCTATAGGAAATTCATTGCTGGACTTTGGTGCAATATATTTAGGCTGACAGAGTTACGAAAATTTACGCCAGAGGCCCAGAACAAAGTGGGCATAATATTTTCTACTATGATTTTAATACCGGCCTTGAGTTGCATAACATGTTCAAAACTTGATTAGCTGAGATATTTGCAACAACATTACTTTATTGATGCTTCCTTCAGATTTAACTAGAGTCCTGCCCTCTTTTGCATTCCGTCTCTTTAAAGCAAAATCATAAATAAAAGTAAAACGAGCATTTGATGTACTGTAGCAAATTCGATGGATGACAAGGGAGCCCATCATTAGAGTTATACAAGTCTTAGATTCTCCGTATTTTTTTTTTGACTGGGAATTTAATTTCATGCCAAGTCTAAGGAATAGGTGAATTATATTGGAAAAAGTAACAAAGGTGAAGATACCTATTAGACATCACTACAATTCTGCTCTCCGCAGAAGTTTGCCTATGAAAAGCTAAATACATCTGTCCACTGTTGACTATGTCATTATATGTCTGAGCCTTGATATGATTGTCACTTACATGAAATTGCTTAGTTCCTATGAATTTCTGTTTTTAGTCTTTTAATTCCGATGTAGTACGTTGATTTTACATACTTGATAGTTGATAGGCATACCTACTTCTGTACTTCAATTTGATAGTTGGGTGACGGATATTCCTTTCTAGGTGTTTCCATGCAACTCCAGAGCTTCAGATAAGTTTTACGGGAGATAAATCCGCGGGTATGAAGTCCAAGAACACGAAAGGGAAATTCTCAAAGAGAAAGAAAGAGCCTAAACTTGCAGTTGAAACCCCTTATGTGCCTCCTAGGCTAAAAAGAGCTGCAAAGTCTTTGCCAGATAAAACGATTGAAATATTTGAAGGCATGAGCATTTTAGAGCTTGCCAAGCGTTGTGGAGAGTCTACAACTACTATTCAGAATATTATCATAAATGTTGGGGAAAAAGCTGATTCGGAGTTTGATGCACTCAGCACTGACATTGCAGAGCTGGTCGCGATGGTATTTCTCTTGAATTGTTGATGCTGTGCTCTGATATCCATTTATTTGTTATTGGAGAAAGAATTCAAGATATCATAAAAAATGCACGCCATCACGTAAGAAATCCAATAGGATACTCCTCATGTGAAGGGCAAAAAGACTATTATACTACTACAAGGAAGATTGAATGAGCTATGACGACTATATAATGACCTGGATTACAGATTTGATCATTGAGAGAAGTCCTTCCGTTAGAATGTTGATAAATATTTTTCTCTCTCTCTTACCTAAAACCTGAACTTCTGAACCCAAAACCGAAAAACCAAAACCGAACCCGAACCAGGAACCCCAAAATCGAAATTTGAACCCAAAACTCGAACTCTCTTGCTTTCTCTCTCTCTCTCTCTCTCTCTCTCTCTCTCTCAGACACACACACACACACACACACACACACACACACACACACACACACACACACACACACACACACACACACACACACACACTCACGTGTACATCAGAAGTTGATATGGCTTTCAGTGTTCACTGTTCAGCATGTTGTTTGAATTGTACATTGAAAATAAAGTTGAGATTATTTTTAATGATGATTTGTTTCTTTAGAAGATGCCATTTTGTTAGTACTATAAACCCTTTCCTTAAACTACAGAAAATGAAAATATAAACCATAGATAGCAAAGTAAAAGTCGAATCAATTCCAATCATTTGTCGAATCACATGCTCTGTTATGTTATCTTATGTTGTCCAACAGATCATAATCAGGGGCTTTTAATATCTATTCAGGAAGTCGGAGTCAATGTCCGTCGGCTGCACTCAGACAAAGGTGTCCGAATGGTACCACGCCCTCCAGTAGTAACAGTCATGGGCCATGTTGACCATGGCAAGACATCTCTACTCGACGCCCTCCGCCAAACATCCTTGGCCGCCAAAGAAGCCGGCGGTATAACACAGCACCTAGGTGCCTTCGTCGTCGGCATGCAATCAGGTGCCTCCATCACCTTCCTCGACACACCCGGCCATGCCGCCTTCAGTGCCATGCGAGCAAGAGGTGCAGCAGTCACAGACGTGGTGGTGCTTGTGGTGGCGGCAGATGACGGTGTGATGCCCCAAACCCTAGAAGCCATGTCACACGCCAAATCAGCCAACGTCCCAATTGTTGTTGCAATAAACAAATGCGACAAAACAGACGCAAACCCTGAGAGAGTAAAAGTGCAGCTCGCCTCCGAAGGGTTGCTGCTGGAGGAGATGGGCGGAGATGTGCAGGTGGTTGAAGTTTCTGCGGTGAGCAAAAGCGGGCTCGATACTTTGGAGGACGCTTTGCTGCTCCAGGCTGAGATGATGGATCTTAAAGCACGCATTGACGGTCCAGCCCAAGCTTATGTGGTCGAGGCAAGGGTTGATAAGGGGCGTGGGACCCTCACTACTGCAATAGTGAAGGCGGGGACTTTAGTTTGTGGGCAGCATGTTGTGGTGGGTTCTGAGTGGGGGAGAATTAGGTGTATTAGAGACATGGCTGGAGAGATGATTGCACAGGCTACACCTGCCATGCCTGTTGAGATCGAAGGTTTGAAGGGTCTTCCTATGGCGGGTGACGACATTGTTGTAGTTGAGTCTGAGGAAAGGGCGAGGATGCTCAGTGAAGGAAGGAGGAAGAAGAAGGATAAGGATAGACTTGTGAAGCTCGATGAGGAGAGGCAGAAACTGGAGGAGGAGATGAAAGTTCCGGAAGATGAAGAGAATGAGGACGAAGATGACAAGGCTAGGAGGGATGAAAAGTCGAAGAGGGTTGAAGTTCCGATTATCGTGAAAGCGGATGTGCAGGGCACTGTCCAAGCTGTCAGCGACGCGTTGAAGACTTTGAACAGTGCACAGGTCATCACATTATTATTGTCATCAAGAAATACGTAATAAAATGTTTCTTTTTTCTTCGAATACGATTCTTGATCTTTGATTATTGTGTGCTATAGGTTGTTGTAAAGATCATTTATGCAGGAGTTGGGCCGGTTACACAGTCCGATGTTGACATGGCACAAGCTTGTGATGCGTGTGTTGTCGGATTCAACGTTCGCGATCCTCTAGGTGCAGTCAGCCAGTCGGCTAGTCAAGCCAAGATAGAGGTACAATACAAGTTCAAACTTTTAAACTGCTTATTGAGTATTGACAAATTTACCGACTTCAACTATATTTTTTTACATATTTAATTGTAGATAAAGTTGCATCGAATAATCTATCATCTATTGGAGGACATTGGTAATATGATTGTCGAAAAAGCTCCCGGAACACTGGAGACAAAGGTGGCCGGAGAAGCTCATGTGCTGAGCATATTTGAGCTAAAGGGGAGGAGCAAAGCTAAGGGAGATGATGTGAAGATTGCAGGCTGTAGAGTAATTGATGGTCGTTTCACGAAGTCGGCGACTCTGAGGATTTTGAGAAGCGGGGAAGTTGTGTTTGAAGGGTGCTGTGCTTCTCTGAAGAGGGAGCAGCAAGATGTGGAGGCGGTGGGTAAAGGGAATGAGTGTGGGCTTGTGATTCAAGATTGCTCCAATTTTCAGGTCGGAGATGTTATTCAGTGCTTGGAGAAAGTTAATCGGAAGCCCAAGTTTGTTTCTTCGGAGAGTGGTGCTGTTCGAATCGAGTGCTGACCTTTCGTTCCTTCGGAGCATTTTTTGTCGATAAACTAAAGAGGGTTTTTTTTGTTGTTGAAGTTTTAGGGTTTTGTCAATTGCTATAAGGCAATTAATTTTTAACTTAAAAAGTCCTAGTAGGCCTTCTATTTATGCTCAATACACCCTTTCTTGGAAACTAGAGAAATTTTTGTTAGTGACTAAATGCTTCTTTATATACTAAGTTTGGCTCGAAATAGATGTCGAGAAACAATTTTTGCGATACAAATAACCGAGTGTATGCCCTCAAGTTTCCGTATTCTTATATTTTCGGGACATTACGTTTTCCCGTGTCTGTTTCCCAAGTTGTTCGTATCGTTGTTTCCGTGTCCGTGCTATATAGCTAGATATTCTAAATCGGCATCCCGCGTCCATGTCAGAAAGACAGAAACTATCAAGGACAAGAAGTATCAAATTTTATTTATTCTGGGTATAATTGGTAATTAGACAAAAGTTCCGGGGCAAAAGAGTAAGAAACAAAAAAATAAAAAAGAAAGTCGTGCATCACATATTCACATTATTATACAATAATAATTGAGAAATTGCATACCTGTCATCTTCCAATTAACGGGCATCACTCTCTCTCATCTGCATCTATCTATCTACCTCTGTTCATTAATCAATCCAGCAGACGAAGAAAAGATATCCAACCCGAATCGGCAACCCGGATCCGCACCCGAAAATGAACGATGCCGATGTATCTAAGCAGATCCAGCAGATGGTCCGCTTCATCCGCCAAGAAGCCGAGGAGAAGGCCAACGAGATCTCAGTCTCCGCCGAGGAAGTATGTTTTTCTCTCTCTCTCTCTCTAAAATTTGACCGTCGCGTTTAGTTTATCAAGTTCTAGTGATTTTGTAGTGTTTAGGGTGAAGTTGAATCTCGTTGTTTTTTTTTCTGCAGGAATTCAACATCGAGAAGTTGCAGTTAGTCGAGGCCGAGAAGAAGAAGATCAGACTAGAGTATGAGCGTAAGGAGAAACAAGTTCAAGTGCGAAAGAAAATGTAAGTTTTGATTCGTTTCGGAAGTAAATTGATTCGTAAATTCAGTTGATTTCTAGATTGAAATTGTTTCGAATTTCTTCGTTTGGAGTATGATTGTCAATCGGATCCATCAGAGTCCGATTCTCCTCCTGCTTGTGGTAGTTGACTCGATTTTTTTGAAGTTTTCACTTGCTCGTAAAATCGACTTGATATTCCCTTTCAGTATTAGAATTCAGGCCTTGTGGAATCATGTTCTAGTGTTATTGAAATCTTAGTAAAAGTTTTGAAGTAAATTGATACATAAATTCAGTTAATTTCTAGATTGAAATTGTTTCGAATTTCTTCGTTTGGGGTACGAATGTCAATTGGATCCATCAGAGTCCAATTCTCCTCCTGCTTGTGGTAGTTGACTCGGTTTTTTGAAGTTTTCACTAGCTCGTAACTTCGATTTCATATTCCATTTCCGTATTAGAATTCAGGCCGTATCAAATCGTGTTTCGGCGTTATTGAAATCTTAGTAAAACCAAGACGACATGAATCCCTAGATTTACTGATATATTTCTCTGCAATTGGTGTTTTGCAGTGAGTACTCGATGCAACTGAATGCTTCTCGGATCAAGGTTCTTCAAGCGCAGGACGATTTGGTCAATTCCATGAAGGAGGCAGCAGCTAAGGAGCTTTTGGATATTAGCCATCACCACCATAACTATGAGCGTCTCGTGAAGGAACTTATTGTTCAGGTTGTGCAAATTGAGTCCTCAATATTATTTAATTGTTCTAGATGCAAAATGTGGCAGTTCAAATCTTTAGTAGATTGTGAATAAAAATTATGTTTCACGGAAAAAAAAAACTATTTTGATTATATATATATGTCGCTCCTTTGGAAAATCTTTACGGATCTCTTAAATTTTGATAGCATTAGGTCTTCAGCCTGCAATAGATTCATATTTTACAAAGTTGAGCAAATGTTACAAATTTCTCGACAGCTGTGACTTTGGATAGGAGGAAAGATTCACAATGTTCTCTATGCCTAATGCAATTTAGTTTCAATAATATTTTACCAGGATTTAAAAAGAAGTGTAATTCACGATTTAGTTATATATAGCTCTACATGTTTTGAATCTTCATATTTATGATGGTATCAGGTAGCGACACCCAATAAGTTTTCTTATAATTTAGGAAATATTAAGAAATGTCAGTTTTACTGAACATAACAACTTGAGGCATTAACTTTTTGCCATATATCATCAACTTCTCAAAAAGTGTGTTTTTTGCATTTCAGAGTTTGCTGAGGCTGAAAGAGCCGTCTGTGTTACTGCGCTGTCGTAAAGCGGACTTCCATTTTGTGGAGTCTGTCTTGCACTCAGCAAAGGAAGAGTATGCCAATAAGGCAAAAGTTCATTCTCCTGAAATCATAGTTGATCATATCCACCTTCCACCTGCTCCTTCTGATGAAGATGTTCATGCCTCTTTCTGGTAAAAACATTACTTCACTTAAATATACTTCACTTAAATATACTTCGATAATTAGAAACTTCGATAATTAGGAACCCCCTATGATGGTCTTTTTTCTCATGTTCTTTCTCTCTCTGTCCCTCTCTTTCTTCTCTTGGAATGCTTGTGCTTTAGAACCGACTGGTTTGTTTCCGAAAAGTTAACAGCTCCTGATGTAATTCTGTTTCCTTGTCTTCGATTTTTAGCTCTGGAGGTGTGGTGCTGGCTTCTAGAGATGGGAAGATTGTGTTTGAGAACAGTCTTGATGCTAGACTGGATGTTGTGTTCCGTAAAAAACTACCAGAGGTACTCCAACTTTATTCCCTTAAACATTTATCTTATTTCTTGTGGCAATGTTTGATATTATCTATATTTTGGAGGTCGCGAAATGTAGACGATGACTTGACCTAATTTCTAGCATTCTCGTTTTTAATTGTTAGCATGCATGGAATGACATGGCTCCCCGAACATTTCTTCAATCACCCCCTTGCTCTATGCCCCCTAGCTCTATGTTGTCTCCGCCACTTCCTGAAATTAATAGTCCGTTAGAATCCTAACGGAATAACTTATCCAATGCATTATCCCGTTAGAGTTTCTAACAATGTTTCAAGGGTGATTGTAATTACCGATACCACAGAGACCTTAAAGTTATTTTAGCGGGTGTAGGTGTATTTTACCCTAAAAATTAAATTTTTATTTTTCTGGCATATCTCATAGTATACACCGATCTTGTTACATACTTATAGTAGTCTATGTATTATATTTTGCACTTGTTAATTTATTACACGATAGGTGATAGAGTCGTTTACCATAACCAATATCCTTACATAATTTTTAATTGCAGATCCGCAAGAGCTTATTTAGTCAGGTTGCTGCATGATGATGGTGGTGGAAAGCATACGTATTTACCATTTTATGTTGGTTTCCGAGTCTTGTCAAGCTTTTCTTTTTTCGTGTTTGAGATTGGCCATTGAATTCTAGAAAATGATTCTGTGATATGATGACTTGTCCTGATATTCGTGTTTCTATTCAAGGTGCGCTTTGTTCCCGACAGTCCTTGTTTTTTAAAAGCAGTTTGTTTGTGCAGTATTTGTTCGAGTTATTCGCCGAAAACTGCTATTTTTATTTTTTTATTTTGAATTTGTACTGTAATTACAAGCTGTGTTCAGACATTGCATTTGTTGCCTTGAGATGAATAAATACCCACTCGGATGGTATCTGTTGAGAATTTATTATCCTCTATTTCAGTCATTGTTTTTATTTATTTTTATTTTATTTTTGGGTAAGTAAATAATTCCTTAAAACATATTTTTATTAATTTTCACCCCCCCTACCTGTGTTACATTAGCTAATATTGAATCACCTGAGTTGTTGGATAGACAGAATCATTATTTGAGTATGATGGCAGTCACTTGCATACCAACAACTTCCATGAACTTAATTTAACACCCTAATAAATTGTACTACTAGTAATACTTATAGATATATACACTATATCTATGGGTTTGTTGCTGCATTAATTGAACTCATTTATGGCTGACCAAATTTCTAATTATTCAGTTCACCTGCATATATATATATATTTGACAGCACAACTTCTTAGTAATTACTAGTTCATTGATTAAGTTATTTTGGACTATAATGGCGACAATTATTAGGCTTAATGACTCGTTAATCTTGGCGCCGTTGGCTTAGCCTATAGAGGTGTAAACTAATCAACTCGAATCGAACCTATGGTTGTGCAAATTTGTTCGAATTTTTATGGAGCTTTTAGTATTATATTAGTTTGGTTTCATAAGCAATCAGATAGATTTCGAACAACTTTTATCAAAGATGAACACGAACCGAGCTCGAGCGAAGCTTTGTAACTTATCAAACTAAAACATGTGTTCAAACCTCCGATTATATTTATTGTAACAAACCAAGCTCAAACGACCCTAAATTAATAGCCTAAATGTTCTTATAGTCTCTCCCACGTCGGGATTCGAAAAGACATCGAGGCTTCGAATCCCTAATTGACATAAAAATGAATTTGTCAAATGATAAAATTATCTAAACATTCCAATGGTCCTTTTTTTTAATAAAAGAAAACACCCAAAAAACCAATCTTCAACAACAAAACATTTCCCAAAAAAAAAAAGAAAAAAAGAAATGAAAGAGAAGAGAGAGAAAATAAACAAGGAAGCTAATTAATTGAAAATTCATTTGTTGAATCTATCATGCAGCATAAAATCAAGAAGAACAGTGCTCTTGCATTTAGGGCATTTGGGTTCATCCTCAAACAGCATCACATACATTAGACACCTCGGACAACCCACCAGCATCATCGTACTACTACAGCTCCTCCCATCCGGGCCGGGCCCTCCTTCTGGGCTTTCCTCACGTGACACGCACGAGCTTCTTGGCGATACCTCCACATTCTTCGTCCTGTGATCAGTTGGTGGCGATAGCTTCAGCTTCAACTCAAGCTCCGGGACTTGGCTCTCACACTTCATTTTATCTCTCTAATTATTTATATATTATATATTCAACAAAATATTATCATTAATACAAAAAAAATTAAAAAAAAAAATCAATGTAACAGTTACTGAAACATATATATATATATATATTATATTATTTATTACCTTGAAGGAGAGAATGAAATTGCATGCAAAAACTTGGTGACTGATTTTTTTTTTATTTTTTTTTTGTGGTGTTGATTTCGTTTAATTTTGATATATAAAGAGGAGAAGATATTGGAGAAATAAAAAGACAGAGCCCCCCTATTTAATTTTCGGAATTGATTATTATAGATACAACTGGACCCCAGATTGTTGAATCTATTAGGTTTTTTGAGTTAATGTTACAAAATAAATAAATTGAATTGAATTTAATATATTAATTGTAGTAGGGGAAAAGATCACAAGAAGTTTGCTGGCAGAATGAAATTTAATTTTAAGGAGTAAATATTTGCAACTAACAATTTGCTAAATGGCTTCTTCATTCATTGCTTCACATTCTAGGTGAAAAAAAAAAGAAAAATATTTTATATATATATATATATATATAAGTATTTTATTTTTTAAAATATTTATGTATCTTGTGTGTAACTAATTATTATATATGATTCTTGTCGTTTAATACGAGATGTACACTCGGTGTAGACAAGTATTTTTAATCTATGCATCTCTTAGTGGTGATTCAATGTTATACAATCCTGATCATCGTTTATTTTCAATTCATCTATCGTATATTCTGATGTATTATATGATTCTCATAGTTCGTTTAATGAACACTCGTTGTTCGCAAGTAATGTTTCCAATTTATTTCGTAATTTTTACAAACCCCATAGGGAAAAAAAAATGGAAAAAAACATGTATTGCAACTACGTTATGGACCAAATTGTAGCTAGCTCTATCAAAATTCCACCCACTTTTTCATTAATAGATGAAATTTTCTCTAGTTCATGAACTAACAACTCAAAGAGTAGAGAACAAATTAAAAATGGCTGCAACATAATTAATTAGCTATTAAAAAAAAAAAAAAGATTAATTGTGTTAAAAGTAATGGTATGAAGTAAACAGGTGTGAGATATTATAGCTAGCCAACCAACATTTATTTGTCTCATTAAATAAATAATAAATAATGGAAAGGGAAAAAAATTCCTTAAATACAGAGCAGACTGCTAGTTAACTATGCATGTAAAAACAGATGGGACACTCTCTTCAGCTTCTCTCATTAATATTATGGTAAATTACGGCCAACCCCCTGAGCTGATGTCAAATTACGAAAACCCCCATCTTGTTTAAGTAATTACAATCGTTCCTCAACTATGAATCTTATTACACGTCCATCCTAATAGATTTTGTGGAATATTCTCTAGTTTGTACTCATTTTGCGTGAAAACGCAGCGCTACAATATGATATTTAGAATCCAAGAGACGCATCTTATGATCATCTTGTTTCAAAATATGGAGTTCGAATGGGGTTAAACGAGAACAAACTGGAGAATATTTCACACAATCTAGAAGATTCCGCTAGATTGACACCGCAAAAATAAATCTTTAAGAAGATTCATAGTTGAAAGGAGGTGATCATAATTTCTCAACCAAACGAGTTTTGTTTCTTCGTAATTTGACATTTTGAAAGGTAAAGGTGCGCGTAGTTTACGTGCCCTAACAAAGTTGATATCTTGACTACTCTTGTGTTGACTATTAGAACTAAAATCAGTAATTCATTTTCTTTTCAAAGAAAGAACCACACACAAAACACACACTAGTAAGAGAAAAAAAATCAAATGACATCATCACATCAACTACCGCCAAGAAAGCATTAATTAAATCAAAATAGGATCATTTACTTTAGATCCATACATGTAAAGAAAAAATGTCTATGCAAATTTTGGCCCTACTTTTTTTTTTTTTTTTTTTTTTTTATGACTATAGAAATAGAAGCATTCCTCAACCCATAAATATCCCATCTACTCGAAATACTATTTTTTTTATTAACGAAAAACCCTGGAACTAACCGTATAGGTGCATCGGATAAACCTTCCAGAAGTTTACCGCCTTTAATCCATGAGGGCATCGTTTGTTGTTAAGGAAGGGGAATGTTACGGTCGTTATGTTAGTTGGTGGTAAGATAAGGGAAACGACGTCGATTGACACAAAAGAGAACTGCAAGAACTTTACAAACCGAGGCTATATAATTACGATTTACCATACAACAGTAGAATTTGTTTAACAAGCATTATAGCTTATAGCATAAAGGGGCGACGAAGTATAATTATTTCATATGCGAAGATAAGAGCTTCGATTTCGCCATTCAGTCCAGAGTTTGATCTTCATCAACATCGGTAACATTTTCTGCAGGCGAGCTTGGGGGTACGTTCAATGTTTCGTTACTGCACTTGCATTTCTTTAGTTGTTCTTTGAGACCCTTTACCAGCTCGTTCAGTTTGTTGATGTTCTTCTCCTGCGATAAGATAACCTGCACGAGACGATAGTATCGATTATAAAAATCGGGCATATATATACAAGATTCATGATATGATGTTTGCTCGAGAAATCAAGATTTTTGGGTAAAGATTTCGATTTTCTATCGAAGGTTGTGAAAGAAGGTATAATACATGCAGAAGTTCGGTGCATGTTAGATTAGCGTGGGAAATGCAAAAGTTATCTAAAGAAAATTTAATAACTATCATGCATATAACGTATATATATACGGCCTGTATAAACCACAATGTGAGGAAAACAGAGACGGTATATGAAGTACGATGAATATCTTTGCTACATTTTAATCTGATCACACCTAATTCGAAGAAACGAACAAATCAGAATTCTAATCTGATTATGCATTTCAAGATTGTCAGCCTTAAGTTTCCACGCACCACGATGTAATAAAACACAGACAATATACCAACTCTACGATGAAGTTAAAAATAAAATATTCCAAACGTAACCTTTTAACTCAACCCTTCGTCAAAATGGTCGAAATCAGTAGCGATAGCGCAGCATAAGGCAAGAGGGGGCCACGGCCCCCCACCGTTTTTGGAAAAAAACTTGTTTTTTTTAATTTAAATATAAAGATTTGTCATTTTCTCGAGTATTATATTTGCCCCCTCAAAGATAAAATGATGGCCGCTTGGCCACTGTTCCGAATGAATAAAATCTACTAACGACAAAAATATAACTTTTAACGACTCAACGCACTACCCTTTTGCATACCAACCAATGACGAAAGAACACATGTGACATTTCCGTGCAACGACAAATATATTGACGCAATTCATGATCAAATTTTCCCCTTTTGCATAACCCGACCAATGAAGAAAGAGCACATACGATAATTTCGTGCGACGACAAATACACTGACGCAATTAACGACAAATTTTCCGAATAAATGAATTACATATATAGTAATTAAATCGAGGGAAGCTAGAACTAATTACCTTCTCTTTGATAAGCTCCACCCTTTTCGCAATCTGCGGATTAGAATCCGCAGCGGTTGGATCCATCTCACCTACGAATTGCTGTCGCCATTCGATTTGAGCCACGATAACCAATATCATCACAAAAAACACGAGCAGCAGTGGCTTCGACATGATTCCTAGGCTTGTATCTACTCTCCCAAAAACCTGGCGAAAAAAATCGAGAAACGGCACCAGTACACAGATCAGAACTAGAACTCAGACAACAAAAATAATTTAAGGTCCACAGATGTATTCAAGATCAGAAACAATACATGCATCCATCATAAACAAAAATTGCATACTTACAGAAAGTATATATACACAAAATCCAGCAAAATTAATTGAAGATGGTGAAAACCCTAAACAAAATTTATTTTCCTTGTTTTTTTTTTTTTTTTTTTTTTGCAATTTATTTCCACCATTTTCAACTTAATTTACTCACATTCACGAAAAAAAAAAAAAAGAAAGCCTGCCCAAGTATACGCACATTTTGAACTCAAAATCTTTAAGCAGGAAAAATGGTATCAATGAACAGGAAAAACAAAAAATCAAATAAAAAACACCCAAAATTCGATGCTTAGATGAAAAAAGGAGTATGCTAAAACATTGTTGAATTCGAATTGCTTAGAATTTGACTGACACATAAAATAGAATAATAAAAAAGGAAATGGGGATAAAAGTAGGGTCTTACAGATCAGAGCTCAACTTCGAGACGAACAGCATCAGAATGAAGCGGCGAATACAAAATAATAAATAAATAAATAAATAAAAGGAAATAGGTTGTGGAAGTATCGAAGTTTTTGTTTGTTAGCAATGTGGGTGCTTTTGGTTGATGTAAGCAAAATGGTGCCCAGTGTTTTTTTCTGTAAGGTGAGAAAAAAAAAAACTGAAAGTAAGGAAGGAAGGAATCCCTAAATTTAATATTTACTGCTTCTTCAGATTAGGGCTCAATTTTACATTGATATTGTTGAAGTCAGTAATGGCAGGAGAGACTATATTGGCTGATTCCGGCAGTAGCAGTTGTTTCTTCTTCGTCTCTCTCTCTCTCTCTACTCTCTCTCTCCTCTCTCTCTCTCTCACATCGACCATGATAGATATTCGTATACATTTCTTTTTTCTTTTTCATTTTCTTTTTCCGCTTTTTTTTTGTTTTTGCTTTTCTTCTTTTTCTTGTGTTTTTAAAAAAACGTTAACCGTCCTTTTTCATTTCATAAAATGCACTTTTTTGGGAATAAAAAACCGAACTTTTCTAATTATTCTCACAAATTAAAATCGGAATTTTCAAAATTCGAAATAATAAAATATAGTTCCAAAAAAAAACCCAAGTCGACAAAAACCGAAACTTTCATTTCAATTTTCACTGCTAGTGACAATTGTTAATGAGGAAAGCTACTGATCGATCGGATTGCATCTTTAAACTCGAAGGTGGTTTTAACTTCAATGTAAAATTCAAAAAAGGGAGGTAAATATAACAACTAGACATGACCATGGTCCGGAACCGAGTAGTCTTGCCCGTAATAAGCCGGGATTAAAAGGGTCATGTCTAATAATAAGGAACTCTACGAGGGCTTAATTGAAAATTTTGAATAATTCCAGGACTGCATTCAGAAAGAATTCCCAGTACAGAATAATTCAATCTTTAACTATAAAATATCCCCAAAAAAAAAAAGAAATAGAGAGAGAGAGCAGTCTAATCTGTCTGAAGAGAGGTGACAAATTAAACAAAAGAGTATAGCACAAGGAAAATAGAATCCTATATATAAAAGCTCTATTTTAGGACAAAGTTCTAAAATGGTAAGTATTTCCATTTCATCACCAAAACCTAAGTCCCCTTACCATACCATCCAAACAAACCCCTTCATATCTCTTGCACAGTATCAGCCTTGAAGCTGTTCAGAGGATGAGGCGATGGTATGTTATCCGAATTCATCGGCTTCGATTTCTTGCGTTTCCCGCTCGATTTCTCCTTTGGGGCCGGTGGAGTCTCGGAAACCTGCACATAATAGTAATCACAATCAGCTATGGAGAATAAAAATAAAAATAAAAATAAATAAATTAAACTGAATAATTTAATTAATCTACCTCGGCATCTGTTTCGGGAGTTGACTTCCTCTTCAGTTTACTTCCAGTTTCCAGATAGTGAACCACCTCGTTCTTTGAACGGAACTTGCGGTTTCCCGACGGTTCAACGTAGTACTGCATGGTTTACATGTTTAGACATATACTAAGAGTGAAGTAAAACTCGAATTATATTTAATATCGGTTACTGATGAAACTTCAAATTCAATTTACGAAAGCATTTGTCGGCTTTGAAAGAGTAAATAGGATGACCAAGTCATGATATTTACTAGAAACACACGTTCATAAACTTATTTTACGTGCATTCCAACCCTATACCTTTTCGAAAATGAAGACTTTATTCTTAGGGAATCTTACCTAAGGAATAAAGCACTCGACTATGCACATCACATCACGTAAACTCCAAAAATCAAACAATGCTAGAAAGTTTTCAACGATAAATTGATAGCACCAGAGATGGATAGCTTAGTGAAGAGATTTAATATTTGTTTGTACATTAGTGAAGGCATTTTTCACTGTATTACTCGAATCTTGTCTAAAAATACTTTGAAGATTTTGGTTTTTCGTCGGAACAGAAAAAGTGAGAAACATTTCAAATGCAAAACAAACACTCGTTTCGGAAGTGGAAAACTCGGGAAAAAATTTTAATAACTAAGTTACCAAAATAAGAAGTTTGAAAGGAACGGTTTAAAACTGTTAAATAGTAATGGAATTACTAATGTCATCAGTTTCCAAAGAACAACATAACAATTTACGATATGTTGAGGATGGTAACTTTGGAATATAAAGTAAATTACAAAACAAGATCGATTGATAAAACATACCCAATCGGAATGTTTAAATTGTGTAATTATACTTACACTATAGGCAACCACAGTGGGGGCATATACCTATAGAATAAAGACACGTGCTTTCATCTGAGTTATCCTTGTTCAAAACCCCACGCGTCAACCACGAAAATGAAATGATAAATCACAAAAAAAAAAAAAAAAACCGAAGATTCCCAAGACAACAAATTTACCTACTCTACTACTCATCGATTTACCAACAACACAAACGAGAACGAATCTCGAGTTTCTCCATTAGAAACATGGCATACAAATCCATACACGTTTACATACTTCCCTTTAAGCACATTACACCATAAAGCAAAAAGGCCACGAATCTCCAGAATACTAAAATGCTGCAACCCTAATGACGGCATACATATGAACATGCAGAATCATAACTAAATAAAAACCGATACAAGCATGTGTGGGCATGTCTCAGGAAATATATTAAATAATTATATGATGCCAATCATTTCAACAATGATCACGAGAATTCTTAACACTAGCAAATCAAAGTACAGTCCAGAGAAGAAAGAGAAAAAAAAAAGCAGCAATTTCATCGTTTCATAAAATATTGAGAAATGAGAATTTTTTTTACCAAGGCATCGACCAATCAGTTGGATCTATAGAAAGCATAAGGAAACTACTCAAAGGTTGAACTATTTACTATCTCAAAAGGCTAGGGTTCAATATTCTTTCGTGTAAGTCAATTTATAACCTGAACCGAGTTTGACTAATCGACGTCAGGTTTCGTTTCAAGACTAAATTTTCGTGGAGTTATTAACCATGATCTCGGTCATTGTCGGGTGCGGCTGGTGAAAAGTCCAAAAAGTCCTCTTGGTTGTTTATAAAGTACATTCTAATCGGGGATCTGTGTCTTTTCCGGTAAAGTTGTATCCAATCAAAACTTGACAAATTTAGCGACACGAATCGTGCGCACGTTACTCGTGCCACAGTATGCCACCTGTCAAAGTCAATACCTACACAAAACCGTCAAGCTCAAGGCGAAAAAAATCCGTCTTTATGATCGAACTCCTTTAACACTTGACCTCATATATTTCACACATCTCCTACACTTACGCACAAAGTTGAAAATCGGAAGGTTCTAATCGGGCGCCACCCCAGCAAGTCTAACCCTAGTGTTCAACGACGCACATCAAGAAGCCATGCCCACCAGATCGATACTGTGGAAAAACCAATAACTCAGGGATCAATCATATACATTAATCACCCGATTATCAGTTCGTCGCAGTATCAGTCTCGTAGCCCGACTCGACCAGACGCAAAGAAAAATTAAAACTTTCTTAAATTCGTTCATGCCATAATCCACATTGATACACAAAATCAAGCAATAAACACAAAATCCACCACATGCAACCCAAAAAAAATCCACAAAAGAAACAGCTGAAAACAGGCGCATGAATCATAACCCTAACAACAAATTAAGACGGTGTGTGAGAGAGAGAAAATAAAACCTACTCGATCAATGAGCCCAGCGGTGGCTCCAGAAGAGCGGACCCTAAGGTCAATTTTCCAGTCCTCCGGCAACCAGCTCGGCCTCTTCAGCATCTCATCCGGATCTCTCCTCCTCACCGCCCGCGCCGTCGTCTCCACCGAGCTCTCCCCGGGTCGGAGCATCGAAATTGGCTCCGCCGCAATAACCACGCCCGGTTCGAAGTTCACATTCTCTGCGTTGTCTTCGTCCTGCTGGTTCTCCGGGGACTCCGCCCCGGAGTTGTTCCGGTCGGGATCGATGAAGGCGCCCGAGTCCAAAAGCGGGTCGGGCGACGTCGGGTCAGCAGCGGGTTGCCCGGTGGGGCTCGCCGTCGGGTCTTCAGCTTGGGGAACCGGGTCTTTGGGCTGGGGTTCGGACATTTTTTTTTCTTTTTCGATCGATGAAATTGAGGGGAAACTGGAGAACAAGGGTTACTGCGTGCGTGCGAGCAAAAACGTATTGGAATAAACGATGACAAATATCGGAGAAGGGGAAAAATAGGGGAGAGAGAGATTTTCCCTAATTTCCGACTGGAGCTTCTAGAATATATTATATATATATATATATAATGTGTCTTGAATATTTTAATTCGATTAAATTCGGCCTTTTTGACTATCTTCAAGACAGTACATTAATTAATTAATTAATTATGTGTGTTTTTTTTTTTTTTTTTTTTTAATTGACTCGTGCTTAAAGTTACTACTTATCAAACGTTTTAATGTTGTGTTGCAAACATGAAAGAGTTATGGATTTGTTAGAATTAAATTAGGATTTAGGTTAAGTTATTTATTTCCTGCCTTCTTTTAATGCAAATACACCAAAATATGTCGATTTGGAATCTTGTGTAACAATTGATTTTAATTTTCACTTTTTTCTTTAATTATATATGGTCGTGGTCGTGGAACTGAAATATAATGAATTGTAATTGGCTTAAGGAACTAATTGTTTCGAGGAGGGATTGAACCAACGATTCTTTTTATTATATAAATTTACAATTTAATTGATTCGACCAGCGATGTCACCGCCAGTTTATACAACGGTGCGTGATTCGATCACATAAAGAGTATAGAGAACAAAATTAATATTTACAAAATATTACTAAAAAGAAGAAAATAAATAAATAATGTTGTTTTGATCTTCGAAGGTTCGTCTCTGTGTTAACAAACCATATTGCACAATTAGTCAATTCTTGGTTAACAATTAATTGATCCGTTGTAATAGGTCGATTGCGATCAGTCCATGATTCGAACCGGCCCATAGTCAAGCCGTCGGCCCATAGTCCATGATTGGACAAAATTAATATTTACAAAATCTTATATATAAAAAAAAATGCTTGGTCAACCCTAAAAAATCCTAATAACATCTATGTAATTATTTATCTTTAATATCTTTTTTATACTAATTTCCTAATTAAAATTTTCAATAATTATCAAAATTTTCAATAATTATCAAAAAAAATAAAATAGTATCGTTATCAACAAATATTTTCTATTGATGATTTCATTTCAATTTATCAAAAAGAAAAAAATAATTTCATTTAAATTATTATCATACAACTCTTGTTTGTGGGCCCACTTGATTTATTGGGCGAATCTTATAGACAATTTCGGAATATAAAACAAGCCCAACAAGCCCGTTGATATTTATAGGCAGATTTAAGGATGATTTTTTACGGGTCTACTCAACAGATTTGGGCCATTTAACAAGTTCATTCACTTAGGGCCTGTTTGATAGGATTAAGTACTGAATGCTGAATGCTGAATATACATCTGAATGTTTAAGAGTTGTGTCTTAATACTGAATGCTGAACCACTAAGTTCATTTGATAGTTGAATATTAGTAACGTCTGAATAAGGTTATTTTACTATTATAGCCTTGGAGAAATACTAAAATATTTGTTATATGAGCAACAAATAATTGTATAAATGTAATTCTTTTTCTTGATTAACCTGATTAACTTAATTAGCAAAGTATGTAATATTGGTTGACATTAAACACATTTACGTGTATTAAGTTTCAAGTATTTAAATAATAAATAAATTTGAAATATAAACACCAAATAATATTTGTTTGATAATTGAAAGTTTATTATATTTAAATAATGCAACTTTATTATGTTGTCCTTTATTTATTACGTAAATATTAAGAATACAAATAAAAAGAAGATAAAAAAATACAACACAAAATTTAACTATTATTTACTTATTTTTGAAGAAGAAGATTGTGGTCAAATAATTAATTAACTTCAAAGGGATGACGTATGTTACTGCAGAGATAAAGTTAGAATTTTAATTTTTTTATAAGGACAAATTTGCCTAATATTAATTCAGTGCACCACTTAATGAATCAGATGGAAATTTCCGTCTGGATAGGTAAGAGCAAAATTTTGTGATTCAGAAGTCTTTACCAAATGCACTTAATGAAAAGATATCTGACCGAATCAGACATGTTGCCCAATCAGAGGTGATTCAGAACCTATCAAACGGGCCCTTAGTCTAATTCCATCACGATGCATTATTTCTATAACGATGGTTGTAATGTTTCTGTAAACCGTTATGAGAGAGAGAGAGAGAGAGAGAGAGAGAGAGAGAGAGAGAGAGAGAGAGAGAGAGAGAGAGAGAGAGAGAGAGAGAGAGAGGATAAACACATGCAATTCGAATGTCTCGCTAGTTTCTTCAGATCTTCGTTCTTCGATGAGCAAGTGAAATCCACTTTGAGGAAAACACAAGATAGGTAAAAATCTAAGTGAGGTTCGGGAACTGGGTGAGAGTGTTGACTGTAAACTGAGTGGTTTTGGGGTCAGATCTAGTGTTTCGATGATTGTGCTTTGTTGTTGCAAAATCGACGCTTTGAATTGCTACCTTATCTCAGAGATGCAGATATATATATATATATATATATATATATATTTATTACTATATACTATTTAGGGCACCCTTTGAGATATGATCAATTTACGAAAAAATCATCTTGTTTGAATAATTATATCTCCACATTTATGGTGTCAAATTCAACATAATCATCTAAATTTCGTGGAATGTGCTCTAGTTTGTACTCGTTTTGTGAAAAACACAGTTTCTGATGCACCACAATCAGATATATACAAGCCAAGAAACACATATTATGATCATCTTGCTTCAAAATGTGGAGTTTGAATGGGATAAAAGGGGTACAAAAGTGATAATATTCCATATAATCTCGAAGATTCCACTAAATTTGAAACCGCAAGCGTGGACGTGTGAGAAGATTTATAGTTGATGGGTGGTTATAATTACCCAAACAGGAGGGGTTTTTTTGTAATTTAATCATACCTCAGGGGAGTGGTTGTAATTTACCCTATTATTTATATTTATTTATAAAAAAAAATATAATAAACAAAAGAAATTTAAACTTACAATAAGTTTAAACCTGAGTTTGCAAGAAAAGTCGAACTCAAAATTATGTTGAGTCGGCTGATCGAGCTCACGAGTCTGCTCAGCTCGTTCATTTACAGTAATCACAAATGTTTTAAAACCTGAATTGTAAAATATAAAAAATGCAAGGCGAAATCTTCATTGGGCTCGGGCCACATTTTCAATAAAGCCCAAAAGGTTTTAAGAAATCGGTATCAAGCCCACAAGTTATGTAGATACTGTGCAATGTCCCAACCACATTATCTATATGAAGAAAATAATAATAATAATAATAATAATAATAATAATAATAATAATAATAATAATAATAATAATAATAATAATAATAATAATAATAATAATAATAATATACACACACATATACACTGGCTCCTTCGACCCTATACCCTGTGATAAACACCGGGTGGGGCTTCTAATGCCGAGTGAACTGTTTAATCTATTTTTGTGTAACCCTAAAGGGGAAACCCTAATCGGAAAATTATTTTCTTAAACTAACCAAAAAGAAAAACGTGAAAGGAAAAAGGAGAAAGCAAATTTTCTTTAAGAAAAGAGAAATAGAAGCATAGCGAAAATAGGGGATAGAAAAAGGAAAAAGGTGGAACCCAAGTAACATAAAAATAAGGATGGACAAGAATAAGAAAAGAAAGAAAGGAGGAAAATAAAGAAAGATAAGAATGACAATACACACACACACAGACACTGGCACAGTGGACCCTATACCCTGTGATAGACACCGGGTGGGTCTTCAGATGCCACATGGCCCGGTTTTTATTATTCTAAAACCATAAAGGGAAACCCTAGCGGAGAATATACTATAAAATACAAAAACGAGATACGTGGCCGCAGAAGACACACCCGGTGTTTATCACCGGGTGTAGGGTCCAACAAAGAGTAAACTGCAAAAACTACATTTGTGTAATCTCTAAATAGCGAAAACCCCCATATGATAAATAAACTAGCAAAAACCCCCCTGTAAAATTATTTAAATAGCACATTCGGCCCATTTTTCATTTGAGGGTTGACTTCATATAAAAAGACCCAAATACCCCGGGATTTTGCAATTAATAAATTCTTATATTTTTTAAATATTTTAATTATTTTATTTTTGTTATATCTTAATTATAAAGGTACAATGGGGTCTTTAATTTATTTCTATTTTTATATCACATGATTTTTGTATATATTTTAAATTATCCTTACATCAGAAGAAAACTTAAATTTCATTATTATGTATTTAAAAAAATATATACTTAATTTGATTAACAAATTTTTAATATTTTTTCAATTTAATTATTTACTATTTTCTTAACAATATTTTAATTTTTAAACAATCAAATTAAAAAGAAAATATATATACATATAAATACATTTTAAGGGTCAATTTCGTCATTTCACGTCCAAAAATCAACTACCAGTCGCGCAACCCGCGAGTGAGCCACACATAAGTTAACCGGAGGGGGTTGTTGCCTTTGACTAAATTTCACATGGAGGTTTTTGCTAGTTTATTTATTACAGAAGAATTTTCGCTATTTGGAGATTACACAGGAGTACATTTTGCAGTTTACTCGAACAAATCCATATACATTAGTGCGTTAGGTAGGTTAATTAATCTACAAATATGTAGGGTACGGTTAATAAATGCATGCATGCAGCGATATTATTTCAATTTCTCGTGTTGCAGCACTCTAATCTTTATTCTGTTAACCTGCAGAATATTAATCGCTACAAAAAAATGGGCTTTTGTGACGGAGATTTTTGTCATTGAATTGAGGAAAATCCGTCACAAACAAGCTTTGGTGACGGAGGTGTGACGGAATTCGTCCGTGAGAAAACGGCTCGTCACTAATTAAAATAGTGACAGTTTTTTTCAATCCGTCACACTTTGGTGACGGAACATTCCGTCACAAATACCTTATCGAACTCCCCTAAATTTAGTGACGGATTCCGTCATAAAAAAATTTTGTATGTCATTAATCTGTCACAAGGTTCCGTCATTCATCTGTCATAAATATCATCACAAATAGTCCGTCACATGCTTCTGTAACAAATGTTCCGTCAAATTTCAGTCACAAGCAATCCGTCATATTGGTTGTCACAAATATCAGTCACTTTTCTCGTCACAATAGCACCATAATTGTTTTGTTAACAATCAACAAAAAATCACAAAGAATAAATTATATTAAAACAAAATCACAAGGCATAAATATATAAAAAAAATTATATCATTTCCAATCTTTCAGAGCATCATTTGGCTAGTAGTATCTAGTGCTAAGAATTTGTTATGAATTACAAAACATAACTATCTTATTTATAGAAAACACAATCTCTTCTGAGCTATAAACTCGTTTGTATTTTTCTGCGTCACTGCCATCTCTTGTGCCCTCAATTTTCAGGTCACATTCCTAACACCACTCTTCTCTATTTGCCTTCAATATCGACAAGCCATGGCCTTAGTATCTATCTTCCTCTACATCACATTCTCCTCAACCCCGATCAACAATTTCATCTTGTTTCCCATCCCCGTCCACATAACTCTGTTAATTAAAAAGATAAGTCCAAAATATAACTCTGTTAATTAAAAGGATAAGTCCAAAACTACAAGTAGTTAACTGCATTGTATTGACATAATTAAAACGAACGTCGAAGAAGTTAATAATGCATCGTATACTCACAAGGTTTACTCACGTAAACAAAAATGTTGAATTAACATGGGGATGCAACGACCCAATAATTGTAGCACATATAGACATAATCATAAGCAAACGATAACCATAATAACACATACACACATAATACATGAAATTCAAATCCACATACTCCATTCCAAAGAACTATAAAGAAATCGTATCAGCTTTGCAATCTAATCACATCAAGGTTTCAAAACGAGTTACAATTATACCTTAATAATGAACTTCAAATTACTTGAACGAACCTATACTCTTATCGGTCCTAAATCAAATGAGAGATATCCTTATATAGAACTATGTCCTCTAAATAACGCCCTAACAACTCTTTTCATTCATAGTACTCTATTTTAGAAAATCAGGCAGCTTTGGTATTTCAATTATGAAAATTCATATCTCTTAAACCGTACATACAAACCTTATGAAATTTTCGCACAACATTCACATATATGTTAATTATACCATATTAAAACATTTCAGTAAAATACCTATCCACGTGAGATTAATAATTAATTCAGTACAATAACACCAGCAGAATTTCAGAACAGAGCATTCAACTTAAAAAATACCAAATAAATCATTCCTTCAACCAAAGACCATGAAATTTCGCTGCGAATCAGATTTATAAGTCTGTAATCATATCCAGTTGGAATTGCATGAATCGGGCAACGATAGAATTTAATTCATCACATAATTCATAGATGACTCAGAAATCGTGCAGTTTCGGAAAACGGTTCATAACTTGATCAATATAATTCCGATTTACGCATACCATATATCAAATCGAAGCTAACAGAAACATCTACATGCACAATTAATTTCATGATTTCCATAAAATAAATCATTGATGAAACATGCATTGGAAGCTGAGGCTACGAATCTGAAATTCGAATTAGGGTTCATTGAAATCTATATTTCTTGACCTAGATCCCTAAATCCGATTCCTAAACATATAAATCAATTAAACACATAAACATCATCTTATAATTTATCATTAATTCAGTAAAGACCGAAGTCCTTACATCTTTGAAGAAAATCGAAGACAAAGAGGAAGAGTAAAGCGAAGGATTCTCGGAGCTTTGGCTTGAAGGCTTTTGAGGGCACGATCCTCTTGATAGTTTGGGGGATTTTATGGGGAAATCAATCCCATTAATTAGATGTGAAGTTTCAAGAGAAGAAGGGGAAAGTTTGATGAGTTTTCATCGAATTTTCGAGGTGAGGCTGCCGAGGGATGAGAGGAAGCCGAGGGATGAAAGGAACTACCGTAAGAAGAAGGAAAACTGCCGTGGGAAAATTGAGAAGGAAAAGAGGAGGAATCTTCCTTGCTTATAGGCTAGGAAGTTAGGAGGAAATTGACCTAAGGGCTATTATGCAATATTTAAAACAATATAGGATCCTAATAACAATTAAAGAACACTTGGGGGAGTAAGTCATACATCCACATTCACACAACACCACACCACACCAACTAACTCATTCATGTATATCTACATTCATTAAATCAAATCGTAAAACAATTAAAGATACATTGAATAGATTAATCATCATATCATAATTCTTATAAGATCATTTAAATTATAATTGACCATGTACATGAGAGACAATTCAATATAACCAAAATTTTATAATATCATTATTAGCAAAGATTAATTATTCATTTAGAGCACATAATTCATTTAATCACGTGCATAAATAAAATTACTTAATCGTCTCAAATCAAGTCGATCGCACATTGCTCTAATATAGACATAACATAAAATATCATAATGCATATAATTCACATAATCATTCAGGGTACGTAAAAGTTACTAATTAATTCATGAAAATTACCAATTTACTCAATATAATATATATGCTTATGAAATTGCGGGGCGTTACACATAGTGACAGATTAATGACGAAACATAAAATGTGACAAATATGTGTCTGAAATGTATGTGACGATTTCTGACCGGATAAACATAGTGACAGATTAATGACAACTTAAATGATGACGGATTTGTGACCGATATGTATGTGACGGGCAGGATATTGTGACGGATTTGTGACCTACATTGATCAAATTGTTACATTCACAAAAAGCGTGTGACTAATTTGTGACGGAATAAATTTCCGTCAAAAGATTTGTGACTGACATGTGACTGAGTTTCGACTGTCACAACATCCGTCACAACATTGTCACATAGTGGTCATAAAAAATTTCTAAATCTTAGTAGTACATTCCATCACATATTTGTCACTCATTCGGTCACCAATAGTGACGGATTTAGGCCGTCACAAAATATCCGTCCCAAAAGCCCTGTTTTTTGGTAGTGAATACCCACAGCCACGAGTAACGAGTGCGGTATATTAATATGACACGTGTTTCTCTGCAAAAAACACGTGCATACTACATATTAATATACATATATCTGCTGCGTGCATGCAATGCAATTAGTACTATTCAGACATGATCATAAATGAATTTAACATCAACTCACACTCACCCAATTATTATATATTGTCACAGTACGTACTGCACTGCTGCAAATTCGTACAATTCTAGTAACTATCTCTAGCTACGTCGGTTCGATAGGATCGATGACGGGTTTATAGTATGACCCAATCAAGGTTTGTATAAACGAAACGATGTCGTTTTTGTATGTACGATGGGGCGAGACGAGTTTTATGTGTATTCAATAATAAATTGAATCCGTACGTCTTACATCAATACCTGCAGATTTTTTCTCTATTTCAGAACTCAACTTATTGATGGATCTATCCGTGCGACTTGAATAAAACGATTTTTCACGAGTTTGACGAGTTCAACGGGTTGATGGGTCCAACTTATCACCATTAATGAATTGTATTTCAGTGTCATGAATAAATACAATAATATAAAGTGAATTATAAATAAACATAGAAACACAAGTTAAAATAGAGGATTGATCAAGATTCTCTGATTCAAAAAATAAAATAATTTTTTTACTTTATACCCAATAATAATAATAATTTTGTCGTATTTAGTTAAACAAAATGTTATTTGAAAAAAAAAAAGAAAGAATCCAAAATGAAAAAGGGGAGAATTATAAGGTGGGAAAATTGACATTCCAACCACAGCAATCCTTATCTCAAGTCAGCTTCAAACCAACCTGATCAAGCAATCCATTTTTGAAAAGTTTTGTGACTCTTATTTCTAATTATTAATTCATTAAAAAAAAAAATTTATAAATATGTAATTTAGTAATTGAATAATTATTTCTTAAATTTTGTTTTCATTTGCTAGTAATTATCTCCAAAACATTTGCTAGATCCTCGAACCATATATTCATTTATCCTAAGCAGATTCTGATTGTAGATTTATTGTGGAGGATGTTGACTAATTTGGACCACATGCCAACTACCTTTTATTGTTGGGAGTTCATGAGTTTAAATGTTGATCCCCTTGATTAAACAATTGCTATTTATGCAGTATGATTCTTTGTCTGATATTAAAGAAAGAGATTGAATTAAATCAAAGTTTTGTAATATACGGTATATATACGAAAATAGGATCGGCAATTGAGTCAGGTCGAATTGAAGTCCAGTTATATCTGAGACAAGCCTAATTTTTAGTGAACCGGACTAAGTTTGAAGGATTTTATCAAATTCGATTATTTACGAGTCGAGTTTGAACCTACTGTGGCTCAACTCAAATAAATTCTACTCGATTACGTTAATAATTAAATATATAATATATTTATTATTTTAATAGTATAGCTCAACATACATGTTATAAGTTACAATCGTATTAAATCATTTTATTTTACTGAAAAAATTCTAAAAAAAAGTAAGTGGACGTTAATGCATTTTTGACCATATAAAAGGATTAAACCATTTGCAACATTAAACTTTATATATCTTTCAAGGACCATTGATTATAGTTTTTTACTTTTTTTTTTTAATCTAATTTTACTTTTTATGAATATAATATTCAAGATCGATTTCGCTCCTCCGTATGTCTTTGTTTTGTTTTTTTTTTTCCTTTCTTTTTGTTTGAACTCGTTCGACTGCAAAATATGTAGTTTATATATATTGTACGATATGAGTTGATATAAACTCGAGGCTCGAAAAGACATTTGAGTCGAACTTGAGTTTATAGTAATAAGATGTGTCTCGTGGCTTATAAATATCAGATTATGGTGCATCAAAAATTCCATTTTTGCACAAAACGGATACACATTGGAAAATAGTTCACATAATCTACAAAATTCCACTAAATTTGACACCGTTAGAATAAACGTGTAGAAATATCATAATTGAGAGATGATTGTAATTTTCTAAACACGAGGATGTTTTTTCGGAATTTGACATTATCTCAACGGCGGCCAACTATACAAAATTAGAAAAAATGAATTTAAGAATATAATATATTATATTGTATCCACTTGACAAATTGATAATATTCTTAAACATATGTGACCCAACATATAGGTAATGGGTCCGTTTCAATCTTATCTTCACAAACCAATCTGAATTAAAAAAAAATAAAAAAAAAAAATCATTTAATTAATATATCTATGTTTTTTCTAAGTGTAATGAAAATGACCTTTTTACCCATCTAGTTTCATCTAGATAGAAAAAACATCCAAATAGCGAGTAAAATTGAAACTCCGGCGGTTATGAACACCATATCGAGGCTCTTCTCTCTCTTCTGGTTTCTCTCTCTACTCTGTACCTTCATCCTCAAGAACTTGCGGTACATTTCCTTCTCCGTCTCGCCGTCGCATCTCCGCCGCGGCCCCACCATGGCGGCGTCGAGAATTTCCAGAGTGTCCAGCCCCGTCAGAATCTTTCCCTCCAAATCCTCCGCCTGCATGCTCACCTCCCTCACCTGCAGCTCCCGGCCTTCCTTCCCGCCGCAGGTCACCACGACGGCGAACTGCACCGCCTCCCCGTCGCCGCCGCCGTCCACCACCGTGGCAAACCGGAGATGTATGTCCTCCGTGAGCCAGTGCCGCCGCGCCTCGACCGCCTTGAGGCTCGCGACGTTGACCGCGCGTCCCTTGGACGGATCGATCAGGATCCAGCTCACCCTCAGCCGCTCCTCGGCGAGTCCCATGCACGCGCCGTCGTCGCCGTCGAACATGAGCGGCGTCGCCACCGTTTCCTTCGGTTCCATGAGGTCGATCCTGAAAGGCGAGCCCAAGTACCAGAGGGACAGCGTCTCCGTTCCGACGACCTTAGAATAAACCAGCTCGCCGTCGTAGTAAATATCCACGGCGGAGATCAATTCCGCCGTCTCCGGCGCTTGACCGCCGTAGGCGCCTGCCTTGCCGGACGGCTGTCGGGCGAGGCAGGAGAAGGAGTCAGAGTAGAAGGAGCGGTGGCCGGAGGGGAAGGCGGAGATGGCGTCGCCGACGGCGGGGTTGGTGGTGGAGGGCCACGTGGAGTTGCAAATGTCCTTCCACAAATGGTCTTCGTTGCAGAGGGAGAGGAGCTGCTGGGAGGCGCAGCTGGCGGCGGCGAGCGTCGGGCCGTCGAGTCTGTTCAGGATGTGGGTTCGAATGACGTCTGTGTGGATATCCGTGATCGGAGTTCCTCCTCCGCCCTTATCGGCGGCGGCTGAAACAACTGCGGCGGTTGAACACATGATTTTTGTTGGAATCTAAGTTTTTTTTTTTTTTTTTTTTATTTGTCTATTTAATTTTCTTGGAGTGGATCAAATATAGTGAGATTAAAGGTCTGAAATTGTTAGTGACAAAAAAAAGAAAAATTGAAGAGGTTTTATAGGGAGGGATTTTTGCCCTTTTGGTCATGGATAGGGTCAACGATCCGGCGCGTTCTTCGAATACGTTGTTTTATTTTATTTATTTATTTATTTTTTTCCAATTATTATATTCCTATTATTTTATCCTTTTAAATTTGGCTTCATATGGTCGAATATTTTTTTCCTTTTTTTTCTTTAAAAAATACTAATAGATTTCATTAATATAGTGCTTACAATAAATATATTGAATAAAGCTCGGCAAAACATTCGATGTAAAAAACTCCATTGTAGACAACCAAACAACTTTGTGAGCTGCTCGATTGCTTTCCCTAATGACATGACAAACTTTGAAAGTTTAGAAAAAACCTAGCGTCAAATTATCGATAATTTTACCACAAATTGTCCAAGAATCCTTAAAACTTAGGGATTGTAACACTTCCCTTTATAAATATTTAAATGCGACACTTGCATGTTTTCTTCTCATAATATCCTTCTAATCATTAACTAAATTATGAATATGTAAGAATACGTTTTTATAATAATTTTTTAAATCAATTTTATTATTCCAAAACTCTAATTTTAAGAACATAATTCTGAATTTTGAGGGACAACTAGTTTTCATTTTTTTTTAAAGTAGCTTTTATTTATTAAAGAAAAAAAGAAAAGAAAAACAACTCCACTACTTGTGATCATGCTAACATTTGGGTGTAGTGAAGGCGGGAAACGCGGAGCATGTTTAGCCCAACTACCGTTTAGATACATAATTAATAATTTAATATTTTATTTATTTATTTATTCTCAATTCATTAAAAAAAAAGTCAGGCTACAAAATTGCGATCAGATCTAAATTTTACAGATTTAAATATTGTAAACCAAAAAATCCATCTCTAGTGGTGAATTATATATAAATAAGCTCATTTTGTAAAATACTTGTTACAATTTACAAATATCTATTGCAACCAAACAATTGGAAACCAATAAAATATAATATTATTCAACATTTATCCTTAAATTGAATGATAAAGAAATGAAAATTAAATTCATAGATTCAAACAACTGTGTTGAAAATTAAATAAAAAATTAAAGTTATTATACGAGAATATAGTCTACACGGTCTATCGACACAACATGGCTGCGGATTACTTCGTTAAAAAAAAAAAAAAAATACAGTCGGCTTGTCGTGTGAGGGTAGTTACGTCATTTAATAACAAGGTCTATTCAGTAGTAGTCCAACCTCGGGGCTGCTGGCTGCTTTGTACAAATTTGAAATTTCAGTCAAATTTATAAATGGGCTTATCCAAATCTACTATTATTCCCACTTGCGCCTGAAGCTGACGTGGATATATTTAATCCTCCAAGTATTTTCAATTATTTCGATATTTTAAATAATTTATAAAATAAAATAAAAAATTAATTAATTTTCCACAACAAATTGTAGCCGGCACCCAAATTGGGCCTTCTTAGTAGTAACTAGTGGTTCATAATTGGTGACATCAAATTGTTTTGTTTAAAATATTATTTAATCAAATAGTCTTCTTCTTGAACATTTACACAAATATTATTAGAAATTTTTTTAAATAAAAAGTAAATATTAAAAGACTTTTAGATATAACGTGACCAGCTCATTGTGTATGAGCTTGAAGAATATAATATAATCTAATTATTTGTCAACTATATATAATACATGTAAATAATCAATCTGCTTAATCTAATCAAATAATAATAATGGTGGGTCAAATTTGGTTTATGCATCGCCCCTTACCATATACCAATTGGGACCTTAAATTTAATTACCCAATTAATTAATTTCTTAGTGTCAAACCTTTTTTTTTCTTCTTTTAATAGGTCACACTTTTTATTAGGTGATATATTGATATTAATTAGGAAAATAATATTTAAAGAATGAGGAAAATAATAATTTAAACACAAAATGAGATATATTTGAAGAAAATATTAAGTAAAGATTCATCAATAATTAATAGAGATAAAGAAAAATAAAAAAAAATAATTACAGAGTTGTTGTTATAACTCATTAGGGTTGCTGAGCATTTTCGTAGAGAAAAAAAAAATTAAAAGAAAATAATTTCAAATATGCCATTAACGGGGAAAAAAAAGAAGGAGAATCTAAAAATGGAAAACTCGTCCAATTGAGATAAGAATGATAAAAATAATTAATTAGAAAATTGGTAGAGAAAATAAAAATGAAAACAATTACAAAGATGTAATTATGGTTGCTATAGCGTCAACTAAAATAAAAAAAAATGGATTTGAAAAAACTTTTTACAAAATCAAAAACATTTCAGATAGGAATCGACGTAATTTAGAAATTTTAAAATTTCAATTGTATTAAAATTCTAGTATAACAATATTGATATTTTAAGTGTAATTCTCGAAGAAGAATCGGACTCTTCAAAAATATTTTTAGAATTCAAAATCACATAAAAAATCGGAATCTAATACATATATTCCAATTTCACTTCAAAAAACAAAATTGAAAATCAAATCTTTCAGAATTCATAATGAAAAATACTGTTACAAAAATCGACGTAATTCAAAAAAATTAATTCCAATTGTCACCCCTACATTATGGTAATAACAAATAATTAAACAAAATATTTTAAGTATTATTCTCGAATTTTTCGGGTTTATTTATTTATTTTTTATTATTTTTTTTAATTGACGATCGAATGCGACTTTTGTATGCAGATGCAATTCTGCAAGTAGAATGCACAGGAGATGTGATAGTACCAGGCCCAAATAAAGGGACTACGGACTCGGACGGAGATTATTCGTTCTATTTGGTCCCTCGTCCTATTAACGCAACAGTCGAATCAATTGTCGCCAGTTGTCGCCTATTTGTCCGGACTCCTCTCTCCAAATGCAGCCCGGCCCTACCGAAAGCGGGCCTCGTGTCGAACTTAAAGTATGTCAAGACAGTCCAAGTTGGATTCTTTCCTATCAGTATCACTTATATGGCTGCTGCGGGTTTTTCACTTCAAGCGTAATTAGCCCATCTGCATATAAGTTTAATTAGTTCCATGTATTATGGAATATGAATAAAGAATCTTTGGATTGTGTCTGAATTATGACAAATGAAATCATGTTATCTAGATTTTTGTCATGATATAATTTCTGGGTAATTTATTAAACCAACTTAAAAGTTAAAAGGGCCAAAAAATTAACAACTTAATGAGATAGACATTAATTTTAAAAAAAATTTGTTTTTTTTTTTTTATCAAGAATACCTCTAGGAGTTGCAACTAATCCCAATTAGTGGATGGTCGAGTTCGGTTCTGACTAACATTGGTAATTTACCTCGTGCGTTGCACGGGCTGTTGGAATATAATAGGAGATATGGTGCATTTTCAAATATAAATGAATCATGTGTATTTCTAAAAGTTTTAAGTTTCAAGATGTAAATATTTATTAATTTTTAAATTAAATATTTCACAAATAACATAAAAAAATGTAGCTATATACCTATTTATCCTTTTTGAAATGCTGTTAATATATGATATATTCATTTTATACTAGTACATATTGTTGCCCTTTAATAAATAAATAAATCATTTGTTAAAGAAAATAATAATTAGAAAATTGGTAGATAATTTTATTTTTACAAATTAAAGACGCCATTTACAGAATATATGGATGATAATATGTCACAACCCTAGGCTATGGTGATAATAAGTAATTGAACTAAATCCAGAGTTGATCAAATAAATTACTTTGACAATCAACAATCAACAATCAACAATCAACAATCAATAATCAACACTAGATTGTAGGTCATAATTATACACTCGCAGACATTGTGAATTCAAGATTTTGAATCAAGATTCATTTTCTTTTTGAGCCTATAAATTGGCCCTTTTCGAAGAAACTTTATATTGCAACCAAACCATACACAATTAAAAACAATGGCCCTAAAAACAATTCTGATTCTTGCAATTGTAGCTGCAATGGCAACCTCATTTGCAGATGCCCAAAATCCACTGGGCATCATACAAATCAACGGTACGTTGTACTGCTCTGCAAATGGCAGTCCTACTAACAATGGCAACACGGCTCCAGTTTTCCCGAGTAAGTCTCGTCATATATCGACATTATTCTCGATTTTCACTGTTTTTTTTTTCTTCTTTTCAATTGATGATCAAATGCAACTTTTGTGTGCAGATGCAACTCTGCAAGTAACATGCACAGGAGATGTGATAGCACCAGGCCCAACTAACGGGACAACCAACTCAAACGGGGTTTATAGGTTGTACTTGTCCCCTCGTCCGAATGCAACGGTCAACTCGATAGTCGCCAGCTGTCGCGTCTTTGTCCTAACGCCTCTCTCCAACTGCAGCCTGGCCCTACCGACAGCTGGCCTCGTATCAAACTTACAGTTCGTTAAGACAGTCCAACTTGGATTCTTGCCTCTCCGTATCACCTACATGGTTGCTGCAGGTTTCTCTCTCCAAGCTTAGCCCATCATCGGATGATTCCCCTCTCTTTTTTTCTTTCTTTTTTTAACTTCATGTATGAATAAAGACTTTGTGGATTGTGTCTGAACTATGACAAATAAATCATGTTTTTCTAGACTTGTCAATTGTCATGAAATGATTTCTGGGTAATTTATCGAACTAACTTAAAAGGGTCAAAACATTAAATTCATTCTCTAACAAACAACCCATTGTACAACTTTAACTTAATTAGATTGAGATTACATGAGATAGAATCAGAAAAAAAGAAAAGAAAAAAAAGGGCATCAAGAATCAAGAATACCTCAAGCAGTTGCATCTAATCCCAAGTGGATGGCCCACCCAATCCAATTTCATTAACGTGCGGCAACTCGAAAGAAGCGGGATCAATAGCACGGTTCCTCTTCTTTTTCTCGGTTTGAATAGTTACAAGCCCATGGTTTGCACCCATATCTTGATCGTATCTACTATCGGGCATCTTGTCAATTTCAGGAGCATTATTTGCAAAAAGATCCGCAAAAGGGGTTTCTGCGCTGTCGATTATATTTGCTTTATCTCCTTTCTTTCTTTTTCTTGATTTCTTGTCAGATTCTTTTCCTATAATAACATCATCGAACGTAACATCAGGCTTCTCCTCAACAAGTTGATGCTTTGTTTTATGTTTCTTGTCCTTTGATTTCTTGACTTGCTCGTCATTTCCATCCAGAGTTCCTGCAGAAACAATATTAGTGCTTTACATTATACTCGAGTTCTGGTTTTGCATCAATTATTCTATTTAGTCGTCAACTGTTAAAACTCGTTACCTGCATCAACAGAGAAGTCTTCAACTTTCTCGTGAACTTCTTTTCCAACAATTTTGTCAATCGGTCTTGAATTGAAGACGTGCAAATTCGGCAATAGTTTTTTGACCTGGTGAAGCGTTGTTTAGATCGTCATTTCAAAACTCCTGCGAATAAAATAGAAAAGTACTTGAGCACGAAAAAGACTTACTCTCTTCTGTAAATTTTCCTTTTCGGAAACAGGATTTCCTTGTAGATTCAAATTTCTCAGGTTAACTAACGACGAGAGCACCTGTCACACAATTACGAAACCATTACACTAGTGAAAATCATATTATCTAAAACACATTAAATATGATAATCGATATAAAAAAAATCTGTCACCTTTACATTTGACCAGCGGGTGATCAAGTTGTTCCCCATGTCTAGATTCTGAAGTTTCAGAAAATTCCCAAACTCAATAGGGATAGTCTGAAACATTGACCAAGACTTAGTAACCTCATTTGTGAAAACAAAAAAAGAGCACTACGTAATAATTTATAAAATCAGAATAATTCGTTAACAGCTATTATAACATACCATGATCTCGTTGTGGGAAAGGCGAAGCTCTTTTAACTCTAGGCAGGATTTCAGGGATGAATCGAAGGATATCAGTTGGCAGTTAGAAAGAGAAAGCTGTAATAAGGAACTGTAATAAGACCCCTCGTATATACAATCTATAAGCTGATTAAAACGAGCGCTACATAAAATAGAGAGCGTACTTTGGTAAGTGATTTCAGTTTGGCCAAAGATTCACCGAGTGAACTGATCGGATTCCTGGAAAGGACTGCATAGGGCAAATTATTCAATTGTTTCTTTTAATCATGAAAGTAATGCAAAATTTCTCGTGTTTTATATTTTATGAGTAATAACACTCGGATTAAGTGACGTACCCAGAGTGTTCAACTCTTTCATCTGATCAAGCTTGCAAATTGAACTGATCTCATTGTCTGCCAAACGAGGATAAAAAGGGTATAAGTAAAAGTATGCGAAACATCCCGATGGCAGTTGTTAATTACTCCAAGAACCTACCGTTCAAGATCAATGCACGTAAGCTTGAAACATTTTTGACATCATCTATTGATGTAAGCTTGTTTTTTCCAGCATTTAATACCTATACCAGAAAGAGACGAGGAGAGGGGTAAAATACTTTAAATAATGTTTTAGTTATAAACCGGATTCGAATCCTGTTTGAAAATAGTGCTAACAAAGTCAAACATGAGAAGGATGATGAAATGACATCAAATAAAGTATAATGAGATTTTTTTTACATGTTTTAAGATAAAACGGTGGACTTAACTAAAGCTCACATCTCTTATATGATGAAAGAAGAAAAAATAAAAACTCCAGCAGATGGCAGATAAAACGGTGAACATTTCTTGCAACTTTAATTGAGAAGGTCTCTAATGACCCATCACAATCGGGATTAGGATATGCTTATATATATGATAAATTACCAAAGAAAAAAAACCACTAATAGTTGATTTTATAGACCCCAAAATTTGAAATGCTAGCATATAGGAGGATTCAACCTGAATCGAATGATTGGTTCTTCAATTCGCGTGCCGCCTGAAATTTAGCTAGTGAAACCATTTGGGTTTTTGGATTGAAGAATCGGATTTTCCAGCTATCGAGATAAGCATAAGCTATAGTCTTACGACATACATTTTATAAACTATTAATTTGGTTTTTACTTTCTGTACTTCGATTAAATTACTAATTTAGCTTTCTACGTTTGAAAGTTACATGTCGGGAAACTTCGTCGTGATGAAGGAACTTTTACACGTCTCAAATTCCGACTCAAAATGCTAGCACCTTTAGCAAGACTTGAAATGCTAAAGAAACATGAAGTCCACATCTATACAACATAATGCCGAAAAGCCAACTAACTACATATACAATTTATAATCGAAAACTGGAAAAAACTATACGAAATCTAACACTAGCTTACAGTGAGTTTATCGAGGCGTTCGATGCCTTTCAAGCTCTGAAGCTTGTTCTGCACAACTGACAACCACTTCAAATTCACACATGACTTCAAACCCTAACATTTCAAAAAAGGAATTCAGCCAAAATACGACATCGAAAAGGAAAAAAAAAAAAAACCGACAGCAGTAATTCTTAGTGGGTTTCATTTCACTACCTCAAGTGAAGTCAAATTGTTGAATCCCAGGTCGAGCCTTTCCAAATTCTTGAACTCGCTCAAGCACGATACCTGCAAAATCCCATTAAAACAAAATTAAAATTGCAGAGATGTGCGAATGAAAGTTCGAATTGTAAACGCAGCTTTGATTCGGGATTTTGATATAGATTGTAGAGAAATATTATTACATCGGAGAGAGCTTTGTGGGTGAGAGAAAGAGATGTAATGGAGTCGGGATCAGTTGTTCCCTTTTCTTGCAAGATTTTCTTCGAGCTAAGCACTGTCATTGTTCGATAAAATGTCTCACAGGGTTTTTCTGCTAAACCCTACAGTTCAGTGTTGCCGGTTATAAATTGGTCTTGGATTTTGATAGTGCCAGAACAATTTTCATTGAGCCAGAACGAAATATACCGGACTGACGATTTTACCCTTTGTAATTGAATATTTGCAATAGGTAAATCATTAATGTACCATCCATCCATCATCTTATCACTACTTCATTTTTAATATTTCAATTAAAACATTTGTATTTCTCTTAAAATCCAAAAGCTTTGACTGTTTGTGAAAACCGGCAAGTTTGGCCCCGATACCATTTGTAGAATTTCGGACGCTGTCAATTATCCTAAAATCAATTGATGTTAGAAAATGCGTAAATTTTGAGATCATACTGCATTCAGCATACACAAACATTCAAGACATTAGATTGTAGGTCGCCTATCACCGATCGAACCTTACTGCCGAACCATGGCTAACAATTTGAATTCAATAAGTACAATTTATTAGTAAATACTATTTCTAAAATATGAATCTATTAAATTGAATATCATAGTATAGTAGATTAAGTGTCATTAAAACAACATCTTTCGAACATAAGTTCTACTCTTAGGTAGTGTTTGCAGAAGCTTTTAAAAAGTGATTCTAAGCTTTTTTTGGACTCAAAATCACTTCTACTTTTCTCAAAATAAGTTGATTTAAGTTAAAATATAAAAACAACACTCATAGACCAACTTCTCCTCAAATAAGTTGATCGAACTTGTTTTTTCATAGAGTTTGCAAACACCCTAACTTCTAAAACTAAGCACTTATTGTTGACTTAATTCATAATCATCAGCTTCTACTTTTTAAAAATCATTTGCAAACACCACATTAATCACTCATCATTAAAACAATTAGATTGTATTAAATGAAATTACTAGTTTACTAATTAATAATTAACCAAAATTAATTTAAAAAAAAAAAAAAAAATGAATCGGCATCGACTCACTGAGTAAGACAGACGAGTCGGAACTCCCCAAACAGTGATAGATAGATACTCCACATTCTTTATTGATATTCCAGATCAAAAATACAGCTCCAGCACTTTCTCCGCAAACCCCAATTCCCAATGGCGAAACTGCAGAAGTCGCAGCAGCAGCGTTCGGTCTTCGTCGAGCCGGTTTACTCCTCGGCGGTCGCGCTGCTCATTGTGCTCCTTGCTTGTGTGGAGCTCGGCGACGCCGTCACCGTGGTTGACGTTTACCGACTCGTTCAGTACGATCTCGGCGGCGTGCCCTTGGGATCCCGCCTCGCCGCCCTCAACCACCACGCCGGTTCCTCTTTGTTTTCGTCCTCCGCCGGCGTCGTTGCCGATCTCTCCCGCACTGTTCTTATACTCCCTGTTCGTGAATTGAATCTCACGTTCATTAGAGGTCTCTCAATTCCTTCTCTTCTTCAATTACTTCTCTGTTGGTTGACTTGTTTTGTAGCATTAAGTTTTATGAAAAGTTTGCTAGATGTCTGTAATGAGTTGTGTTTTTCGGAACTACTGTTTAGAGTTGAATCGTCCGGTGATTTTTCGGGATTGATAGTATATGATTTGGTTAATCTGTATAGTTGCTCTAGAAGTACTGTAGTGAAGGATAATCCTGTAGTCCTGTCTATTGGACTAAAATGCTCGGCACTGCCAGTTTCGTTTCCTCCCTGGCGTGGATCGATGTATAAAGTATCCGATTGGTCTGAAATATTATGCTGGTTTGTTTCATTATGTGTATTTGTTGTTCTTTATTTCTTCGGCAAGAATTGAACTTCCTTTTTTTGAAAGATTAATAGTATTTGCCTTTTCTGTTTTGTGGGAAGATAATTGCGGGATGCATTTTCATTTTCAAGTTTTTCAACCCAGTTGATCTTATGTTATTTATGTTTCTTGATTTGGATAATTTCTGTTCTGTCTCGTATCATACTGTCAAATATAGTTGCCATTTTTTACTCTTGTCAATGTAGTACTGGGCATAGTTTTCATGTTTTTGTTTAAACTAATCATACTAGCATTCATCATATTCAAATTAGTATTTTCCTCAAGATTCAGAGAAATGAGATAAATTTAATTTTGTTGAATTTCTTAAGTTTTACGATCATTGATGAGGATACCTCAGAACCATATCATGCATGGATTTTTAAATTTGGGATACATTTATCCATACTGCGTAGTCAACGCTGAATGGTTGATTTGGAAATTATGTTAGAGATATATGTGATCTAAAGAAGCAAAAGAAGGTGTTAATCCCATGAATTTCTGCATATAGAAGTAAATTTTGACGTTTTACTGCTGTTAGGAATTTTGAAGGACTGTTAGTTTGAGGGGGTTAATGTAATTTCGAAATAAGAGGAAACTTTTGTAATGTAGGCATACATCAGGGGATTATTTGTAATTTACCCTTCTTTCTATCAGACCTCCTTCAAACTTTTGAAGTTCCTAAACGGTAGCTAGTTTATGATTTTTGTTACATCAGTTGAGTGTTTGTGTTCAGTTCTGATAGATAAGTCTAATTTGAATTATTCTCTATCGTTCTGTCCTGTTTATCACAAATGAGGGACTGACTTTTTTCTTGGGATCGTATGGCAGAATATATTGGACAGAGCAAGCCATTAGGTGGTTTATTACTTCTACTGCCCCCTATTTTTAGTCCAGAACACACAGATAGTGGGGGTGGAGTTGATGATGATTCTGCAAAAGTCCTACTGAAAGAAGTGTTAGTTGAAGTGGAACGACTGCTTATACATGCAAACATCCCTGTGAGTGGATAAGATTGCTGCCTAATTTTTGGCTAGCATCAGGCTCAGTGATATTTGAAAACTTGATGGCCTCCATGCCAATCATATATCTAGTTTTATCTAATTAAATGTCTTCTTATGTCTCAGTATCCAGTTTACTTTGGTTTTGAAGATGAGCATATTAATGCTATGCTAGCTGATATCAAGAAGAATGATGCTAGTGGTCAGCCAGCAACTGCCACAACTGGCGGGTTAGTTAATTTACGGCAAGCAGTAATTTTGGAGTTTGTCAATATCTGAAAACACTCGAGTCTCTTCTTTTCTGGCATATAATAAGAAAGTGATTTTAGCTCGCCATTTGTTCTACAGTCCTTCATATGTGTATAGAAATTGACACTAGTTTTTCTTAGTTTTTATGGCTTCATATGTTGGCATCAAATCATCACGATCGTATGTTCCTTGCTGTTTTGGTTTTCTGATGCATTAGTTAAGCTGATTGAATCAGATACTGATTGAGATGCCAATTTTACAAAAGCCTTATAATAGTTGATGCCTCATCCGAAATATTTCAGATACAAGCTTGTAGTTGCGGCACCACAGCCCAGGAAAATTGTTTCTCCCACCATTGTTAATATCCAGGTTCGAGTTTTGCCTTTTATTTTGTTTTTGATTAAGTCACTGTCATTGGGATCTCAGTGCACTGCATGACTGAATATTTAGTCGATTGTGGCTGCATTAGCACGATAAACAGATGAGCTTGGATCATATTCTTCTTATGGTTCGTCTACCTATTGTAAGTTTCTCAGATCTAGTGTTTCGTCAGGGGTGGCTGCCAGGATTAAAAGCTGATGGGGATTCAAATCAACTTCCAACTATAGCTATTGTGGCATCATACGACACGTTCGGGGCTGCACCAGTTAATAACTTTTCTCATTGTACTTTATCGTGTTATTGATAGTCCAGGATCTTATGCCCATCTTAATGCTAACAGGCACTATCTGTGGGAAGCGACAGTAATGGAAGTGGTGTCGTCGCACTTCTGGAAATAGCTAGACTGTTTTCAATCTTGTATTCAAATCCTAAGACAAGAGGAAGGTATAATTTACTCTTCTTACTGACATCTGGAGGACCGTACAACTACAATGGAACTCAAAAGGTGCTTATTGCCTCAAAGTAGTTATTTCCTCTCTTTATTATGCATGTATTCGGGGTGTTACATCATGATAATGATTTTGTTCCTTAACTCTGCAGTGGCTTCATAGTGTCGATCAGCGTCTACGTGAGACTATTGATTATGCCATTTGCTTGAATAGCATCGGCTCATCTAGCAATGAGTTATGGCTTCATGTGTCCAAGCCTCCGGACAATGCCTACATAAAGCAAATGTTTGAGGTTACTCAGCTTCCCCTCTTGTTAAGAATAATCAGGGTTGTTATCAGTCAGCTACAATCATTTGTAATGCTTTCTGGCTTATGTATTCTTGCAGGATTTCTCTAGTGTGTCGGAAGAATTGGGGCTGAAGGTTGGTTTGAAGCACAAGAAGATTAACATCTCCAATTCCCGAGTAAGTAGTATTCTACTTTTGAAAATTGTCGGCTAACAATCATTTGTAATGCTTTTGGGCTTATATATTATATTCCTCCAGGATTTCTCTGCATTAATGTTTATTGAAATCTTAGATACTGTTCTAGCGCTTAACAAAATGCACAAGGATGGCTCATATTATTGTCTTTGTATTGGTCTCTGGATTTGTTGAACAGTGATTGGAAATGTTAGTCACAGTCACTTAAAAAATAAAGCATCACAAGCTGAAACCTGAATACGTGATACTTAACAAACATTTTCCCTTTTTTTGTCATGTTCGATGTACGAGGTTTTGAGCCCGATTTTCCTTCGCTGGTCATAAAAGCAAACTTTCATGATTGTTTTTGTTAAGATTATAGGTGTAAGCTTAGTTTCTGCTTTGTGATTTGTAATGTTATCAATAAGTTGATCTATTTCATCAACTTCCTCAGTTCCATTTCTCACGCTTAAGTATTCTAGGTGGCATGGGAGCACGAACAGTTTTCGAGGGTGAGAGTCACAGCTGCAACATTATCTGAGCTTTCTGTTGCACCAGAGTTTCTGGAAAGTACTGGAGGCTTGTCAGATAACAGGTTTGTAGTTTTAAATAAGAGGCACTTTTTTGGTTACAAATGTTTCATTCTTTTCTTGTGTGTATTTTATTTTCTAAAACCTAACTCTTCTCTACAGAAATTTTGTTAATGAAGCTTCGATAAGTCGAAGTGTCAAATTAGTTGCTGAAAGTCTTGCAGTAAGATCTTGTTTTAAAATTTCTCTGTCTTGTTATGGATGTAAGTATAAATGATTCTCAGATTGCTAATAAATTTTCTTTCTTGTAAACAGAGACAAATTTATGGCCAGCAGGGGAAAAATATTGAAATATTTGCAGATGATAGTAGTTTATCCGTAAATCCTTCTTATATGCGTTCATGGTTAGAATTTTTATCGACAACACCTCGAGTGGCTCCATTTCTTGCAAAGAACGATCCTCTTATAATGGCACTTAAAAAGGTATTGTATCCTTCCTTTTTGTAAGATTTATGGCAGTGAACTTTAAAAGTGTGCACCATTTCTTCGGATTTGTTCTTATTTTGACTGTTAGACTTTATTCATTGACAGGAATTAGCAGACCACACAGTTGAAGTGAATGTACAACAGGAACCACTTGATGGGATGTTTACCTTTTATGATTCAACAAGCGGAAAGCTACATATCTATCAGGTTCCGAATCTCATTAAACTTAAATCTCATGTTTTCCCCCCCACCCCGAAAACCCCCATCCCGTAAAAAAATTCGCGCGTACAAATGCATATTGATAAATACATTCAAAGTTGATAGAACTCGTATAGCTGCTTTTGGAATTCTCTATTCTTATTTTCTTTGTTTGCTTTTTTTTCTCGTTTCAAGTCCAGGAGAGAGAATAAATTTGTGGTTTTAGAATTCTAGTAAGGTTAAGAAATGGATTGATTATTATGATATCTTACTGCAGGTTGCGAGTGTGACATTCGACCTGCTTTTACTGCTGCTTCTAGGATCTTACTTGATCACGCTTTTCAGTTTTTTGGTCATCATAACTAGGGTATGAAAACTAATTTTTTTTTTCTCTATCCCTTCCAAATACTCTTTCATCATCCTCTCTTTTTTTCGTTTTATTTTATTTTATTTTCTTACTCTTTATTTATTTATATTTTCGACAGGGTCTAGATGATCTGATCAGTCTATTTCGTCGTCCAACTTCCCGTAAAGTGAAAACACCATAGTTTGATCATAACAGAGCTGGATTTGTCCTTGCGGAAGATTGTTTCTTCTAGCTATAAACCGGCACAGATTGTAGGTGAGATTTGCAATCCTACATGGATGGATATGCTAATTTAATGTCGTCCCAGCAAAATTTTGAGCACTATTTTACGGGGCATTTGCTTGTTCCTCCCTTCTATTTATCCCTCGATTGGTTTAGAAGATAGTTTAGCTGCAAGCAAATTTTTGCATGACACTAGCTTGTAATGTTATTCTCTGTTCTTAATCAGGCGAAATAGAACTTTCGTGCCAGTTTTTGACTGAAAGCAAAATCTATATAAAACAGCACCAAATGCATGCTATATAAGGGTTCTTGATTGTGATATACAAGTCTAGATTGTTTAAAAATATGACATGGAAATCCACGGTTTCTTTCAAAATGCAGTAGTTTTACGTTTTCCCCAAACATATATATATATATATATATATATATATATATATATATCTCGACATATAGCAGAAATCATATTGGACTGTTTGGAAACCACACGAAGAATCATTACCAGGGATTTGACATTAAAAAAAAAGGGCACACAATCTGGTACAGAAACTTCAAATGTTAACTTGCTAAAAGATAAAGTTTCTTTTCTTTTAGTAAAACAAAAAAAGAAAAAAAGAAAAAAAATGAAAACACCGGTGTACTAATGACTCCATTATAAACATGCTAACTCAACCACGATATCCACGAAAAATGTACACAACTGATTTCCTGCATAGTTCACTCTATACATTGTGCGACTTGGCACATTTCAGTTTGCAGAGAGGTACAACAACTTTCCTCCAGATTCATCGTGACTCGTGCGCATTCAGCACTGCTTGGTAAACCATGTCGATGAATTGATTATCCTAACCACACAAATTTATGCACATGAGATCACAATGGCATTGAAGTATCTTAAATAAAGACTGGAATAATATAGTACAGTGGAAGAAGTATATCACATAATCTTACTAAATAAACAAATAATTAACTCTAACTATATAGTAGCTATAGTGGAAGACTGAGATATGCATAATGCAGGTGAATCTCTAAATCAATTTCAGAAAAGAGAAGTCTTGCATGCACATTATACCCAGCAAATATTAATGCGATGACTTGATTAAGAAGGCACCTGAAGCGACCGCATAAAAGTTCGCAGTCACTTTTAAATTGATTTATCACATATCCGTTAGCTACAATATGTATCTTTATAGTCTGTTGCCCACTCAAAAAGCTTACGCGTGGTTTGAGCATGAAATGCCAATCTCAGAGACTTTAACCAACCAACTAACAGTAATCACAGCAAACCAGAGAATGATACACCTACTTAACTATCGTGAAAACTCAGAAATCACATTCACAAAATTTTGCAGTTAAACAACTGGAGACGGACAATCCAAGTTCATACCTTAACAAGCATTTGAAGTGCTTGTGCAACTTTTTCTCTGCTCAAAACAGGCCCGTACGTTTGTGGAGGAACCATAGCTGGAGTGAGTGATGGTGGCGGTGTTGGTGGTGGAAAAGGCTGAAGCAAAGGTGTACCATAAGGTCGTTGGATATTTCCAGGAGGATTTAGAGGAGGGGCAGTAGGGACAGATAAAGTTATAGGAGGCATAATCAACGGAGAAGTCGAAGGAGGTGGGCCAAAGAACGTTGACGGCTTCACCAGATCAGTTGAACGTGTAGTACTAACAGTATTCGATTCAGGGTTTTCAAGAATAGACATTATAGAGGTAGAATTAGATACAGTATTTGGTGTTTGAGCTGTTAGTGAAGTGGGCAGAGTAGCAATCTGTGGATAAGCAGAAATAACATTTGCTGTGGAGTGGTATGGCTGCCCAGTAGTTGCAACGTCATGAAAATTTCCAGCATTCATAGCAGTCTGCATGGATTCAATTTTCAGTAGTCAAGTTCACCGTAAAAGAAATTACAAGTTGTATAGTCAATTACATTTCATAAGAAATAAACAAATTGAATGTCAAATAGATATTCTAATATAGATTGGAAGTAAAAAATTACAAGAAGCCTATTTTTCAATGGGAATCCATTCCTTAACAGTTTCACATTACACAACTTGAAGATTTACATAATACTTGGCATAAAACAGAGCACACCAACTTCTACTATGGTTGCACCTTTGTATTTCAGTAGAGACCCAAGAAAAACAATATTCTACCCCTCCTTATTACGATGCAATTAACAAACTTAGTATTTGCAGGCAAACTTAACAATTAAATAATAACATCTATCAGCCTATGCATCCTTATCTCAACTGTTTCGGGAAAGCACAAAACTACGATCAACTTTAACAGGTAACATTTATCATGAAGTCTATAGCATCGGTCCAAACAATCTAATGACTCGAGTCCAGAGATGAGCCAAAAAGAAACAGAATGGATACAGAAATAAGTTTAACGGCCTAAACTTCTTCCTTGACAAGTCAACTAGCACTGGAATAATGGCATATCAGCTGTCTACTAGAGAAACAAGACAAACTAAGATAGAGAAAGGGAAGAAGAAAACATACACTGAAGAAATTCACAAAAGATCGATCATCGCGTACATCCGCAACACTGGATGTCGCAGAAGGTGGTGTCTCTAGGGAACTATCCATCTCTGTCATTGTTGGAACTGCTTCCAGTTCTTCAAAGTCACTATAAAAAGCGATAGAAAAGGACTCATATTCTCTCTTTAACAAAGGGCTAGAAACAACAGAGAATAAAAAGATGCATGCATAGAACTGATAGCATATCAAATATATGTATCTAGACTAATATTATTAAGCAATAGTTAAATCTTTTGTGCGATAGCCATATGTTTTCCCACAGCAGACATGGGATTGTGGTGATAAAGAGAGTTCATTGATTAAGTTCATTGATTAAGTCGTTATAGGGTTAAGTTCTTGGAGTACAGGAAGTAAAGGGCAAGTGGCTAGCATTCTAATTCTTTGACTCCCAGTACCACCAAAATCAGAAATTAACTATGTGGCTGAACTTCTCAATTAATCTAAAACGAATATAACAACAAATAGCTAGAAGCCCCGATGTGATGTATACATGACAAGTAAAGATCCTGATCTTGTTACAGTTCCAAAACCACCAAGATTATAGATCTAACCTCTTCTAGAAATAACTCCATGTAGTATACGATGTCTACTGACATGTAAAATTATGTACTAGATCAATGGTACAACAGGTCCACTGATAAAAGAACAAATATTCTGCATGTTAATTCCAAATTGTTCGAGATTAGTTACCAAACATGAATTATTCCTCTACTTGATTGATTCAGCACCAATGCGACTGACAAGATTTACCTTTTCGTAGGAGATACTTTTGACTTCGTAGGCACCTTGGAATATGCATTAAGTATCCTAGTAACAAATACAGCCACATCATTAAAGTAATAAATAACTGTTGAAATAGAATATCGTAACTAAAATGCACATACCAATATTAAATGACTCATGTGAGAAGAAAGTATAACATGAGTACTTTTCTATCTAAAATGAACCTCAGTAAACTCAAAAGTTTGTTCATTCTATTCTCCTTCAAACTTTGCTATCTTAGCATTTCAAAGTATGGCAATCTAACCGCAAACAGTTGGAGTCCTAGAGACAAAAGGGTTTAAGTATCCACCAAATTTCCTATACCTAACTCAATTTCAACCAGTGTATTGAAAAACTTCGCGTGTCAAAATAGAACGTAAGAAGAAGATCCAACACTTAAATGGCATTTTCATTTAAAAATATGGACCAAGTTTGACATTCTGAGCCTCGACTCTTTTTCAACTTTTTACTGCATTACTTTTGTTATTCCCAGGCATTAAATTTTCTTATCTGTACTACTTGCAATGGTACTAAACTTGTGAGATCAAAGAAAATCTAGAACATTGACATTGCATTTTCCAGCAGCGTCATTTGGATCACTACCTCAATGGTGACTGTTGATGGCACATGACCTTACTTAGCCATCGTATAAATAACAGTAATTGAAAAATTAAAGTAGATAAAATCTGCCACAGAAATTAGTCAAATATCCAGCGTTACAACAATCAATCATCGTCACCCAAGTCAACCTCATTCATTTATTTTATGTTTCAATAGCATAATAGCCTCATGCGAGAACAAATAAAGACATGCATGGAAAGAAGACGATTATCACAAACTTTGATTATACCAATTAACACACCAACCTGCTAAATAAATTTCCAACCTCTTCGCACTCATGGGCATTGTAGAACCATATCCCATTTACCTCTTGCGACGCATTTCGGTACAACAAATATGGGACCTGCAGTTCATACTCGAAATCTCCCAATAGATTCTCCACCAGATTATCTGTTTACAGTACCAATCAGACCTTCGACTACAGGAGGACAGTAAATATTAATGCAAATCATCGCTTAATCTGAATGATATGTAGTCTATTAGAAAAAAAATATGATTTCATGTCGGCGACGAGGCTATTCAACCCTTAGGAAGATAAATCTACCATGATGGCAAGATTCTTTGTTTGGAAAAGCCGTACCACTATGGAAACCATTGATTAAAACTTTTCTATTTTTCAATTATTCAATCAACAGAGTACTTATTTTTCTCCCCAAAAGGGTTTCACCGGAAACAACATCACTGCAATCTATCAACTTCTGCAGGATTTAATGAAATAAGTTTACCACCACAGAAAATCCGTTCAGTAAGGTGATTGAAACAGAACATTTGAATATGGGTTACCTTTCAACAAGAGCCTAGAGGAAACCAATACTATAGACCAAACGAGTGCATAAGATCTTAAGACCAATCCTCAAAAATGTACTGACCCTTTAATTCACTCTTGTATAGCAAGTAGCTTGCCAAACTTTGCTTGTTTATAAACCACAAACGCAACCAGTTCGTGTATATACATATATTTGTTGGATGTTGGCATCATAATAAAAATAAGACTAATATTTCTTCCATCCCATGCCAAACAGAAGAAAAACGTCTCTCGATCATTATGAATGTAATTAAAATTATATATATGCATCCTTCTTCAATTGTCAGTGTTCTAAGAATTGTTTCACCTAAGAACCATCATTTGCCGAATCATCAATTCTTTCTCCAAATCGTAAACAATATCGATACCCTAATTCTAATATAATTCAAAGAGACGCAAAGAAATGGAGCGACTAACCAGTATTGCGACGATTCATTACTATAAACTGGAAACGCGGTTGAGTATTCCTGAAACAGCAATAAAACAACGCTATATAACAAAAGTAAAAACTGCATTACTCACTGTAAATAAACCACATCCCAAACTTCAAAGCAATCTAAAGAACTAAAATCGTGCCAACATTCCAGAAAATTCAAAATCAACAGAAAATGAAAAAGCAAAACCTCACAAAAGCCCAAAATGCCCTCACCTTTTCACAACAAATAGAGAACCTTCCACATCCTTCCGGCTCTGCCAACAACAAACCATCACTGGTAAATAAATACCTCAAAAAAATAAAATTAAATACAATCTACACTTTCAGCTTTCATAAATACACACACGCACACAATTATATATATGTGTGTGTATGTATGTATCGGCGATGACATACCCATTGGCTGTTGTCGATGTTGAATTCGTAGAAGGTGACGTGAGCAGCGGTGATGAGAATTTCTTCAACAAAGGGATCAGTTCTCTGCAGCACCGTCAAATTCAGTAGCTTGGTGCTCTTCTCGTCCAAGTTCGGCATCAATTTCCCGTTGTGAGACATCCTCACTCACTTTCTCTCTCTAGAACTACTGAAAAGCAGCAGCAGCTATACGGTGAAACAGTTGTGAATGGGATTTTGAGTAGAAGAGAGAAAACCAAAAAGCAGGAAGACTGATTTTCAATAGCATATATTATTTTTTATTTTTTAATTTTATATACATTTCATTATTTATATGTGTTCACAAAGTGTATGAAGAAATGCCCGAGTCGGTCCTTTGTTTGAGGCCTTTGGTCTACCAAACATTTTTCGGGCCCCTTTTTTTTTTTTTTTGGCAAATTACAGTTACCCATGAGATTAACTTAAATTACGAAACAATCCTTTATATTTTGATAATTACAACCATCACTTTTAACTTTGAAAACACATTCATTCATTCGGTATGTAAATTTGAAATGTAATAGTTGAAATAACATAAGCTAATTCGAGAAAAGCGGAAGGAAGAGACAAATAATTGAGGCAAATCTAGCTCTCCGACGAGCTAGCTAGGACAATAGTAGATGATGCTGTCAATGCGGTTTCAGAACGAATCGGTGCCTTCAAATAATTCAAAGAAATTATTTATCAAAATCCTATTTTGATTGGATTGGATTATGTCGACTGAATCCAATCAAGCAAAATCAAAATCCAATTTTGATACAATGAAAGGGGTGGATGTAATGCGAACAATAATGGTTGTTTTATTATTTGAGTTTACCTAGAGAGTTGACCGTAATTTGTTCTTTTTTTTTCTCTCTTTTTAAGTAACTGTTAGAACTTGTTCGGTTCTCTATATCAAATTAGTTCGAATTGATGGGATTAATTTCTAGACTAATTAATTATTTAGTTTAGTAACATATTCAGTCCCACTAAATTAATTCTCCTATTAAATTTGTTAAATTTTGTTATTATATTGAATTTGAGTATAAAATCTCTTACTTGATAAAAATTCAATTATGATTATTAGTGAAACGGTCTTAATTTAATTCCAAAAGATACACTAAAGATTTCTTCAATATAACAACACCAAATAGTACAAATTACATCATTTCTTCAACCAAATGAAAAGCATTTTAAACTCTCACACTCCAAATCACGCAACTGTAAACACGCGCACAACATATGTACAGTAATACACTTTGATCAGATAACTGCAAATAGAGAACTCCCATATATATATATATATATATATATATATATATATATATATATATATATATATATATATATATATATATATATATATATATATATATATATATATATATATATATATATATACATCGTCTGAATCTCAGTGCCTGCGAAGAGCCACAGCAGAAAGCACAACCAAGAATATAAAGATGGCCGCGGCAATGAAGGAAGCCACCACGGCGCCGCTAGTACGCTGGCAGAAGTCGTTGAACTGCTGGCAAATGGCGAACCAGTTGGTGTTCGAATTCCCGTTGTGTGCCAGGTACACAATGGCCGCCGCCGAAGCTGCCGCAGCAGTAGTGAACGCCACCAGCACCTGCACGACAAGTGTTTGTTAAAAGGCCGCAATGAAGTTTGCACTACTATTATATATGTATATAGTGGTGTTATCTTACTGTGTCAAGGATGAGGAGGAGAAGCTTCACTCCAGTTACATGTGGACGGACAATGGCAACAATGGAGAAAGGCAAGGATAGTACCAAGTAGCCGCTCGCAATAGCGTTCGCTATCACGAAGAACCTGCGATTCATTACAAATATTAACGGATTCGAATACATGCATGCATGAGAAAGTGTATTGTATACGTGTCCATATATATAGTTATGGAGGATTATAAGATAGATACGTGAAGGTGGGGAGGTCGTCGTAGCTGGCTTGAAACTGGAAGAACTGAGTGAAGAAAGGAAGCGTTTGGTCGGTGGTTCCCATGGTGGCGGTGGCGGCCAAAGCAGCGGCAAGTGCGCATATCCTCAGAATAAAGTCGAAGATGGCCACTCCTCTTTTCATGCCGCCCCGCTTGTGTGGAGTTGCCACCGCCTTCACGGCGGCAACAGCAATTTTGTGTTTAGTGGAGCTCGACTCGCGGGGAATGTTGATAGCGGTTTCTTCGGTGCTCTTTGTGGAATCCATCGGTTCTCGACTCCGAGGTTGCTGAATTATATATTCTTGTCGAATGTGATAATGATTGTGTGTGTGTGTCTGTGTGTTTTTGTGATGAGAAACAAGTGTGGTGGGGTTAAGGAATTTATAGATGGGAGAATTGGAGGAGCAGTTTGATTAAGTATTGATTAGTGTTTTTTGATTATGGAGGAGTAGGTTTTGTTTGTACCTAATAAGTTGGAGGAGTTGTTGCTAATTAGTGCTAACTAGCTCCACCTTAACCTAGGATTCCAAACCTTTTATTTTAGTATCAAAGTACCAAGTTGTTGCATTACTCTTTTTTACATAATTGAAGCACTACATAGTACAGATTGTATTTCTCCTTAATAATATATATGCAAGTATTTCATTTCTTTTATAATTGGGTAAATTACACTTACACTTCTAAAGTATATTAAAATAATTTTAAGGTCCATGTGGTATTGGTAATTACAGCCACACCCCTGAAACAGTTACCGGAGTAAAGATTTCATATCATGGGAACCGATATGCACTATATTTATTTCGTTAATGCTGCCATACACGAAAATTTATAAATCTCCTGAAGCTAATAGTTCGTTAAAATCCTAACGGATTAACTTATCCAATCATTATTCTGTTAGGGTTTCTAACAATGTTTCAGGGGATGATTGTAATTATCGATAGTATAGGAACCTTAAAGTTATTTTTGCTACCTCAGGGGTATAGGTATCATTTGGACGATAGCAGCTCTTCGCAAATTGTATATACATTCATTAGCATTCATCTGGGCTTGACAAATTTATACAAGAAATAAAAAAACGAGATTTTATTCACGCATGTCGCAATATATAGATACAATAAATATGTCAAAAGGGAGATATATAAACATTCGATGCATCTCAATGAAATAGGGGAAACTGAGAATGCTATGGTTATAGAAACTTAAAATTTAAATCTCAAATAATCGAAAAGGCCAACTCAAGGTATCGCTCATCTTTCGAATTTATTGTACAAGTACCAAAAAACCCATAAAAGGTTAAAGAATTGCAACCGCTGCTCGAGCTCAACACAACACATATATGATATATATTATATACCTGTGGTTCTTTTTCTTTTTTTTTTATGGAGGCTATAACTTAGAAAAAAAGAACATATGCCGCTACTACAAAAACAAATTAGGTGACGAGATTTATCCAAAGCCAAAATGACAAAAGTGAATGGTGTCCTCCTATGGCCGTAATCTCCATCCACGCTCAGCAATTGCTTTATGCACCTGATTTGCTGCCTCTGCAGTATCACTTAAAGGAGGGTAACTCCAGCTTTCCGACATCTGAAATAAACGGCAAAATAAAATAAGCCAACTGGAAAAAATTATATCTTGTCTTTCTATTTGCATCTTTGACACAATTTCCATAAAGAACGCATAAAAGCATATTTTACTTGCTAATCCATTTCATAGCAACAAGACGAATTGCTAATAATTGGGTATAACTGACATTCAGCAAAGAATAAATATGTCAATTTCCGACTTCATCAAGCTCAAAACATAACAATATAAAAGGTGCATATTTCACAGAAGCACCAAATCTATCAACTTCTGCTATATATCACTTACATCTTCAAGACCTGTAAAAGGTCGAACCAGACCTCTTTCCCTTAGCTTCTTATGGAACTCCACAAACTTCCATGTACAGTGTTCGGCTCCAATAACATAAACAGGTTTCCTGCAATCACCGGAAGTCGAGTAAGATATTTGACATGTGCACATCCGAAAAACGTCGACAAATGCTATTGGACATACCCTGTGCTGCAAGCCTCGCTCAACATACTAACTGAATCAGCAGTGACTATGAAAGCATCGGCCCAAGCTAGATGTCCCATATGTGGATTAGGTTCTGACAAAAATACACTCGTCAGTAAATTATTAAAATATAGTTAAAAAGAATCATCTGTCATGTTCAGTTAAAAGTTAAAACGAAGTACCTTCACCATCCCATATGTATATTTTGGGATGAGTTCCGAGTTCTTTGATTATCATATTAGATATCTGCCAACAAAAAATTACCAGCAAACAGTAAACAGAATAGTCGAGAAAAGAAGGGCAAACACTTGATACTATATCCATCGGTTGAGCTTAAATCAGATAAAAAAAATTGAAGGTGGAGTTTTTCTTACCTTTTCTGGTGTCCTTCTTGAAAAAGATATTCTCACACTTCCGCAGCTTGTGAGAACATTGTGCAAAGACGCGCTCAGTTGCTTTGCTAGGTCTGTGCTATATCTGCAGTACCCTGTCAATAGAGAGAACTCTATGAATATTAACAGCAATCTAAATGTTGCCTGATCGGCTAAAATAGAACCTAATAATAATTTAAAAAAAAAAAAAAACTAGAAATAATTTGAGAGAAAGAAGGAAGCAAGTCATCGATTGCAAAACAGTTCTTGATAATTTCAAGGGCAATCATTTCATAACTTCATCAACAGCAAGTGAAGGAATTCATGGCATATATTGATCCACTTTGACCAATATCCAAGACGGATGGTGAGTCCCATCCAATCACACAAGGTGATGCATTTTATGCCTTGCACACAATTTTATGCAAAAAGGGAGAGAAAATACGGACAATGGTTCTATTGTAGCATTGAATTTTCACATGATACCCTGAATACACGAATAGAATAAAAGACAGATGGTAATGAGCCCAATACGCATTTCAATTTACTGTATCAATTATGGCATTGGCTAATAAATAAATGAAAACTACATCATGTATGAATGGTCAAATGAACTCAACACATATTTTTATAAATTCAATTATTCTTAACCAATTTAACGGATTCACAGAAATATTATTCTTAACCAATTTTTATGTAAACTTTTTTACAAAAAAAAAAATAAATAGACCAGGATAAATGAAGAAAGATTACTTGTAGGCCCTCCAATGTTGACAACAAGCAAAGGCTTCGGCAAAGGTGCGAATTCATCGTGCCAGGCATTGGCCGCACTACGAAGTGCAGCAGAATCTACTTGATGAAGTGCTCCTACTGTGAGGACCTAGAATGACATCAAGCATCACAAGGAGTCAGTGACAACACTCCGCAAGAAAAAATAGACTAAATATTTGCGTTTATAGTACAAGTGTAGAACTACATACAACATGCTCATTAGGAGGTTCCTGTGGTGTTATCCATTTCCGAAGAAAGCGAGGGACCTGCTCCTGCGCATGAGGGGTCAACGGGTAGTAATCATGTTGTGGGGTTATCACCATATCGAACCTATCCAAATGGGATCTTGGATGCTGAATCTGAAAGGAAAAACATGATAGCAGTGTCATAAATCCTTTTTCATATAAAATGTAAAAAAAAAAAGTACAGAAGGCATGACAAAGCCATTTTTTAATAACACGTTGATGCAAATATTTTTCCCCTCCCACAAATGGAAAATGTGCCAACGAACATGAAACATACGGTCTGTACAAAAATGCTAATCATCTATACATCAGTCCATGCATAAATGCACATGCACACGTACATACATATAAAATACATATATATGTATTATTAGCATAAGTAGATTTTGGGCTATATACTTTCAGTCCGAGGGAAACATAAAAACCTACAGCTGCAATCTGCGTCATCAAGGGAAATAAATGGAGTATAACAGATTAACTGTTGACAATTAGCATTACATTAAAAATGAAGCATTTATTGAAGTCCATAAATGTAATATTTTCATGTCAGAGACTTCCTGGAAAAATTAATCATAATTTACATTTCATACCATACTCAAATAAGAAATATCGATGAAAAGCATGAATTATAGTAAAATGGCACTTTTAAGATAAGAAAGCAGGAAATTATAGTCCTGATAATTAATGTCAATGTCAACACAACACAACACAACTCGACTCCTACGTCAAACATGCAATTTAAAGTTCATAGATTGGATATAAACCTCAAATCAATTAGATAGAAGAGGATATGTCTATAAAGTATTTGATCACTGCATTATTTCTCCTAAAAGACTCTTAAGTCAATAAACAGCAGTTAAAAGACTGGGTTTGCAAATACAAGGGCAGTGTACAAACCTGGACAACGAAAACATTTTCAGATGCTAATCGTTTAATAGAGCTTGCAATTGAAATGGTATCTCTGCCGGATGCAACCACGAGTAATGGACCATCCCTGAGAAGAGGTTAAATGTTATTTCTCATGTTTCAAAATAAATAAGAGAGAGATCCTTTGTAATGTATGAACATAAAAGAAATGCATTAATAGTTCCTCCCAAGTATCACAAACAGAGAAATGTGAATAAATCTCATTTTACAGAGGCAGGTATATTCCAAATGTAATGGTTTGATGAATTTTACAAACCAAATAGTTAATGAAATCTTTAAAACCAAAATAAATGGATATTTCCATCAACAATATTTTCATAAATGTATAAATATCAAAATCATTATTCGTCGTCTGAAGTCACGTGAAAAAGTATGTGACCATTCATCTAATGTCTGCAAAAAAAAATGCAGAAAACAAACTGTCACTTCCATCTAGATCGACCACCTGGTTACAAAAATTTGCTTTCTGGTGGCTTTTACCTTTTATTTGCTCCACACAACCTCCACTCACCTTCCCCCACAACCTCCACCAACAAGGCAATTGCAGTTAATTGATTATAACTAAAGGCAATTTCAAGTCGAAACCCCCGAGAAAATTACACATTTAAAATTAAATTTTCCTAACATGTTCGGGTGAGAATGCATAGTTCATTACTTGAGCAACTCGTGTATACGTTCTTAAAATCCATAACGTTGTAGCCCTGAAATTAATTTAATTTCGATGGCCCTTTTGCCTCGTGAGAAAAACGCAAGTCTACAAATAAAATTGATTTGGTATAGATTTAATATCTTTTTTTCTGCACAAGTGAAAGAGGGAGACTGAAAAACTTACTTCTCAAAAGTTTCTTTAGCCATTCTGACAATGTTCTTTACATCAGCTTCCAACACTGATGACAAACCTATGCCGCCGCCATTCTCCCTTGGCTGAGGTAATAGCTTATTCGCTCTTGTAGCAATCAAAAATCTTGAATACCGATATATCCGGCTAATTATATAGTACAACCTCTTATGGACAGAAACTGGTAGCCAGTGCAGCCACTCATTGACTCCTCCTGTTGGTCTCGTAACCCGCTGAAGAGCACAAAGCATCAGACAGATGCAACACAACCAAATTATTATACGGTTCTGTAAAGTAAATTAAGCATGGGTTTTTCTTATATCAGATAGCAGATGACATAGGTCCATACATACTTTTAAACACGGTTGAATGCAGCGGTAAAGAAGACAGATTTACACCACAAAAACGATGATGCCGAACTTTTTAACAAATATTTTCACAAAAATCCGTAACTATAGTACAAAAGGAAGCATATCACTTCATCCTACCGGTAATCCCAAATGTAACAAACTGTTCGATAAATTTCTATTCTCAATCATTCATTACGAATGAAGCAGAAATATCTAGCATCCATGGCATTGTAACATCATCGAAGTCAACCAAAAATATCCACTGACAAAACCAATCAGATGCACGCATACTTTGGGGAACAATCTAGAACCTAAAAACATGGATTATAACTCTCAATTAAACATCTCCCAGCATTGAAATAATTCCTAATTCCTAACTAAACTCAGATGCAAAAACATCAAAACACTTCAAAAACGAGAACTCGAGAAGTAAAAACTCACATAGAAAGTTTGCTTTTCAGACAAGCCGAGGGCGCGAACCAACCCGATGCTCTGGTTCTCCGACGCCGGAAAACCGTTGCCGATTATGACGGCGCGGCGGATGATACCGTAAACCCCGCCTTCGAAAATATCGGGCACTCCGCCGGTGGATTTAGGGCTGCCTGGTGGCTCCGGAAGCCTAATCGGCTTCATTTACAGCATATGATAGAAACAACAAAATTATTATATATTTTCGGTGGAAATTGAAACAAAACCCTAGATGAGATTTAAGATCGACTCCGATTCAGCAGTGGAAGGAGTTTATGGTTCAATTTTCGTGTTCCGTACTTCAACTGACCTCTCTTCTCCACCTCTTTACACTCTTTTTTTTTTTTTTTTTTTTTTTTTGAATTTATATATATATTTTTTATTTATTTATCTATACCTTTTATTTGATCAAATACATTCTTCTTCCTTTGGAATAATATTTTTAGATTTCGAATACCGAAAATTTAGATTTTATTTTTTTATTTTACAAACTTATTATGTGATATATATTTCATGTTATAAGACTATCCATAAAACATTGGTTAACTATTACTTATAAAACAAGTCTCCTTCGACTCCACACCCATAATAAATATCGGGTGGTTTCTTCTGCTACCACGTGTTTTTACATTTTTTTTAAACCCCTAAAGATTAACCTTAATGGGGAATATATTATAAAATACAACAAAGGACACGTGGCAGCAGAAGACTCATTCGGTGTTTATCACTAGGTGTAGCTGATAAATTATTATATTTGATAAGTTGTTTTATGAGCTGATAAGTTATTATGTCTTATTTTTTAAATTAATTTTTAAAGTGTTTGGATAATGATCTTATAAACTATTTATACTCATTATGAAATATTAAATAAAATAAAAAAGGTTGAAGTACAGATAAACCTCTATAAATTAATACAATCGGGATCAGGAAAATTCTATTAATTTAGCGAATTATTAAATTATCGAGTTAATAATTTAACGCGTTTTCGGGATCGGGAAAAACTATTATTTAATCGAGATCATTAATTTATCGAGATTCTACTGTACTTCTTAAATGAAATCTTATTTTTTGGAAAAAAATTCCAAACACTCTAATAACTTATAAGCTTAACTAAACATTCTCTCTAAGTCTATAATGAATGATATTGTAGTAATACTCACAAGGAGAAAAAACACTACAAAAAATGTAAGAAAAAAAAGAGGAAGAAAAAGGATAAATGTTACTCACCCAAAAGTAATGATGTAAATTTTTGGAATTTGTATTAATCTCATTCTAAGGTAATTAAAAGATTTTAAGGCAAAATGGAAAATATTATAAAATCCTGTAAAAATTTCTACTAGGCTTATTTACATTTGGGCCAAATTCTATTGAGCTTGTCTTGATCCTATTTTGTTGGACTTAACATCTCCAATTCAAGGGAAACTATCAAAGCGTTGGGCCAAAGCTGGCGGGCCACAATATCCCTCACCTAATTCGGCAATCTCATCGTTGCTTCGAACAAGTGGAGACGATCTTGAAATCACCTCAAGTCTCCCTTAGTCTCCCATGCTACTTCTCTCAGATTATTTGAGGACATTCAATGCAACTAGTGACTATACGAACAACCATCTCCATAACTCCATTGATATCTGCAGATTTTCACATTCTACCATTTTACTTTCTTCGACAAGCTTAGAGAGTATTTATTTATTTTAATTTTTTCCTACTCTCGAACTCGAACTTTTGAGAGGGCCTAGAGGGTTTTAGATATCCTTTTTTAGGCAAAATGTAAAATATATCTTTCGTCCCTTAAGTTTACATTGATTCCGCATTTGGTCCTCCTCGTTCACAAAAAAATAGATTTAATTCCTCATAGTTTAAAAATTCAACATTTTTTATCATTTCTGTCAATTTGATATTAATGACTAACAAAATTAAGTACATGGGGAGAATTATATTTTTCGTCCTTCAAGTTTGCCTTAATTCCAATTTTGACCCCCATTCCTCGAGGTGGACAAAATACACATTAAATTTACCACATTCAGACACACTTGGGATCCATTATTCCACTCCGTCAAGTAAACGTTTCATTTAACGAAAAATTCAATTATGGGACTAAAATTGAACTTCAAAATTTGTTTGGGACTAAAACTGAAAAAAGGCAAAAAAAAAAAAAAGGGTTCTTATATTTTTTATAATTACACCTAGACTCCCCCCCTCTTCTTCAATATCTTCAATCTTGAGGTCGAGTGTGAAGTATTTGAAAGTTTCAACCTTTCAGTTTTCGATCAGCACTAGAATCTAACATGAAGAAAATGTGTGACAACAGAAATACAAAAATAATTTGGTCCCATTAAATATTATATTAAAGTATAAAATAAAATAAATGATTTCTCCCAAAGAAAAAAAAAAAAGGTTGTTCACAAGAGAAAAATGAAAAGCACACAAATATATATATTTATGTGATAACGCGGAATAAAAAATCTGTCACTGTTTGATGAATCCATAGCCACAAAAATCAAACACACACCCCCCGGCGAGTTGTTTACTTCGTCCAAGCCGCGTTAAAAAGTAACAAACAACACAACGCCTTTATGAGTTTAATGTTTGATTCTGTTTCTTCTCGGGACAACAAACTTTTTTCACAAATTGATTTGTCTTGATCAACATCATCATAAACTAAGTAGAACTTCAATTAATTACTAATGTTGTTTAAATAATAATTTCTTCCGATCCAAATTCGATGGGAACTTGTTGAATAAGATTATGTGGATCATTTAATAATTTCGTTAATTTAGTAGAATTTCCGTAGTTCCATCTGTATTAATTCCCGTAGTTAATTATGGATTTTACACGTCCACCCTTATGATGTCAAATTCAACAGATTTTTTTAGATTCTGTGGAATGATCTAGTTTGTACTTGTTTTATGTAAAAAATGAAGTTTCTGATGCACCACAATCTGATATTAACAAGCCAAGCGATACATCTTGTTTCAAAATGTAGAGCTCGAATTGGGTAAAACTAGGGGTGAAAGTCGGATGGATCGGATCGGAATTAGGCTTTTCGGAAAATTTCCAAAAAATTTCGGAAGTACAAAATCAATTCCAATTCCAATTCCAAAATTTTTGGAATCTAAAAATTTATTCCAATTCCAAAAGGTCCGGAATTTTCGGAATTTCGAAAAAAAATCGGAAATCACATGAGCTTAAAAATTTCAAAACTTAGCGGATTTTTTTTAAAATGTTCGTAATTTTCCAAAAATAAGAACATCCACGTCGATAAAAGTAAAACTAATAACTACTAAATTTCAGTTCGAAAAATAAATAAACATAAACACAACATAATATCTAATAAAACTTCTAACAACAATTCATTATGTCAAAATCCTAAAACAAAACTTAAAGGTGTATTTTTCGGAAAAATAAGTATTATATAATATTTATTATTTATAGGTGTATTTTTCGGAAAAACATCGGAATTAATTTCGGAATCAAATCGGATCGGAAATCGGAAATTCCAAATTTATTTTATATAATTCCAATTCCAATCCAAAAAAATCGGAAAAATTCGGAAATCGGAATTTCGGAAGTCGGAATGAAAAAAGTTGTTCCAAAATCGAAACTTTTCGGATCGGAACCGGCGAAAATTAGAATTTCCGTTCCGACTTGCACCCCTAGGTAAAACGAGTACAAGCTGAAGAATATTCCACATAATCTAGAAAATTCCACTAAATATAACACCGAAGGGTGAATTATAATTGAGGGTGATTGTAATTATTCAAACATGAAGATTTTGTTTTTTTATAATTTGACATTATCTTAGATAAGTGATCCTAATTTATCCTAAGAGGGTGCTTGGCTAAGCTTATTTTAAACAGCTGATAAGCTCCTACGTCTGATAAGATGTTTTAAGAGCTGATAAGCTGTTACGTCTTATTTTTGGGATTAATTTTTAGAGTGTTTGGATAATTAGCTTATTTTCTATTTTTACTCATAATAAGATCTTAAATAAAAAGGTAATTTTTAGAGTGTTTGGATAATTAGCTTATTTTCTATTTTTACTCATAATAAGATCTTAAATAAAAAGGTGGGGTAGATGTACTTTTTTAAAAAGATCTTATTTGCTCTCCAACAGCTTATTTTTAAAAAAATTAAGATCTTTTTTAAAAAAATTACCAAACACTTTGGAAGAGCTTATAAGCTCTAAAACATCTTATAAGCTCCTTTTAACATCTTATAAGCTTAGCCAAACACCCTCTAAGTTTTATCATAAATTTACACATAACCATAACGAAACATTACTATTATCAAATTTATTGAGTGCTGCATCTAATTTGAAGATTTCCAAGTAATCCAAACGTCATGCAAAACATCATCAACTAAAATTAATAAATATTAAATATTATGGGATTGACGAGCAAGACCCTTTTTCTTTTCTGAAAAGTCTTCTTATTAATATTATTTATATATAATAAATAATAATAATTCGTTATCCACCTAGGTTAACCGTATCTGCTACTGTTACTATACCCACACAACTACATCTATCCATAAACAAATAAGTAAAGCAAAAATACAAGTGGTTGACCAGTTCAAGTAAATAATACATAAGTCAATTTTTACAGGGTGAATATAAAATCAAAAAAAAAATGATAATAATAATTATAAAAAAAAAAAGACAAAAAAGAATCTCCATATTTCTTTGAAAGTTTCCTGGAAATTAATCTCTTACCACTTTTTTCTCCTTTCACTCGGAAACTCCACCGCTATATATATATATATACATCATGCACAAATTAAACCAATTATTGCATTATTTATTTATTTAAATAAATAAATAAATAAATATGGAAGAAATGCCACCAGGGTTTCGTTTTTACCCGACTGAAGAAGAACTGGTTTCCTTCTACCTCCACAACAAACTCGAAAACAACAACAACAACAACAACAACAGTATAAACCGCGTTATCCCTCTCCTCGACATTTACAACTTAGAGCCATGGCAACTTCCGAGTAAAAATCGTGATTTCAAAGCAGTTCGTTAATTATAGAGAGTCGCGTTTTACTGATTATGTTTTTTTTTACTGATAATATTTTTAATTATGAACTGGACAGAGCATTGTGGGGAGCTTTGCCATGGGGACCCGGAGCAATGGTTCTTCTTCGCGCCTAGGCATGAAAGAGAAGTACGAGGAGGGAAGCCGAGAAGAACCACCGGAACCGGATACTGGAAGGCCACCGGCTCTCCTAGCTACGTTCACTCCTCCGCCGGAAAAGTCATCGGAGTTAAGAAAAGCATGGTCTTTTACAAGGGTAAAGCTCCGACCGGTACCAAAACTAAGTGGAAGATGAACGAGTACAGAGCCATTAAACAAGATGGGCCCACTTCTACTCCCAAGGTAATACATACGTACGTGTATATATATTAGGGTAAATTACGGTCGTCACATGAGGTAAGGTTAAATTACGAAAAAACCCTTATGTTTGGATATTTATAACTGCCTCTTCAATTATAAATCTTCTTACCCGTCTACTTTTGCAATGTAAAATTTGGTAGAACTTTCTATATTATGTGGAATATTCTCTAATTTGTACTCATTTTACCCCATTCGAGGTCCTCATTTTAAAACAAAATGACCATAAAATGTGTTCTTGATTTGTAAATATTAGATTGTGGTGCATTAGAAGTTGTATTTCTGCACAAAGTGAGTACAAACTAGGAAACATTCCACAAAATCTAAAAAATTCTGTTGAATTTGATACCATAAAGGTGGACGTGTAAAAAAAATCATAGTTGAGGGGGACTGATTTTAATTACCAAATATGAAGGAGTTTTTCGTAATTTGACATTATCTCATGAATAGCTTTAATTTACCCTCTATATTATCAGACAGGTACATGTTAATAAATGTTGTCAAATTAATAACGATGTGTATATTTGCAGCTCCGGCATGAGCTAAGCCTGTGCAGAGTTTACGTGGTGTCGGGGAGCCGCCGAGCGTTTGATCGGCGCCCCACTGCAGCGGCGGAGACTTCATCGAGGGTTAATTCTCAAGAAAATAACGATGATTAAGTACTTGGTGTCGATCTAATTCTCTACGTAATTTTTCTAAAGAAAGACGAAATAAACAGAATTTATTAAATAGAGCTGGGGCAAATGCAAAATCAAGAGTCGTGTGTTACTTATTTGTACAGTGGTAGTGTCTAATAAATCTAATAAACAGCGTTTATTAAATGCAGCTGGGGAAAATGCAAACTCAAGAGTCGTGTTTAATTTACGGAATTTTTTTTAATTTTTAATTTTTGATAAGTACAGCAGTGATAGTGGTTAATATAATGTCAGGATTACCAAAATATAATAGTAATGATCACTTGTAAGATATTGAAATTTTTGGCTTTAATATGTTTTTTGATGTAACAAGATTTAAATTTATTTCGAAATAAATAATGTTTACACAAATATTTTATACATTGTAATGGACCTAGTTTTAGTTTGCAAAGATACCCATTATGCAATTATTAATTTATTAATTACAGTTTATTTAAACCTCTAAGTTGAACTCATGATTAATTATCAACTAGTCTACGAGGTAAAAATGATTAAATGAAGAAAGTGGTTGATTTGACTTTTTGGTTAGTCAAGATTTGGATTATATTTTTATCTAACCCGTTAACATCATATTCCCCCTCCTTATCAAGACTTGGTCCGCCAAGTCAATTACTAATGGGTGCAACTCAAATGGACACACACCACACACACACACACACACACGTGTGTGTGTATATATAAATATATTTGAAATTAACATTTTTGAAAATTTTATTTTTCTTGAAAGTGAAAAATTAGTGTTAGTTTTGTTGCAAGAAAATTTGGAAAAATGAAAATAGGAAATTCGAAAGAAAAACTTATTACAAAATTTAAAAGAAATCGAATTGGAAAATATAATTAGAGATGATAATAGAGCTAAATGCTAATACCAAGAAGGAAATATTACTCATATTAAAACCACTATTATGAAATTATTTTACATAAGGAATGAGCTAGTTGCACTTTCCCATACAACTCATTTACTGAGCACGAATAGCAAACCTAATAAGATTTACAAGAAAAATTCAAGATAAAAAAACTCCCAATTTTTACAAAGAGTTATAAACGGTCACAAACTCGACTCATAAAAAAATTCAAAGCTCAACTCTAAAAAAGAAACAGAAAAAAACCATACGAATAAGGGTGTAAATGAGCTGAGTCGGCTCGACAAAGTTTGAACCCGATCAAAAAAATAAATACTCAAAGAACTCGAGCTCGTCAAAACAAACAGACTTTGCTCGTTTACACCCCTCAACGCATGTCTTCATTAGTTTGGTAAGAGAAGATCCATTTTGCTAAAAGGGTTGGGTATAGTAATTGGGCCGGATCCTTCTTTTTTCTTAAGCCACACTAATATTACATGGGCCGGATTACTCCATTGAATCAGTAGAACTAAACACTCCCAATGGAGATAATAATCATCAGCAGATTAACTAAAAATTCTACACAAACTTAATTACTAATAATTATTTATGAAGAAGAAAAGGCCAGAGAAATTAAGGAACCAATTAATCACCAATCAAGAGATCAGATGAAGAAGATGATTATAATCAAGTATATGAAAATTGATATTACACAAATTGAAGAATTAATTAAGCAATTAATCAATCAATAAAACCAGTTTTTCGCCAAATGGCGTTGCGCACCTGCCGGAGATCCTTCCCCTTCAACGTCCGGCCGGCACCTTCAAGCACCGAGCACGCCAACAATGGCGAATCCCTAATATCCCTCAGCGCCACTATCTCGTGCGGCGGCAATCTCACACCATCCCCTTCCTCCCCATCCTCATCGTCAGCTTCGGATATCGTGTCGCCCAAATCCCTCGCCCTCCGCATCAGATCCGCCGGCATCACCGGCACGTTCACCGGCGCCGACTGGAGCTGGAGGCGCATCCTTTCGAACGGCGGCGGCGGCGGCGGCCTCTTCGGAATCGTCATTATCCGTGACGAGGAGGCCGACGCGGCGGGGGAGGTGGAGGTGGAGGTGGAGGAGGAGACCGACGCCGATGTGGAGGCCTTGTGGTTGAACACGGGTCGGGACTCGGGTCCGGATCGGGTTTTGAGGTTCTCATTTAGGGCGGCTAGGATGCCGTAGTGGCTGCGGCCGTGGCTCTGAACGGTTCGGGTCGGGTTAGGGTTGAAGGCCGAGTGGGTCGGGGAGGGGGAGGAGCTACCGGAAGGAGTGGTGAAGATATCGTGCTCGGAGAGTTCGAGTGGGGGCGTCGAGGGGGCGGAGATTTGCTGCCCGAATACTGTACCCAGGAATCTATCGGAGGAGGGACGGTTACGCTGGTGGCGCAGACGAGAGGCGCCGCCGCCAAGTTCTTCCATCCGAGTGTGTGCGTCTGTGTGGGTGCGTGTGGGGGCTAGAGAGAGAAAGGGACGTCATATATGATGTGGACAGTATATCTATATGCACACATATACATACACAATCACGTGCGCAAAACAACTTATTCGGTGTTTAAAGGCCGCCGTTTGAACCACCGAGGAGGACGAAGGGTAAAATGGTCATCGGAGGTGATTGATTACATAAATGCAGGCGAAAATTGGGAGGGGGGACCGTTACTAGAGCGAGATGGTCGGCAAAGTTGTTGGAGGTTTTTTTTGACATTTTCTTCTTTCCCTGAAAACGATTGTCACGCATGTACGGTATGTCTTAAATTTCTTCCTATTATTATTATTAGGATAAAGGACATATTACGGCCACCTTAGTGGTATGACTAAATTATGAAAAACTCCTCTGATTTAGGTAATTAGAGTCACATCTCTTTTTTAATATTTGTACATAAAATTTATGTAATTCGGTTATTTATCAAATCAAATCGTATATTTAGTTCGAGGGGTGACAATAATTACTCAAATCGGTTGGGGTTTTTTGTAGATTGACCATAACCCAGGGGTAGCTGTAATTTGCCCTAGAATAAATTACCGTCACCTCTGAGATAAAGTTAAATTATGAAAAAAATTCTTCTGTTTGAATAATTACAAACATCTCTCAATTATGAATCTTCTTAGACGTCCACCTTTATGTTGTCAAATTCACTCTCCGAATCTTCTTAGACGTCCACCCCTTTGCAAAAATCCGTGGATTGTTCTCTAGTTTGTTTTCGTTTTGCAAAAATGTAGTTTCTGATACACCACAATCTTATATTTACAAGTCAATAGACACATCTCATGATTATCTTGTTTCAAAATATGGAGTTCGAATATGGTAAAAGGGGTACAAACTGAATAATAGTTCCACATAATCTAGAATATTCTATTAAATTTGACACCACAATGGTAGACGTGTAAGAAGATTCATAGTTGAGATAAGTAGTTGTAATTTTCCAAACTTTGAGAGTTTTTTTCGTAATTTGACCTTACCTCAGGGGAAATAATTTTCTTTGTATCAAAATGCAAATATTTCATCTTGCCAGTTTAAAATTCAATACAATTTGGCATTAGACAATAGACATTGATCAATACTAAGGTGGATTTCAACAAATCCATACATAAGTAGTAACAATGGGTGCCATTGTTCTAAAGAAAGAACAATTATTAGTTGCAGAAAAGAAAAAAAAAATCAAAATAAAAAACAATCATAAATGAAACATTTCTTTATTTTATCTAGCCCTTGATCCCAGCCTTGATTTTCTGAATAGTGGCAACATCAGTCTTGAAAGACAGTGCCAGAACACCGTCATCAATTGTCGAATTAAACAGACCATTCGGCAAAGAAACGGTTCCAGCATTCGCGCTCCCGAAAGCCGACACAGCAACAGCTGGCGACTTAGGATCGGCATTGTACTGGAAATGAATCAGCCCTTTAGGAAACACAAACAGATCACCTTGCTGTAGTGTCTGAGTATATAATTTATTCGCCGTGTCCACAAATCCCACTTGTAACGTGCCACGTGTCAAAAACAGTAGCTCGGCCGATCGAGGGTGCGTGTGGACCGGGTTCAGTGTACCAGCCGGGTATATCAGCACAGCAAGAGAAACACTCTGTCCATCCAAGGCTGGGAATTGTTCAGCTGCCGCCTTCACGGCTTTGAAAGTCGGAGGAAACGGGCCGTCGATTAGGGAACGAAACCCGGTGTACGTGAAGAAGTTTCCATCCGGTGGTGGTGAGTTTGGTGGCAGCACAAAGTCGGTGAGAATATCGGGATCTCCAGCCAGAGCCATTTCGGCTATGGCTAACGTGGTTATCACTAGGAAGAGTAACTTCTTGCAAGAATCCATTTTCTTTATGTTCTTCGATTCTCTTTTCCCCCCACAGATATATAACCCTACGATTGATTCTTGAAATTTGGTTGATGGGATTGAAGGAAGCTGGGGATTATATATATATAGACGATGAGCTGGTCTCGAGACTATTACTACAAAGTGAATTCCTTGTTATTGGAGTTGGAATTCGGCTCGTAATTGTTGTGAACAATACAGGCTCTATGTTTTTGTCTTCATCTGTTCGGTTTTTGCCAGCTCTCCTTCTAGAGAACATAGAATTTTAGGTTGGCATCTTCTTTCGATATTCGTTCACTAAACATTCCCTATGACAGTTGTTTGAATCTATTTTACGTAATAATATGTAAAATCAATAGACGTAGTTACTAACAAGAACTCGCCAAAGACAACGAGGAAGAGAACATGGCATGAAAATTGTAATACCTAAGAATTTCAGAAACTTCGTTTAGAAACACTTTCCGGAATCACTACATTTCGATAGTCTAACGTAATAAGATAACAATGTAGTTGTACTAAATCAAGAATCACGATTATCGATGAGATTAATGCTAATAATTTAGATATGGTTAGTAAATTTTGTATCTACATATCCATAACTATATTTCAATACGAAAGAATTACGTCACGGCTAGACAGCCTTACTTGGCTCGAAATTTTAAAAAGGTCACTTCGAGGTTTAGATATATCGAATAGTAGGGAGGAGAATTAAAATCGAGTTTAAGCTACAAGTATTTATTTTTGGTCCTTGTGTTGCTGCTTAGCTTCCATGAAGGAGATAATAAGTTTGAGCATTGCCTAATGATATAAAAAAAAATTATGGGAATTCATCTTCCAACAAAATTAGGACAAATTATTTATTGTAGTAGAAGTTTTACACTCTGCAAAGGAGACATGGCTTAAAATAAATAAAATTAAAACATTAATAAATTTATTTATGTTCTTCTAGCCCTTGAGCCCAGCCTTGATCTTTTGAATAGTGGGGACATCAGTCTTGAAAGACCGTGCCAGAACACTGTCGTCAATCGTCGAATTAAACAGACTATTCGGCAAAGAAACGGTTCCGGCATTCGCGCTCCCGAAAGCCGACAAAGCGACAGCTGGCAACATAGGATCGGCGTTGTACTGGAAATGAACCAGCCCTTTAGGAAACACGAATAGATCGCCTTGCTGCAGTGTCTGAGTGTAGAGTTTGTTTGTAGTGTCCACAAATCCCACTTGTAACGTGCCACGTGTTAGAAACAGTAGCTCGGCCGATCGAGGGTGCGTGTGGACCGGGTTCACTGCACCGGCGGGGTATATTAGCATAGCGTATGAAACACTCTGTCCGTTCAGGGCTGGGAATTGTTCCACCGCTGCCTTTACGACTTTGAAGGTTGGTGGGACCGAGCCGTTTACGACAGATCGAAATCCGATGTATGTGAAGAAGTTTCCGTCGGGCGGTGGTGAGTTTGGTGGTACCACAAAGTCGGTGAGGATATCGGGATCTCCGGCTAGAGCGCTTTGGGCTATGGCGAGTGTAGCTACTATTACGAAGATCATTTTCTTGCCGGAACACATTTGAATATGGGCCCACTATAGTTGATTCTTGAAATTAGGTGTTGGAATTGACGAGAAGTAGGCGTGTTATATATAGACGTACGATAACCTGAAAATCGAGTATGTTATTACAAAGTGGATTTCTTGTTATTGTAGTCGAATTCGGCTCGTAATGGTTGTGAACAACGTAGGCACTATGCTTTTGTTTCTTTCTGATACGTTTTTGTTTTCTTGCGATTTCTGCTCTTGATCTCTTGAGATCGTTGATTTCTGTATGTAGACGTAATTACGAACAATAACTTGGTACTCGAAGACAACGACACCTACGATTTTTCGGAAACTTTGTTGAGCTATAGTGCATGGAATATACCATGTGGGGAATTGAAGAACAATAACAGTAATATTTATTATGCGGCGAAAACCAACGTGTGCAGATTTTAGGTCGTACCGATCGGGGGCTCCCGGGAATTTGAGGCGCTATACTAAAAATGGTGATGGAGTTGGTGTTTATCTTCATGAAAAATGCAAAAACAGTAGGGTTGGGGTTGGAAATCGGACCGTACTTTCCACATTTCACCGATTCAGGTTCGCGTATTTTCGGTTTCGGAAAAATCCCTTTTATCCTGAATTTCGAAAATTCCGATTTCCGGTTTTTCCAAATTTTCTGGAAAAGGATTGGAATTTATATTAGATTCTGAATTCCAATTCGGTTCCGGAAATGTTTTCAAAAATTCCATTTTTTTTCTCGGAAATTACACTTAAAATCTCAATATTATTATTTGTTTTATACTATAGTTGACTTAAAAAAAAATGGAAACTTCCGAATTCAACGGATTCCCACTCCGAACCGAACTTTTTTTTATGAAACAAGGTTTTTCATTCCAATTTTTGAATTCTGATTTCCGATTTTTTCCGAAAATTTTCATAATGGAATTTGACTAGTTTTTCACTTCCCAAAAAAATGGACCTTTTTTTGAAAATGCTAATTCCGATCCATCCGAATTTATTCTGAATCCATGATCTCAATTTAAATCAAGACATTTATTCTGAATTGCTTCCAACATAGAATCACTACAGTTTATTTTTGTTGCACAAGTCTAACACTCTTGCAAACAACGGAAAACCTCAAAAAAAAAAAAAAAAAAAAAAAAACATTAAAATTACGTTTCTAGCCCTTGATCCCGGCCTTAAGCTTCTGAATAGTGGCAACATCAGTCTTGAAAGACAGGGCCAAAACACTGTCATCAATCGTCGAATTAAACAGACCATTCGGCAAAGAAACGGTCCCCGCATTCGCGCTCCCGAAAGCCGAAACAGCAACAGCTGGCGACTTAGGATCGGCATTGTACTGAAAATGAACCAGCCCTTTAGGAAACACAAACAGATCACCTTGCTGTAGTGTCTGAGTATATAATTTATTCGCCGTGTCCACAAATCCCACTTGTAACGTGCCACGTGTCAAAAACAGTAGCTCGGCCGATCGAGGGTGCGTGTGAACCGGGTTCACCGTACCAGCAGGGTATATTAGCACAGCAAGAGAAACACTCTGTCCATCTAAGGCTGGGAATTGTTCGGCTGCCGCCTTCACGGCTTTGAAAGCCGGAGGAAACGGGCCGTCGATTATGGATCGAAAGCCGGTGTACGTGAAGAAGTTTCCATCGGGTGGTGGTGAGTTTGGTGGTAGTACAAAGTCGGTGAGAATATCGGGATCTCCTGCTACGGATGTTCGGGCTATGGCTAGTGTGGTAATTACTACTAGGAAGAGTATTTTTTCGAACGAATTCATTTTTTTATTTTTTATTTCTGATTGATCTTGAAATTTTGGTGGTTGGAGTTTTATAGATTGTGATTGAAGAGTAGATGACAGGCTGATTTGGATGATTAATACAATGTGAGAATTTTTCTTGTGATTGTGAACAATGCATGGGAATCTGCTGCTGCTTTTGTTTCTTTATGTTTGGTTTCTTTAATCCTCCTTCCAGAAAACAAACAATATAGCTCGGACCGGTTTGAATCGAGTCGTAAAAGAATCGAGTCGGAACAAATGGTTGTTCGAGCTTGTTTGAATTTGTTTTTATTAAATTTTTAGATATTGTGTTTGAGTTTGATTGGATAAGCAATCGAGCGGAACACGAATTGAGTTAGAGTCTAATTAGGAGTGGAACGGAAATTTCAATTTCCGCCTGTTCCGATCCGAAAAGTTCCTATTTGGAATAACTCTGTGTCCGAATTTTTCCGATTTTTTTGGATTGGAATTGGAATTGTACAAAAAAAAATGGAATTTCTGATTTCCAATCCGATTTAATTTCCGAAATTAATTCCGAAAAATTCCGATTTTTTCTGAAAATACACCTATTAAATATTATATATTATGTAATACTTATTTTAAGTTTTATTTTATTTTCTGAAACAGTAATTTGATTTAAGTTTTGTTTTAGGATTTTGACATATTGAATTATTGTTAGAAACTAATTTTTTTTTGAACTGAAATTTAGAGCCTGTTTGGCTAAGCTTATAAGCTCCTAAAAACATCTTATAAGATGTTTAGGAAGCTATAAGTTGTTAAAAGGTGTTTGGTAAAAAAATTGTAAAAGATCTTATTTTTTCCAAAAATAAGCTGTTAGGGAGCTTATAAGATGTTTTTAAAAAAGTACCTATACCCCACATTTTTTTCTTTAAGATCTTATTTGCTTCTTTACTAAAACACTTAAAATACAAAATTACCCTCAAATACTTTATTATATTACATGAATACTAATAATATTTATATTTTATCAAAACAACGTATTTTGTAATCAAAATTAATAATTAGTTAAATATAATTATCGTAATTATCATAATAATTGTAAAAAAAAATTATTTTCTATTTATATTTTATATGTATATAAAAATACACGAATATTCTTATTATCTCCATAATAAATTATATTTCTTTCATCTATAAAAAAATATTATATTTCTTTTACAACTTTTATTTTATATTATTATATAATTTTATATTATTATTATTATTTGAAAAAATAATTTGTAAATATTATAAATATTTTAGGAACAAAAGTATTTGAGTCAAATAAGTTTAACAATTATACTGGCGTCATGTACTTTTTTGTCATCATAGCAATAAACAGACCTCTTATTTCCAAACATCTGAACAACTTATAAAAACAAAAAGTAACTTATAAGCTATATATCCAAATACCTTAAAAACAATTTTTCAAATAAGATCTAACAGCTTATCAACTCCTAAAACATCTTATCAGATGTAAGAGCTTATAAGATGTTTTAAATAAGCTTAGCCAAACGGGCTATTAGTAGTTATTAATTTTACTTTTATCGACGTGCATATTCTTATTTTTTAAAAAATTATGAAATTTTCAGAAAATTTCCTCTGAGTTTTGAAAATTTGAAATTTATGTAATTTCCAATTTTTTTCCGAAATTTCGAAATTTCCGAGCATTTTGACATTAGAATGAATTTTTAAATTCCAAATATTTTGGAATCGGAATTGGAATTGATTTTGTATTCCGATTTTCTTTTAAAAAATTTCGAAAACACCAACTCCGATGAAATATACTCGACTTTCTCCCCTACTGGTCGGTGAATGGTGCATTTTAGATTAGGGGTGGGCCGGGGGCGGCCGACCCGGCCCATTACTCTTATTAATAACTTTAGTCACATGTTTCAACTCTACATATTATATTTGCCTAACTTTATAATCGAGAAAAAGAACGTGTTAATCAACATCAATATTCAATTTCTCCTATAAATACATAGGATTCAGAAAAAGATCTCCCCTAACTTGTCCAAACAGAACCACACAATACCGAAACTACCCTCCACCAGAACAACCAAAAACAACAACATCCAAGGGCTCATTCGTCATTCCACAGAGTCCCCCCGAAACCCACCACCACCACAAAAACCCTCCCATCTCCCAATTAGCAACCACACACACACACACACACACACCGTGATATGGGCAAAGAGGAGAAGAAGTTCAATTGGGGCTCCGCCCTGGTCGGCGCGGCGGCCGCCACCGCGACGGCGCTGGTAATCTCAACCAAGCCCCGGGACCCCACCTTCCACCTCATCTCCATCGATCTGACCTCATTCAAGCTCAATTTCCCCGCCCTAGACGCCGAGATGATCCTCACCGTCCACGTCACAAACCCTAACGTAGCCCCGATCCACTACTCCGACACCGAGATGTCGATCTTCTACGACGGCTCCCTCCTCGGCTCGGCTCCCGTCATGGCCGGCTCCCAGCCGCCCCGATCCTGCCAGATGCTCCGCCTCCCGGCGCGGCTGAGCGGCCTCCAGCTGGCGCAGAACGGGAAGAAGTTCCTGGCGGACGTTGCGCGGCGGGAGATGGTGCTGGACTCGACGGTGGATATTAGCGGGGCGGCGAAGGTGCTGTGGTGGAACCACAAGTTCAAGGTGCACGTGGACAGTCACGTGATCGTTGACCCTCTCTTCTTTGATGTCATTGACCAGGAAAATAACTCTAAACTGGATTTTGTTCAGTCGTGAATTATTGACTGTTTGGCTAATTATTAATCACTGTACTGTACTGTTTCTCAGAGCGTTGTGACGAACC